GAAAAACTATCATAATTCTTAGTGTAATCTTTGTTTAGTCAAAAATCAATTCAAAAACTATCGTAACCCTTGCTTTTTTGAGTTTAGGTAACTTCAACTAACTAAAGCACTAGCTAAGCTAAGCTAAAGCACTAGCTAAGCTAAAGCACTAGCTAAGCTAAGCTAAAGCACTAGCTAAGCTAAGCTAAAGCACTAGCTTTAGCGCAAATTATACCTTTACAAAAGCTTAAATAATTCGAAATTCGTACCATTTATTATCAAAAAATGTATGCAGATAAGAAAGCTTAAAGCCTTTTTGCCTTAAAATCCTCCTTTTCCCTCATTTTGATTGGTTTATTTGCTTTTCTCATGAAATCCCTTCCATTTCCCATTTTCAAGTTCAACCGATATGACCCATTGAGGATAAGAAAGAAATAATAAAGAAAAATTGGAAAATGTATGCTTTTCGAACATATAATTGATTGTCTAGAAAAACTGAAGTGTTCAAGATGTTTTGCTGAACAAGAATTCGAATGCAAAATTCTCATCTGGTTAATTTGAAGGTTATTTTTAAAAGGAAAATCACAAATTTCAAACGGTTAGATCCCAAAAGAAGCGGTTGGACTTCGCAGACAAGAAGTGGTTGGATTTCGCAGACAAGAAGTGGTTGGACTTCGCAGACAAGAAGCGGTTGGATTTCGCAGACAAGAACCGGCAAATTGACTGGAGCTCAGTAAGTTAATTAAGTTTGTGTTTTATAAATTTTCATTGCTTTAGATCGTTTGATCAGATGAAAAGAAATTGAATTGTGATGGGCCGGATGGTGGTCACTACTATTGGCACGACCTACGTAAAGACAAACTGCACTTTTCGCGGAGAAACTTCAAAGGAGGAGGAGTGATGTGCTGGGCGGCCTTCGCATCGACCGAACGGATTGGTCAAATTGGTTTTTGTGCCAAAGAAAATGAACTCTAGCCAGTATCAGTTTGTGCTTCGATGATCTCTACTTCCGATCTGTTTTGCTGAACAAGAATTTGAATGAAAATTCTCATCTGGCTAATTTGAAGGTTATTTTTAAAAGGAAAATCACAAATTTCAAACATATTTAGATCTGAAAAGAGATCGTTGAAGTAGCTTTCATTTTTTAGAAATTTCAATTAAATAATGAAATTAAAGGATTTTCTATAAATAAATCCAAAATCCAACATTCCATCATAATAAAAGAAAGGGATTAAGCAATGAATTTGCCAAAAAAACCGCTGGAAATATTTGTTGAGAGAAAAAGGATTAAAAAAAAGGCAATCAGCTTTGAATCTTTTACTTTATTTTCTCGAATTTTATGCGTAAAACTTATATCCATTTTGTGTGAATCACAAATTTGGATCAAAAGTTACAAGAAAAACGATGAGAACCAATGTTAGCGCTTGATTTAGTTACCCAACTGGATAAAGGTTGGATAAACTGGATAAACCTGAGCCTGAGCCTAAGCCTAAGCCAAATTTAAAGCAAGCCAAACGGTTGATTTATCAATGAACCGAAAATGATAATTGAATGAAGCAATTGTTTATGCAATTTTCGACTTTGAACCATTCCAAGCTATGCCGGCTTGCCCAACTCAACTCAAGATGTTCATTCAATCACAAAACTTGAGAACCAATGTTAGCGCTTGATTGCCTAACTGGATAAAGGTTGGATAAACTGGATAAACCTGAGCCTGAGCCTAAGCCTGAGCCTAAGCCAAATTTAAAGCAAACCAAACGGTTGATTTATCAATGAACGGAAAATGATAATTGAATGAAGCAATTGTTTATGCATTTTTCGACTTTGAACCATTCCAAGCTATCAAATCGGCTGATTATCATCAAATCAAACAATTCAACCGTTTGACTTGCTTTAAATTTGGCTTAGATCCCTTTATCTAGTTGGGTAACTAAATCAAGCGCTAACATTAGTTCTCAAGTTTGGTGATTGAATCAAAATCTTGAGTTGAGTTGGGTAAGTCGGATTTCAACGAGTCTTGCTAAAGTTTCAAAAAAAGCAAAGAAAACAATGAATCTTTCTAATTTTTCAATTGTTTTCTTGCAAGTCTTTTAGGAGAATGAATTATTTAATGAAAAGGAGGATAAAGTGAAAATATTGAGCTGAGAAATGAGAAGGGACTTTCAATTACATGAACAATTCCTCAAGAGGTCCGTCAATCGGAATAGAAATATTTTGATGCGGAAAGAGGAGAAAATATTGGGATTTCGGGAAAGAAAAGGGAAAATGAAGATGACAGGAAAAGAAAAAGAAAAGAAAAGGAAAGGAAAGAAAAGGAAAGAAAAGGAAAGGAAAGGAAAGGAAAGAAAAGAAAAGGAAGAGGGGGAACACTTAAGGAAATGAGCTAGCGATGAGTCTAATGAGTTGACTGCAAAGTTTGAGATAATCTCGTCAATTGGCAAGATTCTTTTTTGAATAGTAGTACTGGCCTGTAAGTTAGATTCAAGCTTGCTTTCCAGCCCGAAGTCTTTTTGTGAAGCCAGGATCAAGGTTAGAGTTAGAATCTTGCCTGGCCCAGTAAGGTTATCGAACATTTGATACCTTTTATACCTTTCCCATTGGCAATCAAACTTTGAGCTCAAATATCTTGGTGTTGGGTTTTTCATTTTCAACATTTTTGATTTCATTAGATGCAGCAAGTCTTTCTCTATCGATTGGTATAAAAACTATTTCAATTAGACAGCCGTACACCAAGGTATTTGAGCTTAAAGTTTGATTGTTAATGGCAAAGGGGCGGAATCCCACGATCTAGCAGTAAAGCTACGACTATCGTAATCCATTAAGCATGAGTCTAAAGTGATATTGTACAATAATAAATTGATATTATTGTAAAGGAATGAAGCTTTATTAGTGTAAATGTAGTATTTGACGATAAAAACTTGTTGCCAACTTATTCAAAAAAGAATGGGAAAAGGAAAGAGTCGCTTGATGGAAAATGATGTGAAGTGATGCATCTGTAAGGAGAACACATCAAAAGTGAAGGAGAAATGAATGGATTGTGTATAGAGTAAAGAAAGGAGTTAACAGAAAGGAGTTAATGGAAAGGAGTTAATGGAAAGGAGTAAATGGAAAGGAGTTAATGGAAAGGAGTTAATGGAAAGGAGTTAATGGAAAGGAGTAAATGGAAAGGAGTTAATGGAAAGGAGTAAATGGAAAGGAGTTAATGGAAAGGAGTTAATGGAAAGGAGTTAATGGAAAGGAGTTAATGGAAAGGAGTTAATTCGGTTAGGAGTTAATGGAAAGGAGTTAGAAAATTCGGTTATGGTAGAAGAATGAATTCTCTACAATAGGAGGTGAGTGTTTAGAAATTTACACAGCACAAAATACTTTCCGAAAGCGGCTTTACTCTGTTAGGGCGGTTTAGCCTTTTTGAGCATTTACAATTGAGCATTTACATTGAGCACAAAGGAGATTTTTACATTTTTGATGTGTTCTCCTTTAAGTGCAATAAAAAAAACACTTTTTATAATCTTTACATCAAATGGCGTGCGTTTATAAACATTTTATGTGCAAAGTATGCTAAATGCAAAATCTGTGCTCAACTCTTTCCCCTTCTAAACAACTCCAAAAACAAATAGATCAAAAAGTTAGTACTTTTTCTCCGTCCATTCAAATGTTTCCAAATTTTTCGCCTCTTTGTCTCCCCCCCTTTTTCCTTCTTTACTTTTGAATTCCCGTGTGGCCGATTATCGTCCATTATTCACACATCATTTTAGGGCCATCTCTTTCCTTTCTTTCTCTTTCTTTTGTCATTTCTTTTTCTTCCCCAAAAATCTCCCTTGACTCTCATTTCTCATCTCGCGAACATTGGCACGACTACAGATTATTGAACGACATCCCAAATGATGTCGAACAGCCACATTTGTTTCAGAATAACAAGCAAGCTTTTCCACATAACAAGCTAAAGATTGAACATGAGCAATTCTTATCTCAAAAACAACATTTTATTCAAATAGCACTCAATTTGATCAAGAAGTATACAGGATTCCATTTGTAGAATTCCGAAGTGTATATGTGTTGTATCCGATTTGGATTGAACCTCGGATATCCGATTCCGAAACTCACCGCGGATATCCGATTTGGATTTCAATCCAAATCTGAAAAACAACATATGCATGTTTAGATTGCTTTTGTAATAAAGTAAAGTAAGGAATGGCAAAGAAAGATTTTCGGAGATGGGATTGGAGATGGGATGGCACTGCTTTTTAGGCAAATGCTCTCAGCTATTCGGTATCTTCTTGCCAGAGAAGAAAGAGGAAATACAAGGGGAAGAAGAAGGAAGAAAGAGAAGGAAATACAAGGGGGAAGAAGGAAATACAAGGGGAAGAAGAAGGAAGAAAGAGAAGGAAATACAAGGGGAAGAAGAAGGAAGAAAGAGAAGGAAATCAGGGGAAGGAAATACAAGGGGAAGAAGAAGGAAGAAAGAGAAGGAAATAAAGGGGAAGAAGAAGGAAGAAAGAGAAAAAAATACCCAGCTCTCACCCTACTTGAAGATTAAAAACGAATCAGAAACAAATCTCAAAATTTTTCGAAATTCAAAACTGTTGCTGAGCCAAGGTCAAAAGCAAAGCAGTAAATGATGTAAGTTGACAAGTTCAGAGTATCAATTTCAAAACCGAAAAAAGGCTTCAATGATCACTCAAGCACCAAATTCAATATCGAGTTTTACCCAACCCAATCTAACCGATATGATAACCACCTTAACAGCTTTTGAACATTTCTTCAGCCGACTTCAGTGCGTCAGACTCAATGTGTTTACTCAATTTGCTCATAATTTGTCTTTAAATCTCTCAATTTCCCATTATCATATGGTTTTTTTTTCTCAAACTTTTTCTTTTTTCTCAAACAAACTGTACCCTGTAGTTTGCCCTATTATCACACAATAATTTGCTAGTGTTCAAAAGATAAATCTTTTTCCTAAACGTTTTTTTTAAAATCATATTTCATTAAAGCTTTCATTAAAGCATTCTTCTTTTTAGAAAATGTTTGAATATGTTGAAAGAAGAGTACTTCGATTTCACAAAAATGGTGATCCAAGAGAGGTTCTTCAAATGGAAAAGGAGAAATTTCAATTCAAATTAGAAGAGGGACAGGTCTGGAGAAGCTTTTTCAAATATGATTTTATATTTGGGTTGTCCAGTTATGAATGCGCTTTTTTATTTTACTATTTTGTAAATTTCTCAAGATATCGAACAGATGTACAGGGTGCGTCATAATTATTGCAACAAGAGTTCAAAGACCGTTTTCCAAACAGCTTTCTTAGTTTTTTTGCCCCTTTTTTTTGGTTGTGTTGCGTTCTATCTTCTTTATTCTTGCCTAATTGCCTCCCGCTCACACGAAGACGACGGTTCAGGACTGGTGTGTGGCCAACTTTCCCTCAGTGATCACCAAGGATGAATGGCCTCCAAACTCACCGGATCTCAATGTGATGGACTTTTCCATTTAGGCAATCTTAGAGGCTAATGTCTGCTCTTTGACCTTGAAGAAGTCTTTGACCAAAGGATGGAAGGCGACTCCTCTGCTTGATGGCGACTCCAAGATGACATTCGGGCCGCAATGGAGGCATATCCGAACCGATTAAGGGCTGTTATCAAGGCAAAAGGCGGTCATATCGAATGATCTCTTGTTTCCTTATTTGTTGCTGTTAAATAAAGCTATTTCTGTTTAAAAATCTTCTTCCAGTGGAACTTCTTGGTGTGCAATGCCTTGAGTATCTTGTTGCAACAATTATGATGCACCCTGTATGAGTGTTATATAACATGAGTGTTATATATCATTCGAGAGCTGAAGATCTCCTCTACATTTTGGATATAAAAACCTTTTGAATTCGTTCAGCTTTTTGGGAAATTGACTGCACAAAGGGAGAGGTCGTTTTCGAAAAAATCCATTCCAGTTTAGCTATTCCTCAAGTTTTATGGTGTAAAATAACCACCCAGAAAAGAAAAGAAAAGTAAAGATGCTCTGAAATTGTTATATTTAAAAAAAGTTGTATTGATATATCTATTGGTCAAACATCAAACGGTTAACTCAATTTGAGCGGAGCCAAAACTTGATCCAAAGGCACCCTTCCATTTTTTTTTGGCCACCTCTTCTTCTGTGCAATCAATTTGCCCAAAAGCTGAACAAATTCCAAAGGTTTTTTATATCAAAATGTAGAGGAGATCTTCAGCTTTCGAATAATACTCATATATATCTTTTTCTTGATTTCGGTAACTTGAGAAATTTAAAAAATAGTAAAAAAACGCGTATTCATAACTGGAAAACCCAATAGAATACGATTTATGAAATCCGATTTCAATAGAATCCGATTTCAATAGAATCCAATTTCAATAAAATCAAGAAACCAGAAACTTTTTTCATTTCTCCAGAACTCTATCCATTGTTTTTCCTTTTCCAGGTGCTAATTCGTTGGCTTTGCTCTCCGATAAATCCACTTGATATCAATATTGTTCAAGGCGTTTACGCTATTCAGAGAGAATTGCCAGCTATTGGTGGATCTGAAGCAGCTGGAAGGGTTGTTAAGGTGAGAGAAAACTTGAAAGCATGAAGCAAAGCATGAAAACTTTAGACTCAAAGCAAAGCATCAAATCTTTAGACTCATGCAAATTCAACTCTAAAACAAGGTGATCTTGTCTTTCCATTTATTTCAATGTCTCCAAATTGTTGGACTGACTATTCTGTCGCCAATGAGGACCAGCTGGTGAAAGTCGATTCGAGAATTGATCCGGTAAGGGAAAACAGGCTTTACTACGACAAAGATAAGCAAAATTAGAGGGAAAGGGTAGAGTAGAACTGACTCTAATCAAAATAGAACTGACTCTAATCAAAATGGAACTTTGAGTTGATGGCCTCGACATTCTCCGTTAATCCGTGTACAGCGTGGCAAATGCTACGGAATTTTGTCGAAATGAATGCCGGAGATTGGATCATTCAGAATTCAGCGAATTCCGGAGTAGGCAGAAGTGTCATTCAACTGGCAAAAGGTAGGTAATATCACAAATAAATCCTAAAGATTTTCAAGTTTTTAACTTTTCATAGAATTACCGCAATGTAGGACTTTGTAATATGATCGTAATATGATCGTAATATGATCGGAATATCATCGTAATATCATCGTAATATGACCATAATATGATCGTAATATTGATCGTAATATCATCGTAATATCATCGTAATTCAGCTTGGGGCATTCACTCAATCAACATTGTTCGTGATCGAGCAAATATCGAGAAGTTAAAGGTTTGAATGATTTTATTTCATCAACAATTTCCCCCTCAGATCGAACTTAAACACATTGGCGCCACTCATGTGTTCACCGAAGAGGAATTCGCGAAAAATGGGCGAACATTTGTACGGGAAATTGTACAAGTAAGGGAAAATCGATATACACTACTGGACAATGAAATATCATATTTGAAAAAAGATCGTCACCCTCGCACGTCTGTAACTCCCTTGTCTTTACCATATTTCTAAATATTAATATTACTATTGTGTAGCCCTTGAAAAGAGCTTTCAGAAAATGTATAACACTAATAGTTTAAACTCAAAGACAAGGGAGTTACAGACGCGTGAAAGTGACGATCGTTTTTCAAATATCATATTTCATTGTCCAGTACTGTAAGTGAGAGATCAAAAAGTTGTGCGCTGCCGGGACTCGAACCCCCGACCTTTCGCTTACCGGGGAACTGCGCTAACTATTACACCAAAATCCAGGTAATCTGCCAAACTCCAGAGGCAGTTAACTACTACCTATACAGCCGGGAGAAACAACAGCAAATTCCCGAAACAACTCGACGATATCAAGTGGAAAAAATTTTCGATTCGAGACATTTAGGGGACTCCGCCTCCAACAGGCATTTGCGCTTTTTGCGCCGGGTCATTTGCGCAACTTTTGACGAGGGACGGGGGTTTTTGGCTTTTGTTGTTAAAATTCTGTACGGTTTGTTTATTCTTAAACCATTGTTAACTAATTTCCGCATTTTCCCAGAATCCGCATCCATCGTTCCCTGTTGCGCAAAAGTTGCGCAATGACCCTGTTGCGCAATGGCGACTTGCGCAAATGACCCTGTTGCGCAAATAAAATGGCGGAAAGTAGCCTACCCCACCAACCTTTTAAAGATATTCAATTGATTAGCTGAATATGTTTCAAAGATTGGAGGGAAAAATTTTATTTAACCAAGCATTTTTGTTAAATAGATTTTCAATTGAATAGCTGAATATTTTGAATTTTGTGAGAGTGCCATAAGTATATAAATGTTTCATCTAGTTTCAAATAAATATTTTGAGAAATCTTCCCTAGAATACCCACGGTGGCACGGTGAAGTTGGCTTTCAATGGGGTTGGTGGGAGGAGTTGTCTGGCGATTGCGGGAGCATTGGCGAGAGGAGGGACTTTAATCACTTATGGTAAAGGCTATTGCTTAAAAGCTCAATATCGTTCTCAAATTTCCAGGTGGAATGTCAAAGAAAGCTCACGAGTTCTCCACAGCACAGCTTGTTTTCAACGATATCCGAGTACGAGGTACGGTTTATCGATCTCGTCTCGTCGATCGAGCAATCCGTTTTAGACATCTATTTGAGACAGACATCTATTAGAGAGCAACTATTGTAGTTAAATTGTTATTTTACATTTGATCATTCCGATTTTTGTATCATTCAATGAGTCTTATAATTCTTTATCGAAACACATCAAAATTTGATTAACTAAATGTAAACGAACAATTTGAATGATTTGAATGCGATATTTTTCTCAAATAGATGTCTTTTAACACGTTGACGACAATGACATTTTTGCACAAACAATCGCATGGGATAACGTTGTTTTTTTTCGACAAAAAATCTCACCTGAAATTGTCACCTAAAAAATTAAAATTTTAATAATCAACGGTTAAATCGACATTTTCCGGGACCAAGTCGAATATATAGATACTACCCTACTTGCTTATTTAATATCCATCATCAGCAAACATAAATATGCACAAAAAAATCAATTTTGGTACTGTCACCTGGCATCAGGTGACAATGTCCCAGGCGAACGAATATGTGTCAGACAGCATCAGGTGACAATGTCGTCAACGTGTTAAAAACCTTTACTTTAAAGGTACCTTTACTTTAAAGTACTATTGACATCTATTGAAACTATTTTAACTAACCAAACTGATTTTTAATAACTTTATTTTCCAGGGATTGCCAACGGGATGTGGCTGATGGAGGGTGGACATGAGGAGATTGTCGAGAGAATGCTCAAAGATTTACAAGTTCGGAAATTTAGATTAAAAATAAACCAAATAGTACTAGTTAGTAGTACTAACTACTAAGTAGTACTATTTGTACTAACTTAGTAGTACTTTAAAGTATTTAAAGTACTAAGTAGTACTTTAAATAGTACTACTTAGCAGTACTTTTCAAGTACTTTATAGTATTGCAGACTTTGAAAAAAGAATCAAATCGAATTCAGGAGTTGGCTGTCCTCGGAAAACTCACCCCACCACCACTTGATTATCACAAAATTGAGGATTTCAAGTACTGTAAATGCTGTAATAGGAGCCCCTATAGGAGCGTCGCGTAGTCTAAGTTTTACTCTCAAATAAACACTCACATCTTGGCATTTTCTGAGTTTTTAGGTACCAAATTAAAAGTAGCGAAGATGGGTGATTTTTTGAGATATAAGCTTAAAGCTTAAACCTTTTTTCTTAAGCCTTTTTTACCTTAAGCCAGCCCTTAAAAAATTGATTGAAAAGTGGCAAAAAACGAAAAGAAACTAAAGTCCTGGTGTCAAGATATGAACGTTTATTTGAGAGTAAACTTAGGGGTAGGCTAATTTAGGCAAATTTCTTTGCGCAACTGGATCGTTTGCGCAACTCGGCATAACTTTCTTTTAATTGGACCAATCTTTATGATTTTGGTGTCATTTTGTTGCACTTATTGAGATCTACAAAATGAAAGCAAAATCATAAAGATTGGTCCGCTTAGAAGAAAGTTATGCCGAGTTGCGCAAAAGACCTAGTTGCGGAAATTAGCCTACCCCTAAGCTTAGACTACGTGACGCTCCTATAGGAGGCCATTCTATGGGAGTGGGACAAATGCGACCATTTGTCCCACTCCCCATTCTATTCGAGTTTTTACAGTAAAATATTTATTCACCTTATGATATTTATCTCTACAATATTGTTAACTTTTGAAATTTCTTTTTTTTTTTTTTCAGAATCGCTATTGAAAATTCGATGGATGGGAAACATGGGAAACAAATGTTCATCTTTGAGAAAGGTCTTGAAGCTAAATTGTAAAATGATTCTTTAAGCAGTTTACAAAATAAATACTTATTTTTCTCGTTCTCTACAATGATTTTCGCTAATTTTCACTGTGATTCGTTTTTTTATATTATTTTTAGATATTTTACTAACACATTCTTAATTTTGATACATGAAAAATGAAAGAATTTCTCCGCAAATGACATAAAGATCGGTGAATGATTCAAAGCGAAAAAAAAAAAGCTTTGTCTCTTCCCAAAATCGTCCATTGATATATACAAAAACGATGAGAGAAAAGAGAAAAACTTTTCCCCTTCCATTCACAGAAAAAGAGTTTTTAGAGTTAGTTATTAGAAAAGTATTGATTTTTGAGCTCTATTATTACAAATATAAGTTTATCTGGTAATTATTAAGTTAAATTATTAATTTTATCTGGTACTTGTCGGTTATACATCCACAGGGATTCAACTCGGTTAAGCAAGGAGCTGACAACTTGTGACGGGTGGCACAACTTGTGGTATAATTGATGTTCAGTGTTCGGTGAAGTAGAGTGCTCGCCTGAAGAGATCAATCGATCACTTCATTCATCAGAACGAAAATCGATAACCGAGAAGACGCGAATGGGAAGGCTAAGATGCTAATAAGTCTTTGTGTAACCGACAAGTACCGTTTCTCTTGACTGTTTCTACTGGTTCCCTTTCTGCTCGCAAATCTGTAAACTCTCTTCACTAACAACTCTTCACTCCGATATTTAACCCCCTAGTTTACAATTTTATACCCCTGTCGTGACGATGACGTGCTGTAATAAAGATTATATCTAAACCAACAATAATCACTACAACCCCATTTTTTCTGATGAATTTCTTAATAACCCATTTTCTAATGGTTTCCTTTCTGCTCGCAAATCTGTAAACTTAACTTATTGGAACCATATTGGAACCATATTGGAACCATATTGGAACCCTATCCGAACTATATTGGAACCATATTGGAACCATATTGGAACCATATTGGAACCGTATCCGAACTATATTGGAGCCATATTGGAACCATATTGGAACCCCATCCGAACTATATTGGAACCATATTGGAGCCATATTGGAACCATATTGGAACCCTATCCGAACTATATTGGAACCATATTGGAACCATATTGGAACCCTATTGGAACCGTATCCGAACTATATTGGAGCCATATTGGAACCATATTGGAACCCTATCCGAACTATATTGGAACCATATTGGAACCGTATCCGAACTATATTGGAGCCATATTGGAACCATATTGGAACCCTATCCGAACTATATTGGAACCATATTGGAACCATATTGGAACCTTATCCGAACTATATTGGAACCATATTGGAACCATATTGGAACCATATTGGAACCATATTGGAACCGTATCCGTCATTCATCACTTTTCTTGTGACAATCACTTGTTGATGCAAGAAAAAGAAAGAATTCATTGCACCAGAAGGAATGTGGTTACAAATCTTTCAGCTCTAACTACAGTCTCAAAAAAAATGCAAATATCGATTTCGATCCCCGTTTCCCCGCAAAAAAAAAAACAAAGCAAAAATTGCAAAGCTTTTCCCATTTTTTTTCAACAAAAAGTGATATAGTTTTTTTGAAAAAAAAAAGTGTGATACACAAAAAATTCCCCCTCTTTCACTTTTTCCCGTTTCTAAATGGGGAAATTTTCTCGATTCTGATAAGAAATCGAAAAGCTTTTCCTTTTTTGTACCGATTTTCCACAAAAAAAGTGATATAGTTTTTTGGATGAGTACACATAAAAATTACCCCTTTTTTTTGCTTTTTCCCCGTCTCTAAATGAGAAATTTTCCTGATTCTGATAAGAAATCGAAAATTTTCTTTGTTTCTTCTTGCCTTTTCATTAAACGATATAATGTTTTCTCTCTTTCTTATGAAAAGCTTAAATTTTCTTCTAAAATGTACCAAATAATCGATTGGATTTCTGTGAAAATGTCGATTTTCTCTTTTTTTATCAAAAATTTTAATCTGATCGATGAGGGAAAGATCATTGCCAAAGAAAACTTTTCTTTTCCATCCTTCTTTTCCATCCTTCTTTTGCGTGTTGACTTTTCGAATCAACTTTTCACCCATCCCAATCTCTAGACGCAATTCTCCAAATATGGAGCTTTTCTTGTATTGAAATGAATTCGATTTCTTCATCTTTGAACGGTTGACAGAACTTTCACTTATCTGAATTGACTTCCAGGATGAAACACTGGAAGTCAAGCTGATCTTTCAACCAGTCAAGCTGATCTTTCAACCAGTCAAGCCATCATCTTTCAACCAGTTTTGCACTAATCTCGGCTCCGAAATTAGTTTACTCTAATTGTAAAGTGTTGGATAAATTGTGGTAGTGAGCATAAGCATAAGCAGGCTTAAGCATAAGCAGGTTTAAGCATAAGCAGGCTTAAACATAAGCATAAGCATAAGCAGGCTTAAGCATAAGCAGGTTTAAGCATAAGCAGGCTTAAACATAAGCATAAGCATAAGCAGGCTTAAGCATAAGCATAAGCATAAGCAGGCCAAGACCCGACGAAAACCCAAAGCTAGCTGAACCAAGAATCGAAATTGACTTTACAATGTCAGTCTTTGACTTTGCCTTCATCGAAAAACTAGATTTTTGGAGTGAATAGAACAATTTCAATTTTTCAATTTTCGTTTCTGAAAAGAACAATTTCAAAGATCAATCTAGATACGATCCCAATCCAATAGAGTTTTCTTTTTTGTTCCTTTTTGTTTCGTTCTCGTTGTTGCCAAACGATTCCCCCATTCCCCCATTCCCCCATTCCCCGATTTTCTCTCTAAACTGTGTACGAGCATAAATCTTGTGCTCTTCTCCCTTTCACAGCTTTTTTTCTCTCAATCTTTGCTCACATTTTTTTCACAAAGAAATGAAAAAAATTTAGATCCTGATCTTTTATTGAAGTGTTGAATTGAAGTGTTAAATTGAAGTGTTAAATTTGATGGAACAACGCATTCAAACTCGATCTGGTTCAAGAGGTCAATAATCTATTTAAATTTTAAAAACTTTAAACAAAAAACATTATTTTTCATTATCATATTTTTTGTTATTAAGTTTAAAAATGTTTTCTCTGGGTTTTCTTACAAATTTTGAGAAGTTTAAGGATTAAGTTCAACAAGATTTCTTCAAAATTTCTTCAACAAGCTTTTTTCAACAAGAAGAAGACATTTTCTTGATTTATGTGGTTATTTTTTGAAAAAAAAAAAAACTATGCACTCTTTTTAGCGCTAAGCCGTGAACGCGCCTCTCCGCATTTTTGCACTCTCAGTCAAATGTCCTCGTTTTCATCAACGGATTCAAATGGTTTGAAATTCGGATCGATTTCATTGCACTTCTATTTGTTTTCTATTTGTTGATTAAAGTTTTAAACATTTAAAATACCGTAAATACTGTAATAGTACGATTTGACTACGGTACTTTTCTTAAATAGATGCATTTTAGAAAGTGTATGACTCGAGAGGGACACGCACTCTAGTCTCTAGGAAACTTTTTCCAACAACTTTCTTTCCAATCTAAGTAAAGTTTGATAAAGTTGAACTGTGCTTTTAAAAAAGCATGATCAAGTTCACAATTGATTTCCTACCGTAAATACTGTAATAGTACCTCACCCCCCTCGTACAGTCGCGTAGTCGCAAAAGTTTTTTAGTATTTCATTTTTTGCAAAGCACCCGTACTTTCAAAAAATGCGTCTTTGGTATCAAAAAATAGCCCTGAATTTCAGCTATTTTTTGATACCTAAACGAACATTGTAGCATAAACCAGTGTCGAGAAAAACTCGTCCATAGCTCGACTACGCAACGCTCCGCACCGTCATTATGGGGGTGGGGTACTATTACAGTATTTACGGTAAGTTCATTTGAGCCTAGTTAAATGAACTCAACTTTTAGCGACTGATAGCGGTTTCACCAGCTCGCCCACCTCCTTCTCATCGCTTTCTCCAAATAGTAAGTAAACGAGAAATTGAAATGAATTGAAATCATAGATTCGATTGCAATATAATGAAGAGATTCAGCTGATTTTTACAATTTGGTCCCATTTTTACTTTAAACACCTATTTGATTTGAATAGGCCGATAAAGAAACACGGTGTGACGCGGGTCACTTCCGGAAGTGACATCACGGAAGTGGGCCGCGCATCACGGGCTAGCACGCACGTCGCCTACCGCACCATTAGTCAACCTCTCCCTATTCAAATCAAATTAACCAATTCAAATCTATTCAAACTGAACTCAAAACTGAACTCAATCAATTGCAGGCTCGTTCAGCGAGTTCCCAAACGGCTCCTCTACATCCGCTTTTTATCCGTATCAACCGATCGAAGTTGAGGTGAATTTTAAATATTATTAAAAAAAAGAAAATACTCAATTAAATGTTAGTTTAACAATAAAATAAAGCTTTAAATTGCATAAATACAATGCCTAGGTTTACGCGCAAACGGTGGACGCAGAGCCGCAGAAAAGGCGATCGAAACGCCGATCCGCTAATCGGGGTACGGTTTGGATAAAGTTTCAATAAATGAGAAATCGATTACTGTAATGCTAGGCTATTAGTGGAAAATATTTCAGGTAAATACAATGGTCAAATCGGCCGTCCACCCAAATACCTCACCAATTTGATCACGGTTGATGTGGAAACGCAAATGAATGTCAGTTTTACTCTATTTGTCAGCTTTATTCTATTTATTCTAGTTAAATGAATGTCAGTTTTATTCTATTTATTCTATTTATTCTATTCTAGTTAATCCCTTTCAAATATGAGAATCCTAAAATTATTTAAAATAGATTTTAAACTTGCTTTCTATTTTCAGCGTCACAAACACACGGACGATGTCCTAAGAAAACGGCGACAAAAGCTCGCTCTTGAGACGTGTCGCCGGAAAAAAGATCAAGATATTCAAGTGATTGTGTGAGTTCATTGAAAATGAATTGTGCTATTGGAAAATGATTTATACTGTAACCAGAGCTTACAGTAGTTGGAACTAGGCCGTCAAAAAGGCCGCCAAAAGAGAGAGTTAACTTGTGCCTCGCCGGGACTCGAACCCGCGACCTTTCGCTTACCGGGAAACTGTGCTAACCATTACACCACAACGCAGTTGCTCGCTCTTACTCCAAAGAGAGTTAACTAGTTAACGTGTGGTCAACTGCGTTGTGGTGTAATGGTTAGCCACAACGCAGCTGACCGTTAAGTACTTAGCTCCCTCTGGAGCAAGGAGATCAAGTGCGTTGTGGTGTAACGGTTAGCACAGTCGGCCACTAAGTGAGAGGTGGCGGGTTCGACTCCCGACTCAAAATTTTTCATCTGCCGCTTTTAGATTTTCTCTCCAAATCTCCAAAATTTCCAGGAAATCTTTGGCGAGTCTACTAGAGAATCGATGCAAAGACCAGTGTCAACACTGTGCACATATTTTTAATGGTAAGAATTGGATAAAGAGTATTAAAGCTGTTAAAACCTTTGTGCAGTGAATTTGACAAAACTCAGACTTTAGAAAAACCTATTTCGACCAAAATCTCTTTAGATATCGATGAAGTGAATGTTTCTGAATTGCTCGAATCGATGATCGAAAAAGAGGTGAAAAAACGCGCAAGAGCCAACAAAAAACAAATGAAAATCGAATAGGGAATCGAGATTTTTGAGGGGAATTCTTGGAAATCTTTGTAGATTTATTATTCTCTTTTGCATTGGATTATTGTTATTTATTGATTGATTCAAAAATCTCAAAATCCTCTCACTGCCATTGCCATTGCCATTTACGATTGCCGTGTCTGCCTTTTGCATTTCTTTTTCATTTTCTACCTCTTTATTTATGTTTTATATTTGATTTAGATTTTTTTTTTATCCGATTTAGACTTAATCTACTTCTAAATCGTCTAAATCGTCTAAATCGTCTAAATTCGATATCCTTAGACTCAACTAGAGTTTTAACAATTCTTGCGCTGGTAAATCATGTTTTTGTCATGTTTTTGACAGTTTTTGACAGTTTTTGATACTTTTTGATGCCTTTTTGATGCCTTTTTTCACTAAATCGTTTTTTATGCAAAAGACAAGATCAAAAGCAATAGCCAGAAGCATTTTAACGACAACATTTATTGAATAAATTAGCAGTGCGCCATAAGCTGCGCATTGAGAAAATCACAAAAAGTGAAATCCTTATTTCTCATTTCTCGTTGGCTTATTTTGGTTAGCGCTTTTTTTTGTGAAATAATTTTCGTGTGTGTTGTGTAATGGGTTTGATTTTAGAAAAACGCGCCCCGGGCTTCCCTTTTGTTTTTCCCCGCGAAACAATGCTCAGCTCATCGCTTTCACTGTCGATCAAGCTTCAATCGATGTGCATCTCGACGGACAGAGCTTTCATTTTGGGTATTCCATGATCGACAGTCGCTTCTACGTCTGGGACAAAATGAAAGACTCAATTATTGTCCCTAATCTTCATTTTCAGGTACAAATTAGTTTTTACGTGTGAACTAAAAGAAACTCGTTTTTGCTAAGAAAAGATGCACCAAAAAGAAAAAAAAAAGCACCATAGGTATAAGTAGAAAAAAAAAGCTCCAAGTGAAAAATTTATCTTGGATCTCATTTTTATAAGCCTCTTTTAATTTCTGTAATGAAAAATCTATTCTTTTCAGCTTATTTTCTTGCTTCTACTTTGAACACTTTTTGGCTTTCTTTTAGGCCAATAAGGACGACATCTTTTGGTGCATTTTCAGACTTTGAAAAGTTCAGCGTCAATATTCTTTTAGTTTACAAGGCAACAGTTCAATAAGCTTCCGAATTATGAGATGCTCGGAAAATTTGACACTTAAAATCCTTAAATTTTCATTTTCAAACACAGGTGAATGATTGTTGGATAGACGTTTGTGTCGGCCTCTTGGCCGTCAACCTTTGCCGGGTTGATTACCGACATCGAGAAGCAAGGATATAATGAGAGCAAGAGCTTTTAACTTTTTTCGATCACTTTTGTGCTTTGACAACAAAAACGAATCGACAGGCATTCGTATGAAAAGCTGATTTGGATTTTGATTGATTGGTTGATTGATTGGTTGGCTGATTGGTTGATTGATTGGTTGGCTGATTGGTTGGCTGATTGGTTGATTGATTGGTTGATTGATTGGTTGGCTGATTGGTTGGCTGATTGGTTGATTGATTGGTTGATTGATTGGTTGGCTGATTGGTTGGCTGATTGGTTGATTGATTGGTTGATTGATTGGTTGGCTGATTGGTTGATTGATTGGTTGATTGATTAAATAACTTTAGTTTAAACGATGAGAATTTCCTCCGAGTGCATTGATTTCTTCATTTCCTTCCCTGTGGCTGTAGATATGGATTCCTTGGTTGTTGTGGCTGATAAGGATTTCCAGTATTCCCATTTCCAACATCAATTCCCGGTTCAACCCTCACTCCACCGTGATTCCCATTTTGATTGTTGTTTAGCATTTGGCCCAATTGTGACGCATCAATGCCCGCTTCGACAAGCACTTGATTGGGTGCAGCCTAGAATTATGTTTCATTTTTTATATCTGGGTTTACTTTGAACGCTTAACATTTACAAACGCACCCTTTCTAGTGCAACAGAGTGTTCAATCTACTTCCTAGAAATGAATCGATGTTACGAGAAAAATGAGCTATTCGTTGCGCTAGAAACAGTGCGTTTAAACGTTTCCGCACAAAGTACACCTTGGGAAATAAGTCTACGGTGGAAACACAATGTTTCTAGTGCACTGAAATAAATCTATGCCAGAAAGGATGTGTTTAGTTAAGCACAAAGCACACCAATTCATAAACTAACCGTTGGCCTAGTTTGGGGAGAAGTGATTGGTGGAAGAGTTCCGATAAAGATTGTTGTTGAAGGAGTTGTAGTTGATGTTGAAGGAGTTCTTGGCGGCGTTACTGTGGTTCTTGGCGGCGTTACTGTGGGTCTTGGCGGCGTTACTGTGGTTCTTGTTGATGATGTTTGTTGCTGTAATTTGTCTTTGCATATCAACAAATGCAAAAACTGTTATGCAAAGCATCAAAGATCGACGATTGGGTAATCTGCTAAAGTCTCGTCACCCATTTAACCCCCTTTACACTCACCTCAGCCACACATCGTCCATTCACACAAGCTCCTCGATAACAAGCTTGTTCACCTGAAAATATTACATTGATTCAAATTCAAACTCAAATTCCCTTTACCATTCACATATCCAGCACAATTCCCACCGATTTTCATCCTTGACGCGCATCTAGAAGGACCGCGAGAACGATCGCAAAAGAGAAAACTGAAAATGAAAGAATTTTTGACAAAACATTCATCTGCTCATTCTTTTAAGCACTACTTTTTTAGATTTATATGATCTGGAAACTTGAATGCACTCGAGGAATTTCCTCATCGCCGAGAACACGAGCGACTTGGAAAGAAAGAAGGGACAACGGTTGATCAAGTGTTTCAAGAAGATCTAGCGGCTATTAAAGCTCATTGCTTTTTCCTCCTTGCTCATCTACTTATTGCATTGTTTTTGGAATACAGTCGAACCTCTCTATAACGAACCTCGATATAACGTAAACCTCTCTATAACGTAAGGCGTGACCGGTCCCGGCCAAATGTACTAGGTTGGTGCAAATGAAATTTCGTTTTTTTACAAACATTAAAGTCATCCAAAATTTTTTTAGATAACAATTTATTTAAAACAATAAGCACCATTATTATCTATGACATCCCTCCAATGTTGCTTCAGATTGCGGATCCCCTTCTCAAAGAACGCTTGATTCTGTGATGCAAAGTAGTTGGTCACCCAATTTTCGACTTCTTTTGCATTCTTAAACTGGCAATTCTCAAGGGAATGTTGCATCGATCTGAAAAGGTGAAAATCGGAGGGTGCTAAGTCTGGACTATACGGCGCATGTGGTAAGACCTTCCATCCTAGCTTCTCTAGTTCCTTACAAGAGGTTTTTGCCGTGTGAGCTGGAGCATTATCACGGAGAAAGTTGATAGTTGAGGGATTTAGGCCTTTTTCACGCAAAATTTCGTCAACCTTCTTGAGTTGTTGAATAAAATAAGATGAATCGACTGTTTTTCCGGGCTCTAATAATTCAAAATGAACAAGTCCATTGATATTCCACCAGCAAGACAACATCACTTTGCGCCCATGATAATCCGGCTTTGGAGTTGGAATTGGCGCTTGACCTTTGCTCAGCCATTGTCTTTTTCGAGAAGTATTATCAAAGTGAATCCACTTCTCATCCATCGTCAAGATATTCTCAAAAAAATGGCCTCTTTTCGACTTATGGAGCAAGATATGGCTGATCGAAACGCGTGCTCCCAGATTTTCAACACTCAATTGATGTGGAACCCATTGTCCATTACGATTTGTCTTTCCAATTATTTCCAAATGGCGTACAATTGTTGAATGATCACATTGAGATGTTTGGCAAGTTCTCGTGTTGTTTGCATTGGATCAGCTTCAATTAATTGTTCCAATTCATTGTTGTCGATGGCTGTGGCACGATGTCCATGCGATTCGTCTTCAAGGGATTCATTACCATCTCGGAATTGGGCAAACCAGAGCTGGCATGATCTTTCGGTGATAACCTGTTCTCCAAAGGCGGAACAGAGATCACGATGTGAATCAGCAGCGTTTTTGCCCATTTTGAAGTCATAGAGAAGACACGTGCGCAGAACATACTTTTGATCCACCATGATCTAAAGCAAAAATCAATTAAAAAGTGAAAGCTCTGACTTTGAAAAAATGCGAAAATAAAGTAAATATCCAAGAGTACAAATGCACAAAAGAACATCAAATAAGCCCTTCAGATTAAAAAAATAAGAACATTTTATATCGACCGGAATTTCTTTTGCACCAACCTAATAATACAAAATGTCTATAAAAAAACCTCGATATAACGTAACTCTGTATAACGTAAACCTCTATACAACGGAAAATTTTGCCTGAAAATATGCAATTTTTTGTTCCATATAACGGATTTTATGCTAAAACGTGGATATTTCTTCCAACTACCATGCTCTTTGGATGGACTATTCTAATCTGTGGCCTTTTTGCCACAATTTAAAAGAAGAAAAAAATCACTTACCTAGATTCTTAATAAGTTTTTTGCGTTCATATATCGTTCACTTATTCTTTTTACGTGCTTATTTTCTGTATTAAATGATATTTATCATTTTTCAGGCGATGGAGCGAAAGAAGGCGACCCGGAAAAGGATCGATCTAGCTGAAAAAAAGCGAATTCTTGATGCTTCAACTTCGAAAGGAGTAACGGATTTAGCAAGGGAATTCAAGCGGCCAATTTCGACCATTTCTTCGATTTTGGGCCAAAAGCAAACGATTTCTAATGCGATCAATGACGGTTCTCAGGGCAAGCGAGCACGAGTGAAGAATAGCAAACACGAGGACCTGGAAATTTGCTTCGAACAAAAGCTCTGGAGCTTGCAAAGTTGATGGGTATTACCGATTTCCGAGCTAGCAATGGATGGCTAGAAAAGCTGAAGCATAGGCATGGCATTGTTTTTCGTTCCCTACAAGGAGAAGCAGCCGAAATCGACCTGAACAATGTTGAGCAGTGGAAAGATGAAGTATTGAAGGGACTCTTGAAAGAATTTGAGCCAAAGAATGTTTTTAACTTGGATGAAACAGCTCTTTTTTACAAGTTAACGCCGAATAAAACGTTGTCTTTCAAAGGCGATAGATGCACAAGTGGAAAGAAGAGCAAGGATAGAGTCACTGTTCTCGTCGGATCAAATATGGATGGAAGCGAAAGATGCCCTTTATTCGTGATTGGTAAATCGAAGCATCCGCGTTGCTTTAAGGATGTCAAAAAACTTCCTGTTTTGTACGAAGCAAATTCAAGAGCGTGGATGACCAGCGAATTATTTGAGAGCTATCTCAAGAAATGGAATTCAAATTTGATCAAATTTAATCGGGAAATTTTGTTGTTTATTGATAACTGTCCAGCACATCCGAAGCTCAATTTATCAAACATTCAGATTAAATTCTTTTTGCCGAATGCAACTGCGGCAATCCAACCAATGGATATGGGAATAATTAAAAATCTGAAGGTCAGATACCGAACAGGATTGTTGAAACAAAGAATTGCAGCTGTCGATGCAAAGGCCAAATTCGAATTTAATCTTTTGGATGCACTATACTTACTCGAAGAATCCTGGAATGACGTTAAAGTGGAGACGCTTTCAAATTGTTTTCGTAAGGCCGGATTCAAGAGATGTATGCAAGATGAGCCGCCATTTATCGAAAACAATAACGACGACGATAACTCGCTACAATCATTGCAGGCTATCTGGAATCAACTTATTGATAGTGAAGACGTTGATCGATCAATCAATCCTTTGGAATTTGCTTGCGCCGACGAAAATGTTGTGACTACAGGGTTAAGATCGCTAGAGGAAATTGCACTAGCTGCTAAAGGTACAGATTATATCGTTTAAAGTAATGCTAATTTAAGGAAAAGATCAATTATGTTTCCTTAGGTTCGCAACTACAGTCGATTTCTTCTGATAGCGAGGATGATGAGCCAATCGTTGAAGACGTGGAAGAGCCGATAGTGACACGATCCGAGGCATATCTACATCTTCAAAAGCTCAAGATATTTGTGAGGAATAACCCTAATTCCGAAATTGTTAAGGCTTTAGCAACTTTTGATAATTTTTTCTTTGATCAGGCTTTTTTTCTCCTAAACAATCCCGTTTGACTAACTTTTTTGCTAAACTTTGATGCTTTTTGATAATTTTTTTTACCTTTTTTGTTGAGTTTTTGCAATAAATATGTTCCAATACCTCTAAATAACGTAATGGTTGCAATAAACCCTGCGTTTTTGATTCTATTAGGTTGTCCAGTTATAAATGCGCGTTTTTAAGATAACAACTCTTTATCTTAAAACCAACAGTTTAACCGCTCACTCAACAATATATTCACCATTTCTTAACAATATTTGTTTCCATCTTCCATGCAAAGAATGAAACCCTCCGCGTAAAAATGGCTTGTTTTGGGCGGGGTCGGCTATCCATTTTCCTCTTGACCTTTTTTCCGGCCAAATGGTTTTGCATGGGAAAAAGACCGGAGAAATATCCAGAGAATATGGCGGGCGGGAGAGTTTCCTGTCCAACTCTTCGAGTTTTCTTGAACAATCTTTGCAACGTGTGGCGGGTGTTATCTTGAATGAACTTTATGTTTGAAGGATCAAGGCCTTTTGTAGCAATACATTGTTCACTCGTTCCAGTTGTTGTGCATACGTTTCACCCGTGATTGTTTGTCCAGGTTTAAGCAGTTTAAAATAAACAATGCCTTGAAATTCCACCAGACAGTAAGCATTACTTTCTTGTCGGAGTCGGGTTTTGGTGTGGTATTGGCTCCCCACCAGGTTCTAGCCATTGCGGTTTTCGTGTAGAATTATCATATTGAATCCATTTTTCATCACAAGTAAGGATTTCATCGTAAAACCCAGTATTTTTTGCCAAACGAAGAAGAATACCCGCCATAGTGATACGAGTAGCTTTATTGGCATTGCTGAGAAGATGGGAACCCATTTCCCTTGTCGGCTTGTTTCCCCAATTGATTTAAATGCTCGGAAATTGTTTGGGGCTTACTCTAAATATTTCTGCAAGTTCACGTGTAGTTTGTCGAGGATCCATTTCTATCGCCTGCTTCAGTACTGCATTATCGATCGCAGGAGGTCGTCGTTGGTGGTCTTCGTCTTCCAAAGATTCATTTCCTTCTCGAAATCGTTGAAACCACTGGCTTTCCGAAATAGCATCTTCGTCAAATACTTTGCAGAGATCTCGATGGGATTCAACGGCATTTTTGCCCAATTTGAAGTCATACCAAAAACTGGCACGAAGACGAGACTTCGTCTCGGTCATCTAAACACGGAAATTAAATCAAAAATCAATTAGTTTAACGTCCAAAACACGAAAAGTTGTAATAAATAAGCAATCTTGAACAGCATATAGAGAATAGGGTTTGATAAAATTGTATAGCCCTAAGGTACGCTGTTCAAGAGCATGCGCGCATTCATAACTGGACAACCTAATATATAACAAAACCTCGATATAACGTAAACCTCTATATAACGTAAACTATAGCCGGTCCCGTGAGTTACGTTGTAGAGAGGTTCGACTGTACTTGAGCAATCTAATTGTGCAAATTTCTTCATATATCGGCCTATATCGGCTAAAAGACCCAGATCGGGGCAAAACGGAATTCAACAGTGCAAAATTAGTAATCAACTTTTCAAGTTTCAAATAATTAAAACGACAACCGACAACTGGATCGGTTTGGGGTATTTTTAAAGTTTCTTATAGATTTAGTCTAAAATCGACTAAAATCTAGACTTTTTCTTTAAGAAAATAGAGAAAATAAAATAGAGAACAAAAATGGACTCACGGTGATCCACAATCATTTCCCAGTGAACAACTGGGACGTGGCGCGTACTCATAGAGATCATCCGTGTATTGATTTCCCAAACCGTCCTTGAAAAAGAAAAACTTCGTCTTTTCTTTTCGATTTCTATACCCGATTTGTAAGCGGAGAAAATGGGGACATGATCGTTGTTGAGAAGTGAGCCTGAGCTGAACAAGCTGAATTGTCCGTTGGATATTGCGTTGATCGTTGATCCCTTGTCTGAAACACTTTTGAAATTATCAGCAATTATGTTATCAGCAAAAAATGTTTCCAATCAACTCCGATAATCGGCCATTTACCTGTTTCTGTTGTCGCCACATTTCCCAGATGAAATCGACGAAAGAGTGATGAAGCCAGAAAAGGGGATCATTTGTTGAAGTTCTCTAGAAAGTGCTCAGAGCTCTTAAAACAAATCATTGGAATCCCCCAAAGGCCTATGAATTTCTATTTTATTCCCGAATCTGATCGTCTACTGATGACTGATGACTGATCGTCTATGGGATTGTCCTAAGCGAGATTCACCGATCAACCAACCGGCTCAAACATATCGCCGCCAACAAAAACGTGCGGTTTCCCGTGTCCATACTCTAACACATCAAAAGTCGTTTGAAATGGACAAGCCTGTAAGATAGATGCAGTCAAACCTCGATTTAACGATTCACTTGATTTAACGATTTTCTTGATTTAACGATGTCAATTTTTAGTCTCTACCTTATAAAGACGTTCGATTTAACGATCGAGAGTTCCAGCTCCTTGAGAATCGTTAAATGACTGTACTTTCCAATCCTCTAGCTCATTAGTCTTTGTTATTTGAATATTTTTCACTCAGCTTTCACAAATCACTTATTTCCTTAAGTCAATTTCCCTCAAACAAACCCTTTGCGGCGCAGTGAATGCCAAGACTTGATCGATCGAGTTTTTACTCATCGTTGACTGAAATTTCAATTCTTTTTCTAAAATCTAAGATATTTTTTTGTATTAATGTAGCTTTTTATCACCTGAATATCTTGTTCGACAAAGGGCACCGATTGGCTTTGTCCCATCGCCCGTCGGGTGGGCGCGTTCTGCAAAATTGATTCAATTTTGATATAAATATCTCGCAATTTCTAGATAAAATTCATTAGAAATCTTTACAAAATCTTATACTTTACAATACTTACCGTAAATACTGTAATAGTACCTCACCCCCCTCGTACAGTCGCGTAGTCGCAAAAGTTTTTTAGTATTTCATTTTTTTCAAAGCGCCCGTACTTTCAAAAAATGCGTCTTTGGTATCGAAAAATAGCCCTGAATTTCAGCTATTTTTTGATACCTAAACGAACATTGTAGCATAAACCAGTGTCGAGAAAAACTCGTCCAAAGCTCGACTACGCAACGCTCCGCACCGTCATTATGGGGGTGGGGTACTATTACAGTATTTACGGTATATTAAATTTTCTAATTTTTTCTTTAAAAATCTCTTTAAGAAACTTTAAAAAATACCCCCAAACCGATCCAATTGGCGAAAAGGCCGGTTGTCACCAAACCTTGTGTGTTTCCAAAAAATTGATCCGAAAAAAGGATTGAATCTCTAAAAAAAGAAAGTTTTACCTAGTTATCTAAATAATATCTTATTAATAATAATATTTTAATTCAAGCATACTGATCATAGATTAGATTAAATGAGAACTGAATAGAGCTAGGGAGTGGGACAAATGCGACCTTTTTTTTTGCGCACCCGGACATTTGCGCACCTTTTTTTTCCGCACCTTGCCCATTAGCGCACCTTTTTTCGTGTTTTAAAAAAGCTCTAAAAAGCTAATATTAACCAATTTCTATTCCAAAAGTTGTTTTTCTAGGTTCTAGTTCTAGTTCTAGTTCTAGTTCTAGGTTAGGGTGTAGAATCGAAATTTTGACATATCAGAGCTTGTAGAAGCGAACGGACGGAGTTATACAAAGAGAAAAATCGACAATTTTCTGTAATTTGATCTAGCCGTTTTGTCTTTGGTGCGCTAGGTGCGGTAAAAAAAAGGTGCGCTAATGGGCAAGGTGCGGAAAAAAAGGTGCGCAAATGTTCGGGTGCGCAAAAAAAGGTCGCATTTGTCCCACTCCCATAGAGCTACAATCTTTTTAAAATTTACCGTATTTCTTCGAATAGAAGACCGAGTAAAGAGTATCATCGCGTACTCCTGCGTAGCACCCCTTTTTAAAATTTCTTTTCTGCATAAAAGCTTTCAATGAAGTGCTATAAAGCTGGAAAATGGCTCAAAAATCTGTTAGCTCATGTCGTATTTTTGAGTCATTTTCCAGCCCTATAGCACTCCATTGAAAGCTTTTATGCAGAAAAGAAATTTTAAAAAGGGCTGCTACGCAAGAGTACGCGATCATACTCTTTACCCGGTCTTCTATTCGAAGAAATACGGTAAATAGCTTTAGTTTAGCTTTGAAATCGAGCTACAATCGAACTGAATCGAGCTACAATCTTTTTAAAACTTTAGCCTCTCCCTTTCAGTAAAGATCTCAATTCTCAACATTCAAAATGCTAGAATACTTTTAGAATTCGAGAAACTCGAAAAGTTTACTGTGGATTCGTTAACGCTGATTCCAAAGTCGAATCCCAATACGGCAATGAGACGGATGGATCGACGCGACGAAGAGCGATCTCGAGTCTGAAAATTGTTAAGCTTTTTTTTGTGTCGGGCACAAAGTAGTGGTACCTCTTGATAAATTCTCGATGCCATGGAAGGAAAGCGGGGCCTGAATGGGCTCCTGGAGAGATTTGAATGTTGTGATGAATCGTTGACAATTCCGTGTAGTTTCCATTGCTCTAGAAAATGTCTGGTTCATCAGAAGTCTAGAAAGAATTTGAATTTCTATCAAAATCAAAATCTATCAAAATGACTCTTTTCTCTACCGTAACTTCTGGAAAACCCTAATAAAAATAAAATAAGACAAAATTCCAAGGCGAACCTAATTCCACCTTTCTTTTTCTTGGCCAATTCCTCTGAAATTTTGTCTACAGATCGAAATCAATCTATTCAGTTTTTCAGACAAAATTGCAGAGGAAGAAAAACAAAGGCTGAGTAAAACGACAATGGAATTAGGTTCGACTTGAAATTCTGGAATTTCGACTCTCTTTACAGAGCCGCCACTTACCGTAATCGCCCAAAATGCTTTCACATATGCATTCCTTTCATTATCGCTCATCATTCTCCATTCTTTTCTCGTCGCTTTTCGATAAACCCCACCATTCAACAAATTGCAAACACCATTTTGAAAATCGCCTTTAATTTGAAGTTATTTAAGTCAAAGAGGAAACAATTTTTATTAGAGTGTGTTCCTTTCGAGTAAATAATTACTCAAGTAAAATTTGCATGAGTAATTTTTACTCGAAATAAGGATTTCACTTTTTGTGATTTTCTCAATGGCGCACTGCAGCTGATGGCGCAGCTTATGGCGCAGCTTATGGCGCAGCTGATGGCGCAGCTGATGGCGCAGCTGATGGCGCACTGCTTTGGATTTGGGTTTCCACTTGGGTAATTAAATTCAAAAATTCAGCAGGTTTTGCTTAAAAGAAATAATGGATTCGAATTCCCATCAGAAAACGCCGGTTGCAAATTTTGAGCTCAAAACACCCAGCAGTAACAGAGAAATAGATCGCGGTCACCGGTGACCACTTGGTCGCGAGTAGAGTGTTTTCCTTTCGAGTAAATAATTACTCGAGTAAAATTTGCATGAGCTAACTCGTTTAATCGACCTTTTTCGCCGAGTAACTACGAGTAATCCTCTTTACACGCTGACTAAATCGAATATCTTTACATTTGAAGAGAATTTGTCACCAAATCAGGTAAACAGTTGAATATCTTTAAAAGAAATCGTATAAAACTCAGCGCTCGTGATGCTTTTGCGTCAATTTTTTGCAATAATTTTCGCCAAAAGTACGGCGTAATTTTTCCCAAGTGTGCGTTTTAAAAAAAAAAAGGTATTACTTGCGAGGAGCACACTCTAATTTTTATACATTACGATAAATGATACCAAAAAGAAACATGCAGATACAGTTGATATCGAAACATTCAAAAGAATTCGAGGGACGAGCCGGAAGAGATAAAGCGACATTTTGTGGACGAGACGAGACGTTTACGACTTTCTGAAAAAGAAAAAAAATACTAAAGCTAACTAACCCTTTAAAGCGTATTTTCTATTTGGCACTAATTTTGACTGTGACTAGTTTCGGTATTCGAAATCAATCTGATGATCAATTGATTGATCAATTGATCAATTGATCAATCAAAGTTGATTTCTTTTCAACGGTGTTTCCCCATCTACCGTATACGTATAGTTTTTGTTTTTCCTTACTCACCCTCGAGTCTTGATCCCACGTGTGTATTTGTCGACAAATCGCTTTCAACGCCTCACTCGGCGCATTCTCGCAATCGCTCATTTCGCCCAAATTTTGCCCGAGGATTACGGTAGAAAATGTGCAGAATAGAAAAAGGATTACGGTAGCCATTTTGGGGAAAATAATTGTCACCAAACTTCCGAACGAAAATCAACTGAAATGTCTCTTTAAAAAGCCAATTTTTTTTTTGACCGGTGAGTTGTATGTAAGTAGTCAAACATTGCACCCGGAAAAGTTTACTCAACAAATGACTCAACTTTGGAAGAATTTAAGAAGAAATACCGTCGTAAATACACAAAAATCTTAGACTCAGGCGAATTTCTCGGAAATTGTTGATACTTTCAAAAATTTAATATTTCGAAATCAAAGGCCAACTTGGCTCACTATCCTTGAATTGATTTGCATTTGCCATCTACCGTATACCTTCTCAAGCGTCCATCGTATTTTGATAAATCACGGAAAATTCGATTTTATTTAACATAAAAAATGACTTTGCAAAAATTGCATGATTCGATATCAAGAAAAACACAACACATGGCTAAAGAAAGAAGAAAATTATCCATGTGGCAAAAGGAATAAATCAAACAATTGTTGCAGGAGAAAACCCAATGATTTGAGTTGAGAAAAACGGAAAAATCTCACCGATCACCGATCGATAAATGGTTGTGATGAGAGGATTTAGGATTAAACAACAGTGAAGCTAAATTTGCATTTAGATACTCATTGGCTTTTGTATCTACTTACTGTTGGCATGTGTGACTTTACTGTTTTTAAATTAGAAAATTGCAAAACAAGTAAGAATTTGAGAGTAGAAAAGAGGAAAAAGAATAGCATTGAGGGTCACCAAAACCCGATTTCGGCTAAACAAGGAAAAGACCCAAAAGAAAAATTAGAGGGACAAATTCGATACCCTCATCCACATTTCTACTCTTTGCCAAAAAATTAACATTGCTGACTAACCAGGTATAAAAAAACCGCTATAAAATTGATACTTAATGAGTATTAAGTCAAAAAGTAGATAATACTCGGTAGCAAAAAAAGATAAATGAGAAAATGAGCAAAAAAGACAACTTAAATCTCTTCGACAAAGATCTGCTCGCGCCCCGGCCATTTCAACGTCTCAAATGTGCCATTTTTGTCCATTGTTGATACCTGAAATGTAAATTTAGCACATGTAATGATAGCAAAGCTATGGATATTCTAAGCCCAAAATATTTCGGACAAAGTTAGGTTTTCTTTTGAGTTTCGTGACAGAGATAGATCAAAAATTTGGTCAACCATTCGTTTTGGGTTTTACAAAAGTAACTCTGTCGGTTTTTTTTAATTTGAAACGTGACCAATTCTGTCCTGACATTCTGGATCAACCCTGCTCAAAAATTACTCTAAACTCTACTTACATCTTTCTTTGGGAAATCCGAGTTGAAGAATTTGAACTTCTCCGGGTTGAATCCTTTAACATCCAAAAAAGCAAGCAGTAGAGACAACTTTTCTGTACGGCGAAAACGACGCAGCAACTAAAAATTAAATGTTAAACTCTTTAAATATTCAAAAAACCATTTCTCCGTTAGGAAGTCGAAATTTCACATGAACCAAATTAGGCTCTTTCTCTTCAGGCTCAACTGGAATCGACTTTTCCACGTTTTTCCTAAATCCAATCAACGTTAATAGAGCTTCTACAAATATTTCAACCGTCGCATCGCCTCCTCTGCTTCAGCAAATACGCGACGTTCCTCAGCCTCTTGTTGTTCACGAATTTCACGATCCCTTGCTTCTTGACGAGCGCGATCAGCAGCCAGTGAAGCTTCATATCTGAACGCAAATCATAGTACTTTTATTTTTTCTAATATCCTACTCTTGATGTTGCTCTTCTCGTAGGCGATCGCGTTCTTTTCTTGCCGCATCATCAGCCATATTGGCCAAGCGAATCTAAAACTTCAATAGAATATATGAGCTTGCCTAAGAACCTGATTGTAGACATCAACAATAGACATTAACTTCTGAACGGCTAGTTCATGCGAATCGGTGCCTAAATACCACGAATAAAACAAAAAGGATGAGGAAAATCTTACCAAAGACAGATTCACCAATCCGAAGCTTTCCTTTATCCTTGATAATGAGTAAAAGCATTGGGAAGAGATCCTTGTTGCGAGCACGGAGCTCAACGGTTTGTCCAAAAACTTCGTCCATCCCAGCCAATGACATCCAGTCTCGTAACTAAACAGTTAATTGCACAACACCTTTTCAAAAGTCATGCTGTTTGTTGACTGCTGTTCATAGAAAAATTAACATAATGTCTCATTTTCCCTGATCTACATTGGAAACCACTGAAATTAGCATTAATTCGTCAAATAAAAGGAAACCATTTTGTCGGATGGATATCAGTCTTCTCGACTTCAACCCGACAAGATGGCTCAATCGATCCCACCCGGCGACATCATCACTCAACCCAACGCGAAGGTCGTTTTCAACGCCCCCTACGACGACAAGCACACCTACCACATCAAGGTATGGATTTTTTTATTTTTTCGTTTATTTACCCTACTTGCTTATGACCCCTTTTTTGAACTTATTTCCTTGTCATTTATTAATTTTCTTATTTAGGTGATCAATGCTGGAGGTCGTCGTATCGGCTGGGCCTTCAAGACCACCAACATGAAGCGCCTTGGAGTCGACCCACCATGCGGTGTTTTGGACCCAAAGGAGGATGTCCTTGTAAGTTTTATTTCCCTTTGTCTTTGATTTTATTCTACTTCACTGATTGTTTTGTTTAGGTTGCCGTCTCGTGCGATGCCTTTGCCTTCGGTCAAGAAGAGACCAACAACGATCGCATCACCATCGAATGGACCAACACCCCCGATGGTGCCGCCAAGCAATTCCGCCGTGAATGGTTCCAAGGAGATGGAATCGTCCGCCGCAAGAATCTCCCTATCGAGTACAACCCTTGATCTGCCATGATTTTGAGTGCCCAATAAAATTTGTACTGTGAATGTATTTCATTATCATTTCCAATATACTGCCAATTGTTGGGTTTTCAAACGGAAAATTTGTCGTGTGTCTAGTGTTCAATAGTCACCTGTGTTTGATGTTCTCGCTCCGTGACATCCCAAGGCCACAAAACAAATTGACCGCGTAACAAGTTAGAAACCGACTCAGAGCAAAGAATCTGAACGTGGGATGAAACAAAAAGTTCTAAATAAACTTACCTTTGGTGGAAAAATGTTGGATGCAATTCCGCGATCATGATGCAAATACAAAGCCAACGGTCGTCGTTCTTCCACACCTTTACCAACCGGGTCAAAAGCCTAAAATAGCAGATACATAATTGAGTTATCCGATAACTACCTGTTGAACTGCTTCTTGAAGTGTACCGTGATAAAAGTTGAGTGGAGGCTTTGAAGAGATACCACCATTTCGATATCTAAGATCCGGATTAAGTTTCAAAAACAAAAAAAAAATAAGTATTACCTGACATCAAAAATTGTGATGAAATTGTTGATAGCTTCGTAAATGTCGCCATAATCCTTGGGAATAAGCGGAACCGTATATTCATTCTGTTGAGATTCCGCAAGCATGTCTTCGTCATCTGGTTGATAAGCATAGGCACTTGTATCCTGAACATTCGAAGTTAATTAGATTGATTGTTTTTTAGCCAACCATATCACTATCATCATCCTCGTGAACCAAATCACGACGCCTATTCTGTCGACTCTGCTGTCGAGCGGCTTCTCGTCCATTAGCACGTCGTCCACGTGTGCGATCTGCAATTGAAGACGACGAAGGTTGCTCAACTAAACAAATTCAGATCAAAACAATATAAAAACTGGCACAAGTAATGTGCCTAAAACGAACCAATATGTGCAGCTGTATGATAAGTTTGTCGTGCCCGTGGAAGCAACTCAGGAACGATTGCCTCAATGTCGGGAGAAGGAGTAGCTCGTGCTGCATGTGGCTGCTCGATGATGGCAATATCGTCCTCCTCAGCGCTAAATTTAAAACAAAATAAAATAAAGTTTGCAGTAATTTTGCTTGGATGGAGCAATGTGGTGAATCGGTTTTACTTTCAAAATTCTGGATCAGCTTTTCCTATCCATTGCACTTCCAAATATAATCGCAACGATTAAGCTTAAAGAGGCTCAACAGACTTGTGAAAGTGCATTCCAACTGATTCATAAGTTGATGATGCAAAAAGGGAAAACATCAGGAAAGTAAGGCAAGGCCAGGTAAAGTGCTTTCGATAAACTGATTCATCAAAATTCAACTTTTTGAAACATTAGCATCAACTAACCCATTTGAAGGGCCTCCGGAGAAATGCTGTTCGACGGCTCTTTCCACCTCGTAATTCATTGAAGCGAGGATCGCGTCCGCAAGATCCCGATCATCCACACCAGTGATCTCCTAAAACCAAGATTTCAGATGAATAAAAAAAAACTATTTACCATAAATTGTTGTAATTTTCCTTCGTTATCGTCACTCATCGTCGAAACTATCTAAAATTTAGACGATTACACGAAACTAGAAGCTATTAAAGTAAACCAAAAAAAGTTTAGTAAAATATTTTACATGATTAAAAATCATTTAGAATAATTATCATTCATTTCGTTAAACTTTTATTATTCGACATAACAATCGGGATTATTCAATAAACTATTTCAATAAACTGCAACAGCCTAACAAAATCGTAAAACCTATGAATCTCAACAATAACACAAGGTAAATAGATATGTTCAAAAAAAAGAAAAAAGTATATCACGTTTTAGAGACCTGTTAAACGAATTAATAAAGAAGAAATAATAATATAGGAAAGCCTAGAAATAGTAACCTAGAAAGATGATTCTTGACGTCGTTGTCGGCACTCCTGGCAAAACCAATGACCAATCGGAGCTTGCTTCAATCCGACACATTCAAAGTGGAACCATTGAATTCGACACTAAATTTTGAAATAAAAATCTATTTTGGTTCTAAGTTGCACTTGAAAACAAATGTAGTGTGTTTCCAGTAAAAGTTGAATCGACCTTAAATCTTCAGCAATCAATAAAGTACCTTTTCGTTTTCACAGTAGATCATCTCTCCATCAGATGGCTTCTTGCAGATGCACCAAACCGTGTGTGAGTCCTCATCATCATGTTCGTCATCTTCGTCGCCAAGACCATCACCATTCTTGAAGTTTAGCGATCGGGGCTTAAAAAATGACTAATATTACAGATTCAATAAAAACTATCTCGTTTTCATGACCCGAACAATAGCTTACAAAATGTTCGTCGTCTCGTGGATGTGGTCGCTTTCGTTGATCTTTCTCTCGTTTTTCACTCAACATCTCTTCAACACGTGTAGTTAATCTAATTTCTTATTAATTAAAGCTCTCAAACACTAAGCTAACCTTCGATGACGGCCATGAAGACTCACATCTGAGGAGAAACGCTTTTTTCGATCACCCAATATGAAAGAAGAATCGGATCCTTCCCTGTAAAGAAAAATATATATATCAGCCGAATAAATATTTTGCTTACCTGGCAACCCTTGACATATAATTTTTTGAATAGCCGTTCCCAGGCGAGGGAAGAGACATTGACAGCTCACTATCGTAATTGAAGATTGATCCGGGATCGTCCTAAAACTGTTTTAATACAATTGACTAAATTAGTTTTTATAACCTTGATAATATCGAGCATTTCACGTGGAGGAGATGGCATTTGAGGGAAGATATCATGCAGATCATTTATATCCTCATCTAAAAACAACATTTTTATGGAAAAAGTCTATTGTATTTAAAAAATTTTAGAACAACGTTAGGAAGTTTTTAATTCGATTGCTTCAAATAGCATTTGTGTACGATCTAAATCATTTATAAACAACCAACCGGCAAGTAAGTTTGAAATCGAGTCTTCATCACGAATCGAGCTCGCTTGGCTGATCTCATCATCGCCTTTGACCGATGGGAAACCTTAATTTACAATGTTTTAATCAAACAATTTCATTTTACTTACCAAATGAGTCGACTTTCGGTGGTCGACCACGCGAACGCGCATTTGCATTTTTGCGACCTTTGTTTTTTACGGGTGGACCCTAAAAGTAAACTTATAACATGGAAAACGCAAAAAAACACACCGGTCGAGATGTTTTGAAATTAGACAAGAAGCCGCCATTGTTACGAGGTCCTAAATTACAATACAAAATAAGACAAACAAACAATTTTTAAAAACTACCTAGAGGTTGGCGGAGATGTGAAGAAGATCCATAAGAATCGCTGAAAAGTGAAGGGTCGACCACCGTTTGTTTTATGCGATGATTCTTTTGATGTCTTGCTTGCCAAGAGGTGATAAAATCTAAAAACAAAATTTTTCGAAAAAAGCGACTCAATACTTGATTCAATAGCCTCCGTACAACCCGGATTCTCTGCTTCTAAATCCCATTTGAACTGAAGTTGATCCTTTGTCACCTAAATTGTAATTACTAAACTTTAACTTTTGTTCAAAATACAGCTAACCTTATCAGCAATGAGTCGTAGAATTTGTTCAGCACTCTCCGTCAAGCGAATTTTCTTTTGACCCAACGTTTTCATCAGTTGATAGATCTAGACAACAAAACGTTAAATCTACAAAGCAAAATTAACCTTTCCAATTTCTGTGCACACTTTCAACTTCTCCTCAGGGGATAGATTCTTTGGGTCGTTCATCAGTTTGTCGCGTAGACGCTTGAATTGCTCGTGTTGTTCTAAAATGTTAAGAATTAGTCAAACCTTTGTAATTTTTCTTTAAAAATTAACATAATGTCTCATTTTCCCTAATCTACATTGGAAACCACTGAAATTAGCATTAATCCGTCAAATAAAAGGAAACCATTTTGTCGGATAGATATCAGTCTTCTCGACTTCAACCCGACAAGATGGCTCAATCGATCCCACCCGGCGACATCATCACTCAACCCAACGCGAAGGTCGTTTTCAACGCCCCCTACGACGACAAGCACACCTACCACATCAAGGTATGGATTTTTTTATTTTTTTGTTTATTTACCCTACTTGCTTATGACCCCTTTTTTGAACTTATTTCCTTGTCACTTATTAATTTTCTTATTTAGGTGATCAATGCTGGAGGTCGTCGTATCGGCTGGGCCTTCAAGACCACCAACATGAAGCGCCTTGGAGTCGACCCACCATGCGGTGTTTTGGACCCAAAGGAGGGTGTCCTTGTAAGTTTTATTTCCCTTTGTCTTTGATTTTATTCTACTTCACTGATTGTTTTATTTAGGTTGCCGTCTCGTGCGATGCCTTTGCCTTCGGTCAAGAAGAGACCAACAACGACCGCATCACCATCGAATGGACCAACACCCCCGATGGTGCCGCCAAGCAATTCCGCCGTGAATGGTTCCAAGGCGATGGAATGGTCCGCCGCAAGAATCTCCCGATTGAGTACAACCCTTGATTGCTTTGCTGTGTTTTCGGCAATAAATCGTTCCTACCAATTTTTTTTAAAATTGCATGTAACAACAAATATTAAAATGTTGAAAAGAGTGATCTTTTTTGATTCGAATAGATTTTGAACGATTAAAATTTACTCGAGTAAGCCTTTACAATTTTTTAGTAAGAAGTTTTATCAGATTCGTGGCTATAGAGTAAAAGCTAAAGATAACAAAGTCGTGCTAAAATTTTCTTATGAAAAAACAAACTTTGCCATTCGACATCAAGGTGTTTGATCTCGTTGTACTGCTTCTTGACTTGCTCCGGAACGTCCTCGATTACTAAAATATAATTTTAATCAAAGAAATTTTTATAAAACTAAAAACTCACGTTCATAAATCTCCTCAATATACATTTTGTCACAGGCATCGAGCCCTTCGCATCGGTTCTAAATAATAAATTGTTTTCAAAGATAAAAGAATGGGATAAAGTTAAAATGAAAAAACAAGGCAAGATCTATTTCGATGGTTTTTTTAAATCAGCTGACAAAATGATGATTTTAATCAAGGGAGTGAGTACGGGGATGGCCAAATGACGGGGAGAAACTCTGGCGTGTCTCGAATTTCATTGTATGTTGGCGTATCCCTTTTGTCCACACAAAAGAGGCGCAACGAAGTACAATCGGACTAGACAAACGAATGTTATGCAATGAAAAGGCACTTGGTATTTTTTTAAAAAAAGAATGCTGTTTTTGATTGAGATCTACCGTTTCATTGGTAATTCTCTCGGTGCCGTTGGCTCAATTCTTTGCAATTCTTTCGTGAAATGCCAGATTTCAGCCAATTACCTACTTTACAAGGATTTACATTGTGCCAAATAGATACTGTCAATTATCAAAACTAGAAAAGAGCTTGCAACTTTTAAAAATTACGGTAATAAATCGTGCAAATCGATGGATATACCAGGCAGGTTTTCTACTGGGGAACAGCATTCTAGGGGTAGGCTAGTTTCCGCAAATTTCTTTGCGCAACTCGCCATAACTTTCTTCTAACTGGACCAATCTTTATGATTTTTGTTTCATTTTGTTGCACTTATTGAGATCTACAAAATGAAAGCAAAATCATAAAGATTGGTCCAATTAAAAGAAAGTTATGCCGAGTTGCGCAAATGACCCAGTTGCGCAAAGAACCTTCCGCACAACACTTCTTCTTAAACACTCTGGGAAATCTGCCTATAAATCGAGGGATGATTTTTAAAATTCCATACAAAACTTTGAACGCTTATAACTTTTGACAGAGTGCTGCGTTACAAAAACGGAAAGCAGATTTGGAATCAGCGCAAAATTCTGCGTCAAATAGTATATGGTCCGTGTCATTTAACCATCACACCCGGTTGACATTCCCTTGTTAGTTGATTGTTCTATTGGATTGTTTTAGTTTCTGAAATTTCTCCAAATTGGTCTCTTTTAGAAGACTTTATCAACAATAAATACAAGTGAACAGAATTCTTTTTTTTCTAAATCGTTTCTGGATTCGTCGTCGTTGATGTGAGCATTGAGGTTGGTTGAGTTGCTGATGTGGCCATCTGTAATCTACTTTTTGTCACATTTAACAACAAATTGCAAGATTGCAAACGTTCATAGGGTAACTGTACGTACTGTAACCTTGTCGGTAACCCTTGTTAACCCTTATTTACCCTAAGGCCTTGAATCGGAATCGTTTTCTAGGAAATCGGTGACTTTTTCCTCATACCGGTGTCGAGCTGAGCAGTGATACTTGCATCGATGTCGGCTCTTGTGTGGGCAATGGCTTCCTTCTCCAAATGCAAATCATTTCCATCAATTTCTCCATATTCAAGTAGCTCTGAGTAATCAGTGTTTGCAATTTTTGACCAATTCACTTACAATTATCAAATCGTACAACTCAATGCAAATGTAACCACAAATACCCAACAAGAGCACACTGATCGAAATCCATAAAAACTCCTGAACGCTCGTGAACTGGAAAAGAAAAACAAATTACGGTAACACAATCCTATGATATCGCTCACAGAAATCCCTTACAATAACTCTGCAGCACTCTTTTACATAACCTTATAGAGTAAAGTCTCTATAGAGCATCTATAGAGTAAAGTCTCTATAGAGCATCTATAGAGTAAAGTCTCAAGTCTCTATAGAGCATCTATAGAGCTTCTATAGAGTAAAGTCTACAATAACCCAGTTACTATAGACGTTTACAGTACCCTTTACTAGTTACTATAAGGTAATCGACACTTTTACAGTGACCAACTCTTAACAAAAGAAATCCGAGCGCAATCCCGAGACTCTCCCAGAAGCGATAATTCGCAAACGCGAGATCCAACGATTGACGACCGACCAAAGCCACCCAAAAACCTGAAAGGATTCAAATAACTGGAGATATCAATATTGAGTATTTTAAGATATTCAGAGACTGTAGCTAGAAGAATGTCTCTTCTAATTAGTGTAGAAGAGACTTTTGCAAATCTCTTCTACACTTAGTGCTTAATCTACAGTCCGTTTCATATTTCTTTATCCACCCCCCAAAAAGAGGTTTTATGGAGAATGGGTGGAGATATCGAGCTATTTTCTTTTGCAAGGCCTTTCGGCCATATTGTAAAACCCTAAAAACACCGTTTTTGGGTTACTGGATTTTCTCAACAAAAAAAAACTAAGAAAGAAGATTCTGCGACCGTTTCACATTTCTTTATCCACCCTTAGGAACTTTGAAAATCAACATTTATTTAGCATTAACAACAAATAAAATAATTCTCCATAAAACCTCTTTTTTGGGGGTGGATAAAGAAATATGAAACGATATTCAAATCTCCAAAATCCCAAAATCTCCAAAATCTCCTGGATAGCTAATAGATTAAACTAATAGAATTTTATTGAAATTCCTTGCACCAACCATTTATCTGTGTATTCCAAACCCCGTCAGCCATCCCCCAAACGCCGGCGATCACATAGAAAACGAGGGAATCCGTTGGGTTTAGCGACCAGATCTGAATTGGTTCTTGAAAAAGAATAATAGCTTTAGATAAGTAATAGCTTTAGATAACTTAATATCTATTTTAAATACTTCATTCTTATCTTAAACAAACCGCTAACGTGACAATCATGAGCATGTTGATCACGGCACCGAAAACGAAAAGCGGTGTTCGACCGAAGAGTTTAATTAGAGGACCTGAAAACTATTTTATGAATAATTATTGGTATTGCTTTTAAAATTTAGAATAGAAAAAGTGCTCCGATTACCGTAACGCTTCATTTACCCTTAAAACTAGAGTGCATTATGGGACATTTGATACCTCGCCCCCTTTCCCATTGATAATCCAACTTTAAGCCCAAATACTTTGGTGTACGGCTGTTCAATTGAAATATTCTTGATATCATTGGATGCGCCAAGTCTTTCTCTATCGATTGGTACAAAAACTATTTCAATTGGACAGCCCAACACCGGGCCACTGGCAAAGGCCGCGAAGCGTGTCAAATGTCCGCTCCGTTATTGACAATCCAACTTTGAGCTCGAATCTCTTGGTGTTCGGCTGTCCAATTGAAATAGTTTTTGTACCAATCGATAGAGAAAGACTTGGCGCATCTAATGATATCAATAATTTATAAATTGGACAGCTCAACATCAAGATATTTGAGCTTAAAGTTGGCCAATGGCAAAAGGGTTCGCGTATCAAATGTCCGATAACCTTAGAGTGTGCTCCTTTAGAGTTTTCTAAAACGTGACAACTTTCGAAACTATCGTACTACTTTGGTTTTCTATTAGAGACAAGATTACGGTAGCTTTGCACATTTTAGAAAACGTTTTAGAGCTGATTGCTCACCAAAAACGAGCGAGCAAATCGCATCTGTTACGCCAAAAGCCGTCATGACGAAACCGATCTGCGAGATGCCCAAACCACAACCAACAAATGACTAAAAGTGATTTACATTTGTTGAATCAATTACCCAAGTAATTACTTTACTTAACAGTTTAATTGATTGACTTATTTGCTTTCGGTTAAATCACTGATTGAATCACTTTTATCGGTTCATTTACCCAACCAATATCGAACTTATTTGCTCAACTGCTTGAAATTCCATTAACTGGTTCATTTATCTAATCAGTCACTTAAATATGATCATTTATTTGTTGGCTGATTTCTACAATTTCTACAATTGATTACTGAAGTGATTGCTTTCGATTGAATCACTTTTATCGGTTCATTTACCCAACCAATATCGAACTTATTTGCTCAACTGCTTGGAACTCCATTGACTGGTTCATTTACCCAATCAGTCACTTAAATATGATCATTTATTTGTTGGCTCATTTCTACAATTTCTACAATTGATTACTGAAGTGATTGCTTTCGATTGAATCACTTTTATCGGTTCATTTACCCAACCAATCTCTCGAACTCACTTTTGTGTAGACTCCAACAACAAACGCTTGCTCGAGTCCGTTGAATATTGTCAATGGAATCAACAACAACACCTAAACATTTGTTTTGATGAAAAGAAATGTTTTTGATTACTTTCACATTCGCGAAGTTCTTCAGCGAGAGTTTCAAAATTTGCGCGTTGAATTGCGGCTTTTTCGTTCTGAAATTCTTTTCTTTTTACGTTCTTTTTCGATGGATAGCTGAGAGTTTTTTTGGTTTATTCTTATCTTAAGATTTCTTATATTATTAATGTTAAGACATTCTTATATTAAGATTTCAAATTTTACCGATTAATCGTATCCTTGTGCAACGCGTTCAGAAACATTGCCACAATCATTACCGCAACCATCGCACAACCGAGATAGGCAGCGCAAACCTGGAAAATTGTTGTCTCTAGAAAGTTGAATGGGACTTTCAGCCGTTTATTTCTCGTAATAGTTTTTGTTTGTTTTGCTTGTTTTGCTTGCTTTGTTTCTTTTGTTTTGTTTCGTTTTTGTTTTCTTAAAAGTTGGATTTATAGATCTTTTAGGAGTCGAAACTTTATCTTAAAGAATTTAACTTGGTTGAATAAGATCTATGATATCAAAACCATTTCCCAGGGCCAAGCTTGGCTTTATTGATGATACCAGCTAGTTTAAAATCATCGACTTAGATTGGTAATCCAGCTAATCTAGACTGAGTACCGATGATGGACTAAATACCGTAATCCTGCCAATCTAGACTGAATAACTTAATCTAGATTAAATACCCTATTCCAGCTAATCTAGACTGAATATTCATTCTAGACTAAATACCGTAATCCAGCTAATCTAGACTGAGTATCGATTCTGGACTAAATACCGTAATCCTGTCGGGATTTTCCAACCGGATTTGACTGTAAGCCAAGTTAAACCCTTAGAACTTGATCTCTGTTCTTCTTGGTCAGCCTGGCCCTAGATCCACAAGAATATAAGAATTAAACTAGATAAAAAAGTAAAATAGTTGCATTCTTATCTCGAGTTTGATATTAATAACCTTTCCTCTCTTTATAGACAGCTTTACACCAAAAAAAAGGCGCCTCACCGAAACGATCGCCGATTGTGGTGGCCTTAGAAGATTCAGCGCCGCTCGCTCCGACAATTCACTGAAGTTTTTCGGGTAACTGTGACCACAACTGAAAAATAATATTTAATCAATTCTCTTAATAAATTTAGAACTCACGTGTCAATGACTTGATCGTGCGGTGGAACGAAACCAATGGCCGCTTCGAGAATATACGATGAGATAAGATTCCCGGATACTTGCCCCAAATGTACGATCATGAAAAAATAGCCGAAAAATCTGTAAACCTGTGAAGTTACCAAGTTACAGTAATTTCCCCCGATAGTTCAAGCAAACTTCTTCAAGCAAACTATCAATCAACCTGTGCTTTGTGCTAGAGAAAACGCGCATCTTCTGGTAAACTCAATTAGCTTTATTTCAAATCTCTTTTTTGAATGCTTATTTGAAGAAACAAAAAACGATAAAACGCTTATTTCAAATGGAAATTGATTTCTTTGGTTTCTTTTATTGTTATAAATGAAATTTGTTCGCATTTGACCTGACAATGACTGTATTCGGCGCTTCAACATTCAATCGTGCATATCTCATTCCGCACTCGGTAATGTACGCACATTTTGCTCCCCAAAGACATGAGCCAGCAATTCCAGCGAGAATCGATGATGGAATAAGCGAATAATATCTATATCGCATTGTAAATTGTCTCATCTTTTTTCGAAACCTCGGCAAGAAATTCGTGAATATGTAGAGAGTGTAAATGGACATCGAAATGATCAACGTTTGTTTACATCCAAGACGATCGATCATGAATGACGGCACGAAAAGTGAGGAAATCGCCAACGAGACGTAGTGAGCCCTAAAATCGTTTAGAAAATGTAAAAGAAAAGTTTTGACACTACGATTTTGATCTTATCAGCCTTAACTAGAGTGTGCTTCTAAGAAACAAAACAAATCATTCAAATCAAATCATTCAAAGCATGTTTTCTAAAATCGGGGTAGGCTAGTCTCCGCAATTTTTTTTTGCGCAACAAGGTCATTTGCGCAACTGGGTCGTTTGCGCAACTCGTCATAACTTTCTTCTAACTGGACCAATCTTTTAGTTTCATTTTGTTGCACTTATTGAGATCTACAAAATGAAACTAAAAGCATAAAGATTGGCTGACTTAGAAAAAAGTTATGGCGAGTTGCGCAAACGACCCAGTTGCGCAAATAACCCTGTTGCGCAAAAAAAGTCGCGGAAACTAGCCTACCCCCTAAAATGTGCTCATTTCTAAACGGGTTTTCTAAAACGCGCTCTTTTCTAAAGCTGCAAAAAAATTTTTCATTTTCATTTCATTACATTACAAATTTTGCAGATTAACTTTACATTTTCTAGTTATTTTTGTTCTTTTTCGATCTCTATCGAAATTTTATGCTTTAAACAAATACCGTAAATACTGTAATGGTACCCCACCCCATAATGACGGTGCGTAGTCTAGCTTTGAACGAGTTTTTCTCGACACTGGTTTATGCTACAATGCGCGCTTAGGTATCAAAAAATAGCCCTGAATTTCAGCTATTTTTTGAAAGTACGGACGCTTTGAAAAAAATGAAATACTAAAAAACTTTTGCGACTACGCGACTGTACGAGGGGGGTGAGGGTACTATTACAGTATTTACGGTATACATAGTCCATACCCTGCAGTAATCCTACCGTAAGCTTAACGCAAATCCTACAGTAATATTTTAGAAACAACAAAAAATCGAAAAATATGGTTAACAAAAGGAGAAGAACACGAACGACGTTCAAAGGACAATTTTTTTCGGTATATTTCTGATATTTTAAGAAATTTTCGGGTTAATTGCTATGGTTTAAAGAAAGATTGAAGGAAAAGGCTAAAGAAATTTGATTTTCGCCAAAAAATGAATTAGATTAGATTTAGAATTAGATTTATAAACTGAGAGATTAGCTTTTGAGAGACTGAAATAGCTTTTTCTTTGTGCGCGTGCACCTTTTAGAAAACATAATTTGTGGGGAACACACTCTTCTAATCCCAACATCAACCCACATCAGCCCACATCAAACTGTTAGAAAACATAATTCATGGAGAACACACTCTTCTATTCCCAAGATCAACCCACATCAAACTGTCATCAAACTGTTAGAAAACATAATTCATGAGGAGAACAAACTCTTCTATTCCCAACCCACATCAAACTGTCTCCACCCAAATGATCGTTGACCGATGTTTGCAAATTTTGCAACCCATGAAATGCGGTGAACAAAAAGAGGAAAGCCAACGAGATTGTCCAGAGATTTGACTAAAGATCGTTTATAGTTTTAACCAAAAAAATTACTTCAAGATTTCAATGGCCTTTTTTTATGTGTACTCATACAAAAAGTGTCACCTCTCCCCGTGACAGCTAGAAAAGGCAAAGTAAACAAAAATCAAAACCAAATCCAAGCTAGCTTGGAGCCTAAATCACTAATTACCTAAATCACTAATTACCTTTATTTTCTGCATAATCTTGTCGGCTCTCCTTTTCTCGTCACCGCTCATTTGCAATCGTTTCTGCTTTCGGATGATTTTCGCAATAAAGTCTTGACTAAAACGAACACATTAAAGTAGGCAGCTTTATTTTCAACCTGTAAATATAGCTAGGTAATCGATCTGCCGAGTCTGCATTGTCAACACTGCTCATCAGTGTTTGCATCGTGATCAGTTTATCCTAAAAGGAGCAATTTTCAATTTTCAACTAGATTCAAGTTTAGAAAAGAAACTTTTCTCCTTTTGAGTCTCCGTCGACTCCCGTGCACCGGACAATACGGATCATATTCATATTCAGGCTGAAGATCCGACGGGAATTCACCCAATTCCTCCAAACTTGCACCACGAAACAGATACGAACTGTCAAAATACGATAAAAACGATCAAAATACGATAAAATACGACAAAATACGATCTCTCCATTCCCTCCTTCTCACCATTTTTCTCCTTGTGGCTTTAATTCTTCTTTTTCTTTCGCCGATAGCAAATCATCAAACGAAAACTTTTTCTCCTCATGAAAAAATTCGATTGGCCTTTTGCAAAAGTCATCGAGTGGGTATTCTGAAAAGTGATTTGCATCTAGGAATTAGTTGTAATAATTTTTTAGAACAACTATTTTAGAACTCACCGGGCAACTCATCAGCCGGCGCTGTTTCATGAACGAGATCCCTTCGCTTGGCAACCAAACCGATTTTCTCGAAAAAACTCCGACCAACTTTGCGAAAAGTATCGATAGCGGGAGATCTGAATGAGGCTTTGCAATTGTTTTTTGATTTGAACACTGAACCATTGGATTTTACCATCTGCTCTCTAGGTAGTGAGAGAAAAATGGGGATTGTGAAAGCCCGAGTGTTCGTGAGTGAATGGGTTTTTGAAAAAACGGTAACTTTGGAAAAGCCGTAATCAGTTCAGTTAAGGACCGTAATCAGTTCAGTTAAGGAAATTCAGTTTTTGTCCGATTCACTTAATAAAGGAGCCTGGAAGGAGCCTTTCATCTCTCGATGAAAGTATACATTTATTCAGTATCAATAATGTGACACAAATAAATACAATTCAACACACAACCTTAAAGATGTTGCAAAGAAAAAAAAACCCTCTTTATATAGGAAAGAAGAAAAAAGGCAAAAAGATATGAATTTTTCAACTGCTGGGATCGAACCTTTGATCTCCCGACTAGGAGGCAAGACTCCTAACCACTCGGCCATGGCGGTCAGAAGGGATTGTGGGAAAGATAGGACTATGAATCGAATGGGATCAAAAAATCATGTAAAGCGGACAAAATTTTAAGTAAAGATTACCGTGACTTTTTCAAATTACCGATCTTTTCAAAAAGGCATTCCTCACGAAGAACACAATTACCATTTAATTATCATTTAATTAAATCAATCAATTTTCCTAATTACCATTTATTTGCTTGAAATAACTTCAAACCTTTCCCTATGATCCGTCTCAAAATCCTCATCGAAACCAGAACCAGTGAAATACATTTCCGATGATTTCATAATAAACGCCAAAGCAAAAGCTTTCTGCTCTGAATACCAGGAATTGTCGTAAATCGTGATTTTACAATGAATTTTCTCATCTTTCTTCCGAAACTCGTGAAAAGTCGAATAGGCCAAAGTGGGTAAATGCTCATAACTTCGCATCACGTAATCAGACCACTCGACATATCTCGGTTCACTCGTTTCCCGCTGAAACGGTTCACTTTCGCTTCTCGATCTTGATCTTGATTGAACTTTTATTGTCAATTTACCGTGTTTAGTTGTTCGTTCTTTATCACGAATAATTGCTTGAGAGTGCTTTATTTTGTTGTTTATCGAGTGATAACTGGATGACATTAATGGATTGATGATTAGTGAAAGATTTTTTGATTTTAGAGTTTCTCTCGGAGCACTCGTTGCACGAAAACGATTTTTGATATGTTTTATGATTTTATCCTCGGATTCGGAACGACGATTTGATGATTCCCGGGATCGGTTTCCGTAATCTTGTTCTACAGACGGATTACCGTAATCCCTGATCGGCTTTTTTGACCCCTGTTTTGCCATCGACTGAGTTTCGTACTTTTTCGTGTCTTCTCGCAAATGTCTGGATCTTCTACCGTAATCCTGATCTGTCGCATGTTGACCGGAATCCTTTTCTGCTTGACTACCGTAATCTCTACCGTATCTCTTTGAATCTCGTTTTGCTGCTTGCCTCGAACTACCGTAATCCTCGCCATCATAGCCGAGATTCGAGATCCCATGTGTGGAACTTCTACCGTACTCCCCACCGTAATCCCTCATCTCGATCCTTTCTCGTCTCGTGGATCCACTACCGTAATGCAGTGCTTGTGATGTGGATGGTTGAGATGGATGATCTCCTTCATCATCTTCACAATAATATGAATTTGACGTCTTTTGAATGGGAATTAACGGCATTTCAGAGAAATCAACAGACAAGAGAGATCATTTCTAAAGGATCATTTCATTTCAAGAGAGATCATTTCATTTTTTCTAAAAATTTAAAAGATTTTCAATGAAAGGAAAATAAAGAAAGCAAGCAAAAGGATGAACAGGGAACAATAGAAAAACAATTGCTTATGGAAAGGCAAATGAAAATATTCTAATGGAAATCCCATTTTCATTCTGTAAACTCAAGTTTTCTGCCCATTGAATCGAGACTTTTTTCAGTAAAACAGTAAACTTTACTTTACTCTACTTTACTTTCAGTAAACTTTGCTCTACTTTACTTTCAGTAAACTTTGCTTTACTTTACTTTCAGTAAACTTTACTTTACTTTACTTTACTTTCAGTAAAACTTTACTTTACTTTACTTTTCGAACTTCAATCTCAATCTCAATCTCAATCTCAAACAAAGTTTACATAAAAATTAAGATTTTAAGAGAAAAATTAAGATTAAGAGTAAACTAGTAAACCTTATCTCTAATGATAAGGATACTTCTTGATCTTGAAGTGATCAAGAAGAGATAAGGATACTTCTTGATCTTGAAGTGATCAAGAAGAGATAAGGTTTACTTTTTCCAATATCCAGTTTCTATTTTTTATAAAAAAAGAAATCTGAATATTGTTTATATAATACTCTTCTCTTTCCTCCTTCTCTGTTTTTTTTATTTTATCCAAAAAATTCAAAAAAAAAAAATTTTTCTTGATCTTGAAGTGATCAAGAAGAGATAAGGATACTTCTTGATCTTGAAGTGATCAAGAAGAGATAAGGTTTACTAGTTTACTAATGGTTGTAGCAGAGAAAAAAAAGGAATTTTTGAGACAACAAATTGATGGTGGATGAATGGGGAGAATGGGCTCACTCACTTAAAGATTGATCTGATGTAAGGGAAGAAAAAGAAAAAGAAATGAGGCAAAAATGAGGATGGAAAAGTGAGAAAAACATAAATGATCGTCGCACATATGGAATGGAAAAAAAAAGGAAAGATCTCTGGGAAAATCTTTTGGATTTTGTGCTTTTTTTTGTGGACTTTTTAGCTCATCAAATTTACTTTTTAAGAAAAAGAATTTAAGAAAAAGCTAGAGCTGCACTTTGTACTCTTAAACTTAAACGCACTCTTTTACTTGTTATAAATAAAAGAAAGAATTGAGTGCACCAGAAAGGAAACGTTTGTGCACAAAGTACACCACGGTGATCAAGAAGATTGAAGGACTAGATTAACAAGAATGTTTGCCTGAAGACATGAATGAAATCTTCGCCGGGACAAGTCGTAGAGGTGTCGATTGTTGGTGTTGCAACTTCTCCCTTCCCTTCATTGCATGAGATCTCTTCAATATCTTCTTTATCTTTTCCCCCCTTTCATGGTGTAACATCTAATCGTTTCCTTTTTGCATTTCCTTCTTCATCTCTTCCTTTCTCTTCCTTTCTCTTCCTTTCTCTTCCTTTCTCTTCCTTTCTCTTCCTTCCTCTTCCTTTCTCTTCCTTCCTCTTCCTTTCTTTCCCTTTTGTTTTCTTGATTCAACTACAACAACAGCCTCTTCCATTTATCACACATCACCAATTTCCAAGTCGACCACTATTAACGCAAAGGAAATCCGCAAAATGATCCGCAATAAGGATGGTGAACAACTGGATTGATTTTGAACTGGATTGACTTTGAATTGGATTGACTTTGAACTGGATTGACTTTGAACTGGATTGACTGGATTGACTGAACAACTGGATTGACTTCATTTAAAAAGCATACTGTACCAATATTGAACTATAACTTTTACACGATACCAACAAAACACTAAATCCCCACAAAGCGCGCTTTGTCAAGATCTAAATTTACTATTTGCCTGGTTTAGTCTGGTCTTGGCTTAAAAATACCTTCAGAACTCAGAACCAGAATATCTGGCCAACTATCATCTGGCTTTTGATATCGTCTGGTTTACAGGGATTTTAGGATCTGTAGACCTAGGCAGACCGGACTTTAAGATCTGTAGACCTAGGCAGACCGGATTTTAAGATCTGTAGACCTAGGCGGACCCAGCGCGAGTCAAGACAAAAGTCAACTTCGATTCTGGCTTCTGATTGGCCAAAAACTTGTTTCCTAATTGGCTCCTGGGTAACCCTGAGCCATAGGAGAGTTAGAAAATCGCAATTGTTAGGATAAAAAAAACTGATGCGCTAGGAGAGTGTGTTGAAATTTTTTTTTAGCCCAGTACCCCCCTTTTTTCACTGACTTGCTTCTGTGCCTCTTTTCGCTTCTTTCTTCCTCCAAAATCTCTTTCCCAAGCGCTTCCAATGCCTCTTCATCCAAATTGAACAAAATCTGTAATTTCGATGATTCCTGTTTTCAAAAAACAGCATTTGATTAGTTGAAAGTGGAAAAATGTTTAAAATTAGTCAATAAATCAAAATTTCTCATCTAAAAGATGAGAATTTGAATTTGAAATTTGAATTAGAACAAAGACATGACAGATCTGACACGAATTTGAACAAAGACATGACAGATCTGACACGAATTTGAACAAAGACATGACAGATCTGACACGAATTTGAACAAAGACATGACAGATTTCTTTCCCCAAAACAAAATCTGTAATTTAACCTCTTTCGTTTCGTTGTTGAAACGGAGACTCTTCACCGAGCGATTCTGTTATTTTGAAAAGAAAAATTTAACGAATAAAAACTATTTTGAAAAACGATCGTCACTTTCGCGCGCGTCTGTAACTTCCTTGTCTTTGAGTTTAAACGACAAATCACCGAGTGTGAGGTGCGGGCATTTAGCTTAGAACCTAGCCGACTGATACTTGAGATCTCAACGTACACTACTGGACAATGAAATATGATATTTGAAAAAGGATCGTCACTTTCGCGCTTCTGTAACTCCCTTGTCTTTACCGTATTTCTAAATATTAATATTACCATTGTGTAGCCCTTGAAAAGAGCTTTCAGAAAATGTATAACACTAATAGTTTAAACTCAAAGACAAGGGGGTTACAGACGCGTGAAAGTGACGATCGTTTTTCAAATATCATATTTCATTGTCCAGTACTGTAGATCAAATTCGAACCAAATTATATCCCAATGTGAATGATCAAAATCAAAGCTAAACTTCAAGCGGATCAGGCAAAGCTCAAAAGGACCTCCTGAGTAAAAAAATCCTTTTGCTCAAGTCCTTTTGAGCTTTGTCTGAGCTAAACGCTCGATCCACTAGACTTGTTAGATTGATGCCGAGAATTTTCGAGCTTAATCTAGTCATCTATTAATTGGTTGTCGATCTGACCCACCGGTCGGTCCACCGGTCGATCAGACTTATGAGTTGTCGACTTTCAAAGGCAACAGTCTTTTGGAAATCTTTTAGAAATCTTTCAAAAATTTTTAATTTCATTCATTAAGCTCTTTTTTGTTTAAATATTTAGAAATGTTTAAAGTAAAATAAATGAAAAAAAAAGATTGCAAAAATATTGTTGTAGGGAAAAGATATTAAGCTTTCGTCTTCTTTTGAGTGTACTTTGTTCTCCTCTTGTAAAACAAATCCCTTCTAACACACTCGATTTCTCGTTTCCATTGTGAAACGAATTCAGTGCACTAGAAATCGTGCATTTACAGGCTTCGAGCATAAAGTACGCAAGAAAAATATCCACTTCTAACTTGCTTCAAATCTACCCGATTCACATGATCTATAGCCCAAAAAATAGAGAATTTCAAGAGCTTTTGAATGAACTAAAGCACACCGAAAAATATGAATGCTAAAGAAAGTTACGAGAAAGTTACGAGAAAGTTATCGCTTCGACTACGCGCGAGTACGGTCACAGTCGAGTTAGGCTACAAACCACTGTAACTTTCTTTAGCATTCATATTTTTCGGTGTGCTTTAGTTCATTCGAGCATAAAGTACGCAAGAACAGGTCAAAAGTCTCGACAGAACAGTTTCGACATAAAACGAACCCCTCGTGGAACGGGCGAAACGGAGCGACGAAGTGGAGTCTGGGAGAACTGAAAAGGGGAAAGGACAATCGAGAGTACACGCTGGAGTTAAGATTGAGTTAAGATTGAGATTGAGAAGCTTGAGTACACGAGAGACGGATCTTTGCTAATGACTAGCCAAGTTACTTGCAATTAAGCGTAAAGCGCTAGAGTAAAGGGTACAGTAAAGCGCTAGAAGCTGACAAATACCAAATATTCACAGATACTTTTTGTAAGTCTCTTGGCAATGTTTAGAGACTGTAAATCTTTTTAAAGCTTTAGAATCTAGATTCTTTGGCATTCTTTGGCATTTAAATGCTTTTATTCTCAAATACTACAAGAAACTCGGATTTTCCAGCAAAAAGCAAAACTTTTGACTGGGGGCGGATCCGAACCGTCGATCTCTTCCACTCGGTGTCAGAGCGCTAACCACTCGGCCATGAATCATCGCGACGGTAGGTTGACATTTCGTAGATATAACATATATTTTAAATTTTGACCAGCGTCGTAAAAATGATTGAAAATCGGTTCTTTTTTGCCACTTTTCGATCATGTTTTTCTAAGCGCTGGTTAATGCTAAAAATATGTTTTATATCTTAAAAAATCACCCATCCTCTCTACTTTAATTTAATACCTAAGTGTGCAGAAACAAATGTACTGGTGTCAAAATCTGAGCGTTTTTTTGAGAGTAAACTTAGACTACGCGACGCTTCTATGGGAAGCCATTCTATCAAAGTTTTAACGGTTTTTTGCTTGCGTTTAGAAGAATTTTAAAACTAAAACTGACCTTTTAATTAAAAAGCTGATCTAGCTTGGCGAGATTTTATTTCGCTAAGCTTCCCTCTCTTCTTTTTCTCAAATTGAGCCCACTGGACTTGCCAAATTTACATTTTGACCATCTCTACCACTTTTAGGAGATACCTGTGGTTGTAAGTACATCGGGTTTATGGAGGAGTTGAAACAAATACAAGGACAACAGAATAAGCGAATAATGAGTATAGTTTAGAGCAATGAGTACAGAGGTTCTCAGCGGTTTATCGAGGGATTCTATTGTTTCTTTCGTTTCTTTCGTTTAAAACGTTTTCTAAAAGACACCTAGTATTACGGTAGTTTTGCTTAGAATAAAATTTTAGAAAACGCATTAGCCGAGAGGAAGAAAATGACTGCTGAAAATGCTGACCTCACTATCGACACCGGAGACTTTTGATGGGGATCTCGTGGACCGTCCCCCTCCTCCTCCAGCCGCTTCCTTTTCTTCTTTTGACGGACTTGTGGGATCTCTTTCCCTTCTTCCAATCGCTCCCACTGCATTCAGCGGCTCGTCCACCAAATCCCACGCATTTCCATCCATAACGATATCGCTTTCCCTCTCTTGTTTTTCTCAAATTGAGCCCACGTGCTAACTTTTCAACAGCTGGAGCCGAAAGTTTGTCTAAAACAATTTTTTTTTATTACCATGTTACACAAAGCGGAAAGATTTTTAAAGTCTAAGGAATTTTTATGACTTTGGATACACTAATATTCGGAAAATGAAATTCAATTAATGCTTTTCAATTCGTTTTTCAACAGTAAAGAGATCGTTTTGAGCAAAGAGATCGTTTTGAGCAGAGCAAGCTATTGGATCAGCATAAAAGTTTCGATTTAATAACAAAATCGAAGAATCAACCCAAATACAATAAAGAATCGTACTCTAGATGGCAGCACGGTGCGCAAATTCAATTCAACTTTCGCATGTCAGGCTTTATGCAGCTTTACATAAATCGGCTCCTACTTTTTTTTTTTGTAATAGAAGAAGCACCGTGAAAAACAATCAATTTGATCCATTACAACTCGATGGATGGATCCTGTGATAGACATCGACACTATAAACTACAAAAGTGACGAACTCTCACGCTACAAACACTTCTAACTTGCTTCAAATCTACCCGATTGACATGATCTATAGCCCAAAAAATAGAGAATCTCAAGAGCTTTCGAATTAACTAAAGCACACCGAAAACTATGAATGCTAAAGAAAGTTATCGCTTCGACTACGCGCGAGTACGGCCACAGTCGAGTCAGGCTACAAATCACTGTAACTTTCTTTAGCATTCATATTTTTCGGTGTGCTTTAGTTAATTCGAAAGCTCTTGAGTTTCTCTATTTTTTTAGCTATAGATCATGTGAACCGGGTAGATTTGAAGCAAGTTAGAAGTGTTTGTAGCTTACGTAGTTGTAGTTTGTAGTGCGCATTTCTATCTTGTGAGCAAGCTAATGAAACAAAAAAAGACAACTCCTATGATTATGACAAGATCAGGATTTTCCAACCAAGTTCTAGATTGGATTCATTTTAAATAGGGTAAAAGCCTTATTATCCTTTTATGTAGGAAAAGAGAGACGAGACGGTATTGTTTTACGTATTACGGTAATGTTACGGTATTACGGTAATGTTTTAGAAAACGATTTACAAGACCATCAAGCCAGCGCCAGGTATTTTATGGTACTTTATCGTCTAGGCATGGGTTCGGTCGATCGTTCTTTGTGCTTTGATGTAAACTAAAACGATCTGGCACACCAAAATTCCAATTTTTCTGGCGATACCAAACTGCTGCTGAGGAATTTGGTGTGCCAGATCGATTTAGTTTACATCAAAGCACAAAGAACGACCGACCAACCCATGTCTATTATAGTCTATAACGATAATAGGTTGGGTGGGTTCACAGGTCAGCTACATGGGCTCACAGGTCAGCTAAAGCAAGCTAGGGCAGGCTTTGCTTGACAAAAAAAAATAGGCATCCATGGTTGGACTGAAAAAAAATGATACGATTAAATAAAATATATCAAAGACTCGAAGAAAAAAAAAACGAGTGTTTGAAGTGAGTGAGAAAACATGGCTCGAGATCAGCTCAAGCTCAGCCTCTTCCTTTGTCTTTTTTTCCCTTTGAAAAGAGTTGTAGCTTTTTGATGATCCACACAAGTGTTTAGTGCTCATTTGAAAAAGAGAATTTCCTCTCTTTTCTTTTCTTTTTTTGTTTTGTCGATAGTTTTCCTCTTTTTCCCATTCCTTTCTCGATCATTCACCGCCACCGTGAGGGTGTAATGAAAAGGAGTTAAACGAAGGCCAAAAAAAAAAAAGTGACGAATAAATGGGTCACTTGCTCAAAACATATGTGTTAGCGTCTAATTTTCAACAAAGCTTTTTGTTTTTTTTTGGAGATTTAAAAGAGTTTTTGATGTTTATGTCGCTGAAAGATGAACTTTTTCGCAAATTTTTTCCCGACAAGACCAAGTCGACAATTGAATCAAAAATTTCGCCTTAAAATTCTATATTGGATAAAAATAGAGATAAGATTACGGTAGAAATAGGAAAAAAGGACACGTTTTAGAAAGCGGACTAGAAGAAATTTCAAAAGCAAACACCAGATGCTTTCCATTCCGATGGTGGCATTTTGTCACGCTGTTTATTTCTTTGCGAAGATTTCCCAATACAGATTCTTGAATGTTAGCTCTCTGTTAGCTCAATTAAGAAAAATCGTTCTTAATTGAAAATACTGAAATATTTACTCGTGTGACGCGTGTGGTAAATACGTACATTGTCTCGTATTTTATTCTGTCTTTTATTCAACGAACCAACTGGATAACAAATCAACGAAGAAATTCAAAAATTCAAGAAATTCGCCTAAAAATTGTCACAGTTTAGAAACACCACGAAATTACAACTTTGCAAACCGAAAAATAAACACCATAAAGAATCAGAGAGATCAAAAGAAAATAAGAGAAAAGTTGCAAAGATACAATCAAGTTTTTCCTAATTTATTCTGTTGTTTCATGCGCTTTTTGTAGATATCACCCTCATCGTCTGAGTCCGATCCGGCACCACCTCGAATCCGTCGACGAGCGAGTTGTTGACGAATTAGCTGAAAAACAAATGCGTTAAAAAAGGAGTAAAAAAAACGCAGCTTAAACCTTTATCCAAATCCAAGCTTTCTATTAAAACTATAAAAATCATAGATTAGGACAATTTAAAACTCAAATTACCATGTGCGGATCGGGTGTCGTATTGAGAAGCATTTGCAGCTCTTTTCTCGCTTCCTCCGTTCGCAAAGATCCATGTCGTTCCGTCACTTCAACCACCGTATCAATATCAATCCCGGCTACTGAAAGCATGTTTTTAATATAAAAAGCGTAAAACCAACTTTTCCTTGGCTCATACTGAATCAACTTGTCAAAGAGTTGCTCACAATCAACAAATGGTCCATAAAATGTCCAGGGAGGAGGCAGGATTTGGATGAACGATTGAATGGCCGGCGGTGGAGCAAAAACACCTAAAAATAATTGAAAGATTTTTTAATTCTAAGTCAACCTCCAGGATATGTTTGAATCAAAGTAGTCGTCGGTGGCTTTGGCTTGAATGGAATCATCTGATCCGTATCTGGGCAAGGGTATCTAAAGAAGATAAATGATAATAAAAAAATCTATACCTTACCCTCCAATATCCATCCGAACACTGACTGGAATGGCCCCGTTTATGGCACTTCCGCCCATCACTGCACTCGCGGCAACTGGTTGTGTCAAAGGCTTCGACGAGATTGAGCCGCTCGGGATTGCTTGTATCATAGCACTTGGCAACTTCTAAAAACTTATAGTGAGCATTTTTGTAATGAGATAACGCAGTTTATAAACAAGCTTAAGCGTACCTTGTATCCCATAAGTATCAGTTGATCCGGTGTACACGGGTTCAAGTCAAGGAAGCGATACCTGAACCAAACTTTACAATTACAAGAAACAACTTTGTCACCTGTCAATTAAAAGCAACGTTTGAGAATCCTCGGATTTACGAGCGGCACGCCTTCGCACGTCAACCTACAATCGAAATATGAATTTGAATAAAATTAATACGAAACAAACCTTCAACGTGCTCGTCAAATCACCGACAAGCGATTCGAATTCCAAATAACGATCCCACAAAATCCTAAATTCACCATAATAATTTTTCAATGATTATTACTTACTGGCTTTTCTCATCCGAAAGTGAGCCCGAGGTGAGGATTCGTTCAAAGACCACACGAGTATTATTGTCCTCTAAATTTTACAATGAATTTTAAGTTCAAACTGAACAAACCGTTCAAATGAGTCAGAAAATCTACATAAGCCAAGCAAAATTCGGGCTCGTTTCCATAAGTCTTCAGGCCGAGGTCAAAGATTCTTATCGCGACGTCTTTCTCCTGAGCAAAACAAATTTATATTTCCAATAATACTTCTCACATTTACGCTTAGATAAATTGTGAACATTATAATTAGGAAACTAGTTACCTTTGAGCAATAATACTCGAAAAGAGCCGCGGCTATGTAGACGTGAAATCTGGATCGTTCATCGCCGCGTGCTCTTTTGAAAATCAATCGCATCGCTTGCACACCTTCAGTTCTACGAACCATTTTCATCAATTGAATATAAGTCTAAAAGTAAACACTAAAGCATTATTTTTACCAAAAAAACTCACCAGGGTTGGATCGATCGTCTTAATTTCAAGCACTTTGTTGTACACGTCTTTCACTTCATTAAATTGCATTCGTTCTTCCTAAAAAACATTTTGAAAAAGACCTTTAAGATCAGGTACCAAATAGTCCGCATAAGCAAAATACAAGAGCTGTGATTCTTTTTGCAGTCCTTTTTCCCCAATAGCACGTTCGTAGAGCTCTAAATTTGTACTAGTTGAATAAAATATCAAACCCACTGATGATATCATCGGTCATTTGCTGTGAACTTTTCACGTCACCCTTCTCCTCCAACGTCTTGGCGGCTTGCTGCATGAATTGTGCACATTCGTACCTAGTTTATAATTACAGAGTTTAAAAATCAAACCTACCAGATATCCGGATAAAATCCCAAGCAAAGCAACGCCTGTTCGTACGCATAGATGACTGAAAAAGCAACTTAAAATATTTGTAGAACATTTGGCATAAAACGGATATAAAACCACATGAATTTCAAGAATGACATTTTATGCGATAGTTTTATTACAATCACTTTCTTCAAATAAATACCTCTTTTCGCATATCCTGAATATTCCTCGGTTTCTGTTGGGTTCTCTTTCTCCCATCCGATGTATTTCTTCCACAATTCAACTTGTTTCATTTCTGTAGCCGTTCCCCGAGGTGGCACACTGATTGTTTGACGATTTAAGCCTCGACACACATGTTCCATTGTCCGAGTGGTCCGCTTGGAAAGCTAAAATGTGAAATGTTAAAGAGCCTATTTTATACGCAATATAAAATAGGTAGTTGGAAAGTTTATTGAATTGATAAATTGATCAACATTTGCCAAAAAAAGTTTGTTAGTTCATCACAATTAAAATTACCTGATAATCCTTATTTTTCTCGGAGATCAGCTTCTCAGCGAGTGTCGCATTGATACTCTAAAATGACCAATTTAGTATTTCGTAGAGGGTTAACATCTCAACCTTTTCATATGCGCAATACTCGCTCCAAAGTTGTTCAATGTTAACCATCGGAATGACGATTCCCCGTTGAAACACTCGTCTAATTGCTGAGATCCGTTGATTTTCCGCGTACTGACCAGTAGCAGGTCTAAAAAAAGAAACTCATCAAACTAAAACAAAGGCCAACTTACACAGTTTTCAAGAAAGATATGTAGTCCGAATATATCGAGTAGCTGTAGAGATCAAGTCCAACTTTTTCCAACGCAAAATCGTAGGCTTTAGCCATTTGTTCTCTAAAGTTTTCAGGTCACAAAATTATAATTTTAACAAACCGGAGACTCGGCACATGTCCCTTTGTTTCTCGCACATAGAAAACGTAAGTTTTCCAGAGATCTAAAATTTTCCGGTCACAAAAAGGTCCATTTTAACAAACCGATGTTCAAAATGTGCACCAAGCATTTGTTGAATAGCTAAAAATTTTATAAATACGTTGCGGTAATTCAAATCAATACCTCTTCAACTTTGCTGAAGTTTTTGGCTCGTAACTAAAAACATCACAATAAATAAATGAAAAGAAATTTAATTAAACCTCGTGCTCAATATACGCTTTCCAATAACGACCCGCATTTGGAAATTGACCAATCAATTTTTCGTAGAAGTCCCTGGCCTGTTCAATTGGTCGAGCCTAAAGAAAAAAAAATCATTTTGGTGCTCTAAAATGCTTAATCAACAACAGTTAACTCGGTGATAATAATCGATTCTATTTTTATAGAACATTTATATATTTCCCTTAAATAAACCACTGGCGTTTTAACTTAAATAAGCCACACATTGTTACTCGATCATCAGCCAAATTCAGCCAAATTCAGCAAAATTTTAACACTATTCTAGATCGTAAATTCTAAAGCATAAAATTCACCTGATATTCCCTGAGCAAAAGCGTCCACGCGTCCGAATCGTACGGATTCGACTCGATTCGTCTTTCTGGGCTGATGGCTGAAGCGGCCATCTAAAATCAACAAAGATTGCATATTCTCTCAAACAGAAAAATAAAGAAAATTAACGGCCACTTTTCAGAAATATTTGTGGAAGCGTGATTTTTCATAAGACAGCTAAAGACTACAAACTACGAATAGCGCTCATGGAGAAACGCTTTTCTTCTTACAAAAACATAACATGGAATATTCTTCAAAGTAATAAAAATTTCAAAATTCCTGCTCAAAAACCACAAGCTTAGACTTATGGGGAGTTATTTGGGCAAATTTTGAGATAAATTTTGCGGGGAATCGTTCGTTTCGTTGTAAAGGGTAAAGTGAGATCATCGAGTCATCGTTTCTTGTCCAATCAAAAATATGCTAATTTTTGCCAGGAGGAGTATTTATCTAAATCTCAAAATTAATAAGCCTTCTAGTGCTATTCGTGTTGGGGGCTTCCATTTGTGTTTCCAATAAACGGCGCTGTTCTTCTATTCTTGGCCGTGCTGATTCTGAACATCGACATTTCCAAAAAGATTAGGCACTTTTTATTTTCACTTACCTATATTTTTATCTAACAGGTTTAGACTTCGCACATACTAACGCCGAAGGTCCAGAGTGAGTCTAGAAGTTTCTTAGAATACTACGAGGCCGTTTTGTAGATAGGCCCGGTTTCGAAAATCAGTGATAAATTGAAACAGTTCCCTAGTCAGGGTGTGTCTAAAAGAAATTGACAACCCAAAAGTCTCCTACCTAATCGGTTTGTCAATATTTCCCAAAATATTGGTTTCTTTCCGACTAAAGTGTTAAATTTTTCTGACTAATTTTGACACTTAGTCTTTCCTCCAATTTTGTTTTGATTCACCTTTCAAGCTCCGCAGAAAACATTCTTCTTCATCTCCCAAACCACCGATGGATCCTTTTTATGTACAATTTACATATCAAGAGTCACCCTCTAGGATGAGAAAAATAAGAGCTAGTTCTGTAGCTTGCTCTGACTGACTAAAAGTCGATTCAAATGCAAGACCATGAGTTGACGTATCTAAAAAAACTGCTTGGATGACTCACAAGGTTTTGATGATATCTGGATGAGCGTCTTCCAGAATTGATACATTAATCGGCTCTAAAGAGTTTCGAAAAAGTGATTTATTTTCGGCGCCAACCCAATAGATCTCTCTGGTGAGCATGAAACTAGAAAGTGTTTATCACAAATGCCGGGGTAGGCTAGTTTCCGCAATTTTTTTTGCGCAACTGGGTCGTTTGCGCAACTCGCCATAACTTTTTCTTCTAAGTCGGCCAATCTTTATGATTTTGGTTTCATTTTATTGCACTTATTGAGATCTACAAAATGAAACCTAAATCATAAAGATTGGCCCACTTAGAAGAAAGTTATAGCAAGTTGCGCAAATGACCCTCTTGCGCGAATAAAATGGCGGAAATTAGCCTACTCCCAAATTCCATAACCTTATTCGAAGCTTATTGATAAACGATTTTTATAGAAGCTCCAATTGTGCAACTAGCACATCCGCTTAATAGTACAATTTGCTGAATCAATAATAAAAGAGTCTTTTTTTTCACATCTACTTCGTTTGTTATTGAGCTACTCTAAAAGAGCTTTCAGCCAAGATACCATGTTTGTGATGTGAATTCAAAAATGATAGAGTGAGCAGCTAATGGCAAAGGATTTTCGTTATGATAAAACTCCTCATGATTTATAGAAACAAAAATTCCTTTCATGGTTGTATTTTGATTATCCAATTTGCACACAAACATGCACTTTTGAGATTTTTCTACCGTATTAAAGGAACGTTATATCGTCCCAATGGCATTATATATCAACTATATATCGTCCCGTATCCCTCCAATCACCAGACAATCTACGGTCCACCGGTGAGCCAGACCGTCGAGAATGTGTTTGGTTTGGTCTCTTTCCCAAGGAAACAAGCCGGCGAAAGGACAGCTATCCAAGCTGGTTGAATTTCCTATTTTTTAATCTTATTTCAAGTTTAACCTTTTAGAAATAACTAGTGCACCAATTAATCTACAGTTTTTACCAATAAAAAGACCCATTTATTCTTTTGACAGATTTGGAAAGCTTCGGTTTTGTAGGTTTCTAGGGGGCAAAAAGTTGAGCAACCAAAAATGATGAACGCTCGATGAAGCGATTTGAGCACTTCTTTCCACGTAAACCATTTCTGAATTTTGCGAAATTGCCACCCACATGGGTGAAAACCATGAAAAATTCTAAATTCAGATTTCTGCTTTTTAAGATCTAATTTTTCTATTTTGATGTTCTAAACACTCAATTAACCCCAAGAAAGTGTTTCGCATGTTGAAAAAGTGCTCAGAGGCCTTCGATGGGCTCTCCTTATACAAGCACAGTGAAGTACACTCTAAAGGCGGCGACTTCGGGCCACCGAAAGCCTGTTTGAAACGCATTTCCCCAACCTCCCGCTATGAAATTCGTGATCTACGTAAAAAAGTGCCCTAGCAAAGCCACTTTCGATGAAAAATGCGGCCTCCCCCGACCCCAAAAGTACCAAATGTGACTCGTAGATTTGTAATTTGGTTTTTGGTGTCCAAAACAAAAGTTGTAGGTTGCGATTCGATTTAGCGATGGTCATTGATGTTGAATTGCGTCTCATGAAAATGAAAATCAACGATTTAATTAAAACAGCAACAATTATTGTTCAATAGTGTCGTCTTGGTGTTTGTTTTTGAGGATGCCTGTAACTCGTGCACGTCCAGCCGCTTTCCTCTCAATAAGGGCTTTGCGATCTCGATCGAGCTTCAACTTGGTGACGGCAACCTGAATGAAGTTAGTTTTTAAAGAAACACAGAATCGTGTAAATTTAGTTCTAGTTAAAATAACTACTAACCCTACAAAAAAATCAGATTATGTAACAATGACTAGAAATCACGAGTAATTTAAGTTATTAATTCATAAAGTAAGCCCTAAATACAATGTTCAAGTTTAGCTTGTACTGCCACAAGTTCTCACTGCGAAATACATAGAAATATAAAGCAAATTTTCACCTTAGAGGGATGGATGCCAATATGAACAGTGGTTCCGTTGGCCTTCTCTCGGGTAATCTTGTCGATGTGGATCACGAACTTCTTGCGGTACACTCGCATCACACGTCCGGAGTTTCCTTTGTAGTGACCGCGAGTCACGGTAACCTCATCATCTGTTCTAAAAAAAAAAGAATCATTGTCAAAAGGTTTTACCATTTTATTTTTCAACAATTCCACAATTATCCGGGTATATTTTGCACATCTTTTTATTCGTTACAACCCTTGGCGATAAAATCGATAACTTTTACCGAGAAGACTAAAGCCAAATTGAAGGACAAATTTGCTTTTCAAAACACAATGGCATTTTAAACATCTAATTGCGCCAATAGCTAGGATCATAACGCTAGGGCTGAATCCACGGTACTTTTTTGGCTTAGACCCCTTAAACCCCATAAAAGATCTGCAACCTAATTTGTATGCTCCTGCCCTGCAGATTCGGACTAGCAACCCGGGGAGATAGGGTAAATCTTCTTTGTCAGCGACCTTCGGTCGGTTCATTTTGGCCCTACAGTAGTTAGAAAATCTCCAAATAGACGAGTCTTTTTTGTTTTTGACACTAATCTGTTAGTTTTTTTGTTGATTGAACTACGCTGCATCAACTACGCCCTCTAAAGCATCAATGTCGCGAAATACGGGGATACGTGTCACCAAAGATGCTCGTACATTTTAGACAGCCAAAGATGCGAAAATAGCTGCTACAAAAACATACCTGATTGGGATCGAGCGGATTCCGTGTTTTGCGCGGAGGTCTTTGGTGAGGGGAGATGACATCAGCTTTCTCCGGAGATGCGATGGTGCGTTGAAATGGCGCTTTCGCGACTTGCCCGAATCTGACGACACGAATGGATTTTGCTTCATTGTACCTGGAAAAAAAAACAAATTAGAATTTTAAGTAAACTTTTAGAAGCAACAAATTTTAAGAAGAAAATATTAGGGGTTGAACGAAAAGAAATGGGGAATACTGTAGAAAAAGGTCCCGCGATAATTGAAAAAGCACCGAGGTCACAAAGAAAGAGCGTTTAAAGTCGTGTTAGTACTCGATAAAACGAAAAGCACTAGATCAGTGCATTCAAAGAATGACTGGCATGGAACGAAATGAACAAGTGGAAAATTTTTTCTGGTTCGAATGAAAAGTGACAACAACTGTGAAGATATTCAATCAACAAACTGGAGTTTTCATCTTTAGAGGACTGTCTTGACTGAATGTCTTTTATCTTGTAAATGCTATTATATAATCCCATCTTTTTACAATGGTGACACTTTTTGGATTGTTTTGCTACTTTAAACTTTTTTGTAATCATTTCCTGTCTTTACAGTCTCATTCTTGAAATTTTAGATCTCAAGGATGCGACCGGATATCAAGGATCGGGATTACATGTATAGATTGGTGATCAGGTGAGCCTTTTAGCCAATTTTTTTATCTAATATTTTTAGCCAACTCTTCTACGATGGACACCAACAACTTGCACTCAGCTTGGCCTCGACAATCGGCTGCTCGGCAAATCCGCCGGCTCCGTGCGACAAACTCTTCCGACTCATCTCGATGGCCAAACAATTCGACGAGGCTGAACAACAGGACAAAGAAAATGGACTTCAGGTTCTTTTTGCTTAATTTTATTTTAAAATAAAGTTTTTGAGTTTGATGCAAATTCGGCGGGACTCGATTTGGAATTTGATGCTGACATCGTGCCCGAATCGCCTGAACCGTGCATGTATGAGACTATCTACTTGACTGCTCACAAAGCCTCTTGTCGATCTGCAGCTTTCAATTCTGATGGTGGGTTTTATTTTAGAACAACTTTTGATTATACGTTTTAGGTACTCTTTGTGCTACCGGATCGGCTGATTGTTCGATAAAGATTTTGGATGTTGAAAGGATGGTCATTCGCGAGAATCGAGGTGAAAGTGTTGAAGGGGGACCGGATGCAGCACACCCCGTTATTCGAACGCTTTATGATCATATTGATGTAAGCTTTTATTTTACTGCCCTATAATTTGTTTTCTATTTTTTAGGAAGTAACCGCGATAGCCTTCCATCCAAGAGAACAAATTCTCGTTTCCGGAGCTAATGACATGACCGTGAAACTCTTCGACTACTCTAAACAAGCCGTAAAAAGAGCGATGAAAACAATATGTGTAAGAATTTTGTGATTTAAACAAATAACTAAAACTTTTTAGGAAGTGTCACCAATTCGGGCAATGTCTTTTCACCCGGGCGGCGAATATTTATTAGTTTCGACAGGTAAATAATCTTCATATACGTTTATATTTTTTGTTATTCAGATCAAGCCACCGTCAGACTGTACAACGTAAACACTCAACAATGCTTCGTCAGTGCTTTGGCTAGCGATCAACATAAAGATTCAGTTATGGATGTGGGTTTTGTTTTATGCAAATAGCAAAGTTTCATTTTTAAGGTCAACTATTCGGAAAACGCTAGATTGTATGTTACTGGATCAAAAGATGGGGATGCAAAGGTAAATGGAACAAAAAATTTTCAAAAACCTACATAGCAATGTGTTTTAGATTTGGGATGGAATATCGAATCGCTGTGTTGAAACATTTTCTCGCGCGCACGATGGTGCAGCAATCTGTAGTGCCCGTTTCACGCGTAATGGAAAGGTAAACTATTTTAGCTATATTTATGTTATATAAAATAAATTTAGTATATTCTTACCGCTGGTATGGATTCAATAGTGAAATTGTGGGAACTTTCGACAAATCGCTGCTTAATTGCGTATACTGGAGCCGGAGCAACGGGAGGGCAAGAATTTGCTATTCAAGCCACCTTCAATCACAATGAAGACTTTGGTTAGTTTAAGCTGGTTTTATCAAATTTTTTAACTTATAAAATTTTAGTGCTCTTTCCCGATGAGAAGTCCGGTAGTTTGTGCTCGTGGGATGCCAGAAATTCGGACAGAAAACGATTACTTGCATTGGGTAGGTCGTCTTGAAATTGATTTTCAGATTTACTTTGAAGTGACATGCAAGGAACATTTATTTCAGGACACACGGCGCCCGCTCGAGTTTTGGTCCACTCTCCCACAATGCCCGCCTTCGTAACAGGAAGCGACGATTTCCGAGCCCGATTCTGGTACAAGAAAAGCGGATAATTTTTTTTAGAATTTGATAGGCTTGTACAGGTTTTCTTTTTTGAAGTGTTTGTTGTTTTTATGTTTTGATCTCGGAATTTTTGGGTAATAAATTATTTTTTCCACTCGGCGAGGGTTGCATGTGCTAATCGGAAAATTCACGCTATTTAGTGCATGAGTCTGATCATTCTCTTAATCCGTTTTCGTCGAATTACTTCAGCAAAGGGGCTCCTCTGAAATTTTTTATGTGTTTGCTATTTGAAATCGGAACTTACATAAGTTTTCAACTTCTCATTCATATTTTGCGCATCAATATTATTTTCGATAGCACTATCTTCAAAGAATAAGGTATCGCCTAAAATTCGTTAGCCAAAATTTGGCGGTTATCCACCTGAGATATCCTTTTTGACATCATTCTTCATTCCGATTGTAACATCACCGTCTCTCAAATTATCTTTTACTTCGACTCCATCGGGGGGCTAAATTGTGCGACAAGTTACCGTAAGAGCTTTTCGGAAGCATTTGTTCCCGGGTTACGGTAATGTATCGAGTCAGATGCAGAACTTGTAGACTACCCTAATAGGCATTAAATGTCCGCGGTTACGGTAGTTAATCTATGAGTCTAAGTCAGAGTTTACGTACTCAAGATAAGTCTCCAAAAAATCACGAACCAATCCCGTAACTTTGATATCCCCAAATGGATTGATTGGCGGTTTCTCAATTTCGTTTCCCGATTCTTTTAATGATTCACTTGTGGCTGACGTGAATCCATCAGGCTCACCGGGTAATGTCAATTCTGAATTAAATTTTAGAAACTTTAACCACTTTTTGGTACCTGGTGGAAACAGCGGTTCTCCATGTAAAGCCTCTTCATCTAATGGAACGGCCACCACATCAGCCGGTTCGGGGATATTCGGGGGTAAAGGTCGGGCTCTGTAGTGTCAGCTGGATCTTGGCTATCATTGCCGTACTCAGTCAGGAGCTTTAGCTACAGTAGAATCAAGCATGCATACCATTTCTACTTGTAAACGGGACCTTTCTTAACCGTTATTTGCATGGATAAGCTACCGTACCCCGGTTGCTTTTTCAAATTTAAATCCTGAATCTACTGGGCTACGGTAACGTTTCACATCTTTTAGAAAACGGTTACTTGTAAAGTGGTGGTAATGGGTTTCCAGGGTTTCCATTGAGCGGATAAAACGGGGAAATCCCAAGTCGAGAAGCGGTACCCTCTTTGCCCAACAATGGAATCTAAAAGATTTCAATTCTTATAATTGACGAATTTTAAATCAAACCTTTCCAATGCCCGGTAAGTTATCATAAGAAATATCCACATAAGAATATGGGGCTAAATTTTATGTGTGATAATAAGTACCGTACTTTAAATGTCTTTTTAAAAGTCTTAACTCTCCAGCAGGGTTACGGTAACTTTTTCTGGGGGTAATCTTTTAGAAAATGCTATAAAGATCTTAGTATCTTGCTCTAGTATCTAGCTGTATTTGTATCTAGCTACAATATGCCAAAAGCCTGCCTGAACACTTTCTAGTACTTACTATAAACTCCGAGCCCGGGTCCATAAGCAGTAATCGCATCAATGTATTGTTTCATCAAATACGCATTCGATGGATCAAAGAAAGATTGAGAATTCACAGAATTTAGCAAAAAAATGAACAAAATTAGTAAATTAGCCAAAAATCGAATCATGATCAATAGAAATGCACTTTTTTTTTCCCTGACAATCCGGCTCTTTGCCCTCACCAAATCCGGCTTTTCTTTCCTCTGTTCGTCTTTTGTGTCGATTTGTTTTCTTTTCTTATTATTTATTCAGCTATATCTTTAATTTACTGTTAACCCTTTAAGAAATTTGCCTGTAAAGTGAAATTCAAATGATTGATTTGAATTTGAATTCCCGAATCAGAAAATCGATGCGTAATGCTTTCCTGAGACAGAACGGAGGGGTAGCGGGCAACTTTGCGCCAAATTTTTTTGCGCAACAGGGTCATTTGCGCAACTTGCTATAACTTTCTTCTAAGTAAGCCAATCTTTATGATTTTGGTTTCATTTTGTAGATCTCAATAAGTGCAACAAAATGACACCAAAATCATAAAGATTGGCTTACTTAGAAGAAAGTTATGGTGAGTTGCGCAAACGACCCAGTTGCGGAAACTAGCCTACCCCTAGAATGCTGTTCCCCAGTAGAAAACCTGCCTGCGCAAATGACCCAGTTGCGCAAAAAAAATTTGGCGCAAAGTAGCCTATCCAAGAACGGATTATCTGTTTATGCTACAGTATATCCATAAAACTATTCAGCTATCAAAAATGAAAATGAATAACTTTCAAACGCAACCGACAATCTTGATAGTTGAATACTAGCTATAACCAGATTTTAAGGGCTCTGTAAATGCTTTCCATTACCCTGAAAAGTATTTAACTTTATTACAATTTGAATACTACTTTAGATAAACTTATATTCTTTCATTTTCAGTAATGGAAATCATTTTAAATCTCTTAAATCTTAAAATTAAAATAAAAAGGCTTTAAAATCTGATAATATAATCGTTTACTGGAGATATATTTATTTATAATGTTTATCGTCAGTTTCTGAATGAGAAAATCGATGCGTAATGCTTTCGTGACGGTGATTTTATCATTACTCTTTTTCTTGTACGGCTTCATCCCGTGGGATTCCGTTGATAAACAAACAAATGAGCAGCTCAATGAATCGGCAAATGAAACAAAATGTAAGTAAGCTAAAAACTCCTATTAATTACAGTACCAATTTAGGTACTGAGCAATTGCCTGTCAACAAGTTGATTCTTGTCGTGATTGATGCGTGGCGACTCGACTTTCTCACGAAAAGTGAGTACTATCGTATCGTAAGCTATCTAGTTAGATATCGTGAGCTCTGTGATTAGCCTTATAATCAGGATATTTATCTTACAGAGTACTCAGAAAGATCCTCACGAAAAGTGAGTACTATTGTTAGATATCGTGAGCTCTGTGATTAGCTTTATAATCTGGATATTTATCTTACAGAATACTTTTCTTCACCTAAAAGCCTTCTGGCACTGAGTTTAACCCAAGCAAACCAAGAAAAAAAGTCTGTGATTAGGTTTTAATCTGGATATTTAGGCATTTAAAAAAATAATTTATTTAACTGCATAAAGGACGTCTGGCAAAATCCCTTTTAACATACAGAACTGGGCAAAAAAAACCTGGACAACGTTTTTCAAGAAGTTTTAGGCTTTTAAAAAGACTTATATTTATCTGCATACAGGATGTCTCAAGATCCCTTTTATATAGAGAATTGGGCAAAATCACCCCGTACAACTTTTAGATATGTAAGTTCTGTGACTAGGCTTATAATCTGGATTTTCTTAAAGAGTCAAGTCTTATATAGAGAATTCTCACGAAAAGTGAGTACTATCGTTAGATATCGTAAGCTCTGTGACTAGGCTTTTAATCTAGATATTTATCTTGCAGAAGATTACAGAATACTCAAACAGATCCCTGTCTCAGTATTCTGTAAGATAAATATCCAGGAAATACAATGTCTTGGATGCGAAACGAAATCGAGAGTCGAAAAGCTGATGCTTTCGATGTTCGCGTTCATACACCGACTGTCACAATGCCAAGGATTAAGGTTTGTTGTTTTTTTGAGAAAACAAAATTAGAAAAGCTTCATGATTCGATTAACAACGTTTTCTGTTTCATAAAAAGATTATTCAGGCTTTAACTTCGGGAACAATTCCCTCATTTGCGTCGGTGCTTTTGAATTTCGGTGGATCGAGGGAAGAAAAAGATGACACGTGGCTGAGAGCAGCGAATGAAGCGAAGAAGAAGTGAGTTGCGTTTGGATTTTGATTTTAAAAGCTTTGAACAACAATGCTAATCAAAGACGAATGGATTGACACAAATGAGTCCTAACAATAAGCCTTAACTGGCTGAGAACCAAAAAATGGGGGTTCAGCCCAAGCCCAAATAGACTTAGTGCGAGGCGCTAGCCGCTAGCCTTCGCACTAAGCCTTATCATTTTGTGAGCGAACATTTCAGAATCGTTTTTTACGGAGACGACACCTGGCTTTCTCTGTTTTCCGAAGAATTTCACCGTGCCAAGGGAGTCGTCTCGTTTTTTGTCAAAGATTATACAGAAGTAAAAATTTTCTGTTTTTTTTTTAAAAGATCGATTCATGTCTTAGATCTATATCTTTTCTAAATATAACTCTCAAAATTCAGGTGGATGAAAATGTGACGCAAAAGATTGCTCACGAATTCTCTGATGAATTCTTCCCCACTTGGGACATTTTGATCTTGCACTATTTGGGATTAGATCATATTGGTTAACTTTTTCAACTATTTATCTATCAAATTTCAATATTTAGGTCACTCATTGGGTGGAAACGCAAAAGAAATCGATGAAAAATTGCGTGAAATGGATTCGATTGTGAAAGGAATTGGAGAGAAATTGGAGGATTTTGAGCAAAAGGATAAGGTAATAGACCGCCACCGCCCATAATGACCGGGGTACAGTCGAGTAGTCTAACTTTGAACGTCTCGTTCTCCTCACTGCTTTAAGCTACAGTTTGCTACAGGATATCAAATGATAGCGCTTGAAATCTAGTATTTTTTGAGACCAAAAGTATTAGTTGAGGGGAATCTAGAGGCTGAGAAAGGAATGATTTTCTAAAAAGGAGTCTAAAAAGAAGTTAAACTACGCGATTGTACAATCAGATGACGTTCTATTTCGTATTTACGGTATTCACGGCAGTACTTAATTAGCAATATCTTTGATTTACAGTCTTACACGTCAGCAATTCTCGTTGTCGGTGATCACGGGATGACAGAAGCTGGAGGACATGGTGGATCGAGTCATTTGGAAACGCATGTACCACTCTTTTTACGATACAGTAAACAGATGAGAGATGCTGAAAAAGCTAGCAATTTGGCTATTAATTTTGGTAAACACTATTCAATTAATATATAGAATTATCTTTTAAGAAAACCTATCTTTAATTGATCAAGTGGACATTGCGAATTTGATCTCGAACACGTTAGCGATTCGACCTTCAAAAGCGTCGCTTTCTGCTCCAGTTGAGCATTTAATCAAATCTAGGTAAAGTGCTTCTTAAAAAGTGGAAAACCTACCGTAATCCTGAACGAAATTCTTTTCATTATTCTATTTCTATTTCTATTTCTTTTTCTATTTCCAATTCATCATTATTCTTTAGAGATCTTTCTTTGATATTTCCACAATTTTGGATAAAAAGTGCTCGATCAATGCTACGACTTTTGGAAAAACAGGATAAACAAATAGGTTTCATTTACATAAAAATTTAACCACCCCAATTTCTAGATGATCTAAAAAGTTGCCTGGATTTACTAGAAGCTAAACAAGAGAAATGCGAAACGGTTAGCTTGGTAAGCTTCAAATTATCAGTCAAATTTGCTCTTCAAATCTCAGCCTATCACAGCAAAATGCATGGCCGTTCTCCGGGAAACGCAAAACGATTTGATCGTAAACGATTCACCAATCCAACCAATCACGATCATCATCAGTGCAACAATGATATGCGCTGTAAGGATTAGTGACTTGTCAACTTGTTCACCCATTCGCAAACGCCCCCGTCAACGTGCCGCCATAGCTCAGTCGGTTAGAGCGTGGGTCTAATAAGCCCAAGGTCGCAGGTTCGACCCCTGCTGGCGGCAAATGTTTTTGCATTTTTAACGCAACAGCTCTAGCAGAAGTTTGATTCATGGAAACTTGGACGGGAGGATAGATTCACTCAGATTTATCCCACGCTATCATCTAAACCCCTAGCAAATCAGCATCAGCAAATCAGCAATTTCAGCAAATCATTCTCCTATTTCGAATGGTGCTCACGAAAACGAGGAACTCAAAAAATCAACTCCGTTTCCTTTTCCTCACCTCGATTCTACACTTTTTCTCGAATTTCGCCTCAAGTCTGGTTGAAGAAGAACACGATTTGTGGTTAGTTTTAAGACCCTATTACCAATTTCTTTACTGGCTACAGTATCCTTTCCCGAATACAATAGCTCTTCAAATTGAATCCCAACAAATTGCAGGTATTTCTTCCTCTCAACAGCCCTCTCTCTCGAGTTTTTCTTTTCTCAGTGGCCCGATTTCTCTGCGTTCTCCACCCGGTGAGTTTTCTCTTCCCCCCACGCCCTTTTTCATCCATTTCAAACACCCCACCAATGTGCCGCCATAGCTCAGTCGGTTAGAGCGTGGGTCTAATAAGCCCAAGGTCGCAGGTTCGACCCCTGCTGGCGGCAAATTGTTTTGCATTTTTGAGCAAATGAGGAAATCGGTGTACCGAAAAGGATGCGTTTCTGCATTTTGAGTTTAAAGTACACGCGTTTTAGATCAATTCATCTTTTACTTATCGCAGGAATACATCGATTTTGTATGTGTATCAATGCGGATAAACGCAGGAGAAACTTGGCTCTCAAAGGTTTGGCATTGAACAATTAATCTTGTGCTCTTTAAAAGCTGCGAAAGCTACCGTACTTTTTAGCTAGCTAGGTAGCTTAAAAAAAGACAGAAAGATACAGTAGTTTAGTCAATTTCTATTTCTCTTTTCAGGTACATATCCTGACGCTCAAATCGTGGACCCAAAATGGTTGATGGAGTTCGGCTTTCAATTCTTTAACCGCTTTAAGAAGTACGGTAAACGGGGAAAGGGAAAATGGTGTCAATTTATAATTTTTATTTTTTTACAAATTCAGTTTTGCTGTCTACATCCTTCCAGCTTTCTCCTTTTATATGATCTGGAAGAGATCTCATCGAAAACTCAAAGATCCGATGCTCTTCTTTTTCGCCTTTATCACTACCACACTCATTCCTAATGTCGAAGAAGAAATTTTTAAGTATTGAAAATAAAGCTTTACAGCTTTACAGCTTTATAGCTTTATAGCTTTACGGCTTTCTAGCTTTACGGCTTTCTAGCTTTACAGCTTATAGCTTTACAGCTTTATAGCTTTACAGCTCTACAGCTTTACAGCTTTATAGCTTTACAGCTTTATAGCTTTACAGCTTATAGCTTTCTAGCTTACAGCTCTACAGCTTTATAGCTTTACAACTTTACAGCGTTACAGCTTTACAGCTTTACGGCTTGACTATCCATTTCTAGGTATTACATCTATTTTGTATGGGCTTTTGCGTTCGTGTCGACACTTTTGAGGAAAGGATTTCTTCTATCAACTTTTTTATGGATGGTTTGTAGCTCCAAAGCCAATGAATAAACCAAGATTCAATAGTGGTTTTGCACAAAACGAGTAAAGAAAGTGAAAAAAAACGGCCTGCTAAACCCTTAAATCATTCGGAAAAGCCGAAATCAAATGCCTAGTTAAAAAGAAATGCTTTTGTACTTGAGAAATGGAAAATAGTTTTAATCGATCTTTAAAGCAAAGTCAGATTAAGCTAGATTTTGAGATAGGCTTAGTTTTTGAGCTAAGCTTTGTTTAACCATCAGATAAACACCCTCATCAATGTAGGAAGCCGAATTTTAGATCACACTTTCTGGAGAAAATGAAATCTCAATCATTTTCCTTTGTTTCTGTATGGGATTTCTGTCAAGCGAGCATCCAATTCTACTCGTTTATCTTCTACCAACTTCTTTCTTTTATTTGGTAAGTTTATTTGCTTAAAAGTGGCTTTAGATTGCGAATTTTTATAGGGAAACTCAAACTCGTTGGCCTCTGTGGATATTGCTGTCGGTTATAAGGGTTTAGCTTCATATCAAGTCAGTCAATTACACCAAGTAAATAACCCCTTTCAATCATTTGCAGCCTTTCATTGTCGGCTTACAAATCATCATCCATTCCTATTCGGGACCGCTCTCTGTGCTTTGTGGATACGTGTGGAAGTGAGTTATAAGGAAAAACGGACCTAACTTCCAAATCTTATCTATATCTAGCTATCTGTTTTTTGATCAAAACAGAGAGGCTTTTTGAAAAGTATTCAACAACGAGAGGGGACAGAGACAGAAAACAAAGAACGATTCAGGGAGAAACGGAAATTTTTGACCCGGATCCGGGTGGACTTGGCTGAATTTGGGAAGGGATTTGAGCATAGGGAGAGGATAGCTCAGTCGCTGACGCTCCTTTCACCTTTTCGGATTCCAAAAGGAAAGCGCCTTACACCAAGACGGTTTGCCAGATGGCGAGCGATTACGCTGCCGCACAGAGAACACTTCGTCAATCATTTGCATAGGGATTTCTCTTTGCTTTATAGATGGCACAAAAAGAAGATATTTATCTGTAAATTTGTACCCAGGGGTTTTCGGGGTCAGCGAATCGATTGATTAAGTCAGATCAGTCAGTCAGCTCTAATTCTGGAGGGGTTAAGTTGTACCAGATCAAAGTGCTTGCCGACTAGGCCCAAGCTAGCTTGATTTGATTTTGAGTCAGAAAAGCAGGGCCTGGTTTTAGTCTGCTCTAGAAATTTTGAGTCTGGAACATCCTTTATTAGGACAGTAAAAGGCTAAGACTAAAACAGACGAGAATTGTACCCGACCAGGCCTTTCCTCACGGTCTTTTCTTAGGGTAGGCCTGGGCTGGGCTAGATTAGATCAAAGTTTCCGCGTCATAATGTACTTTAAACGATTTCAAAGTAATGGCTACCTATTGAAACTTGTTGTGCTTTCAGCTCTGCCTCAAATCTATCGGAATGTCTGCCCGAAATGCTCTTCCTGAGCCGTTTGATCTCTTTATTCGCCTCACTCATTTCACTTCTCATTTTTTCCCAACATTTATTCATTTGGTCGGTTTTTACGCCAAAAATTCTCTTCGAAATTTCGCATACAATCGTTTACATTATAATATATTGTTATTACAATTTAATGTTTAATATAATTATATTATAATATATTGTGATTACCAATTTAATGTCTTTTTTATAAAATAATGAAATATTTATTTTAAAACTTTCAAATTTCATGCGATTTCACGACGATTTCATCGGATAATTGCTGAAATTTTTAGAATTTGCTTGATAAAGAAACTTCCTAAATGCTAAGCTTGCTAAATGCTAAACTTGCTAAAATTTAAACCTCAATCAACACTTGCCAACCATTTGACTGTGTGCGTAGCACATATTCCGTGGAACTACATCTGAAAACGAATTTGAATACAAGTCGAATAGCTTTGGTCTATAGCTTTGGCTTTGGTCTAAACTCTATAATACCACAAAGTCCTCCCAGCATTGGCTAATCGAATCAATCGCTATTTGGGATCATTTAAAAGCTTTATTCACTCACCTAACATTCAACCGCGCCGTCCTCAAGCCGTACAGCAAGGAGCACGCCAAACGGGCTCTCATCGCTGATCGAAGCTGAAATCTTTTTTGATATCATCCATTCAAAAGACGCAGTGCAACAATGATATGCGCTGTAAGGATTAGTGACTTGTCAACTTGTTCACCCATTCGCAAACACCCCTGACAGCGTGCCGCCATAGCTCAGTCGGTTAGAGCGTGGGTCTAATAAGCCCAAGGTCGCAGGTTCGACCCCTGCTGGCGGCAAATCTTTTGCATTTTTAACGCAACAGCTCGGGTTTCTTTAGCATCAGCTTTCATAAGGCTTCGGGAGTAAAAATTACGTTAAACAATTCAATTCTCGACTTACTTTTTCAGCTTCTCGAAACTCTCGTTGGCTTGTGTACCCGAGGAGGATGTTCTTTTCGATTTCTGGGATTCTAAAGCGATCCAATTTTCAACAGTAGATGGATCAACACAAACGTGCCCCTGTTTCAGTTGTGAATCCGATAAATGAAGATACAAAACACAAGCGGCAATATCGAAAACCCGATGTGAGAAGTGCATATCTCCGAAATCCAACACTCCACTGATCTAGAAACGAAACGAAACGAATTTTGAACCTCTAACTTGGCATCAAAAAATGAACCTCTAACTTGCCATCAAAAAAATGAACCTCTAACTTGCCATCATTTTCCTCGATCAACACATTCGTTTCATTGATGTCCGAATGGATTAAACCTGAGATTTCACTCATTTTTTTTAAACATTCAACTGTTTTCTACCATAATCCAGCGGCTCGTTGTCGAGAATCGTTTTCCGAAAATCATCGAAAATTGTTTTCACCAAATCGAAGCGCTCCTTTGACAGCATTTTCTTTGCGACGAGCACGTGAGCTTCTCTGAAAATCACTTCTTTTTCTTCTTGAATACTTCAGATATTACTATTTATGCGTTTATGCATATTTTATTTACTAGATCCCTAAAAAGAAACAATAAATGCGTATGTTATAAACAAAAAAATCCCTAACCTAAGCTTTTATGCTTTTTTTCAATCTATTTATGCGCTTATGCATATTTTATTTACTATTTATGCCTCTATTTATGATTGAGACAAGTAACTCGGTCTTAAATATCAAATAACATAAAATTCATTTGTTCTAGTTTCTTAAAAATCATAAGTCATGCCAGGCCAGGTTTGACTCATAATTCGTCAAACTTTTGTAGGCTAGACTCAGAATTGTTTCAAAAAGCAATCAGGCCAAAAGTCAAAGCCTACCCTGGCCCACAAAAGTCCCCGCTAGAAGGCAAGTTTGACTTGCCTTTTGGTTGAGCTTTGCCTAAACCTTTTTGGAACTTAGCAAAACTGAAATTAGTCCTGATAAAAATACAAAAAGAGATAAAATACTGGTTCTACAGTGGTACTTTAAAGTCATTTTTCCATCGCACACCAACCTCTCGATACAGCGATGATTCTCCGGTGAAATGAACGGCAAATGGGATTCGGTTGTTCTGAAAAATTTTGAGTTTTTGATTTCGATTTCTCAAAAAAATATTTAAAGATTTAAAAACGCTCACTTTTTCACGTCCATTGCATCGAAACATTTGTGAATCCTTGCCAAAAGTGCGCCGATTTGAAAGCACAACTCGGGAGTGAAGGGGAAATTTTCCAAATTTCTCCCCGGTAACAAATGAAAGAGACGAACGGGAAGTTTCACTGGAAAAATGCTGTAGAAAAAAATAGTTTTTATAAATAGAAATAGAAATCGAATATGTTATAAGATAGAAAATAGCAAACAAACATCCAGGAAGGAGCTCGATGGGAGCCCAGAGGCGACCGTCCAATCGACGAATCGGAGACACCGTCGGAATGCCGGCTTTGCGGAAAGTCGCGTACACGTTGTGCTGAAGCTCTGAAAAATGAAAGAATTTCAAAAGTTTAGTTAGAAATTGAGATCTATTTTAGACAAGAGTTTTAAGTAAAGTAATGCTCAAGCTAGAGTCTCTGCTCTCTTTTCTACCGTAATTCTGTCTCTATTTTTATCCAATCTATTCACTTTTTTTATCTTTCGATATCCTTTGGACCAAAAAATGGATAATGGATTGTATAAAAAGAAAGGCAAGATTACGATAGTTGAGAGAAGGGACACGATTTAGAAAACGAGAGAAGCCGACTAAACTGGGTACAGTAATTAAATGGGTGATTTTTGCTGAAAGTTGAGAATTTCTCTATCACACTGAATTTCATACAAATTTCGCGAATACTCCTACTCCCAGTATCATTTCCCATCTCCCAACGCGCATTGTTTAGACGAATGACTCAACCTCATCAAAAGCGTTTTCCCCACATAACGCGTTTAGCGGCTTTTCAGCACTAACAGCTTTTCATTCTCCTTTCCAAACCTAAATCTCCTGAATATGTTTTCTTTATTTCCCCCACTCACCAATATGTGCATCATATCGTGCCTCTATCGGATTCGTCACTTTCACAATCGCCTCTTTCGGCTTTTCTTTCATCGTTTTTGTGATTTTCTCATCGTATTCGATCTCTTCCAATCGCATATTGCAATCCTCGTACCCGGTTAAATGGGTGATTTTTGCTGAAAGTTCACAATTTCTCTATCACACTGAATTTCTTTGATTTCCGTCTGATTAAAGCTGAATTTGTTTTCTAAAAATTGCCCACTAGAAGGGTTATCGTAACCAAGTTAATTTCTAGTTTCTAAAAATTCTAAGCCGGTTTTTTTTTGGTTTGAAGTTCGGAAATTGCATCAAAAAGGGCTTAATTTCTCGTTTTCATAGAAAGATAATCGATCGAATTTCTTCATCGGAAACTAGAGGACTTTGAGTCGGCTCATCTCTATCTGAATTACGGTAGCTTTAGTGAAAGAACAACTTTTAAATTATGCCTTTAATCAACCGAACACAGCCAAAGTTTGTCTTTCTACAGTCAAACCTTTCACAATTCCGTATTCATCGCGAATAATCGATCGAATTTCTTCATCGGAAACTAGAGGACTTTGAGTTGGCTCATCGATTCCATACAAAATGGTCATTCTTCAGAAATGAATTAGATTTAAAACTAAAGTAGAATTCGCACGCGACAAAGGAATGCCGTTTCCAGATCGATATCACACCAAATGATATCTTATCGGAAATTGCACAGCAGACAAGGTCAAGTGTGTTCAATTCAAAGTCTGACGTAAAATCGGGAACGCCAACGGCTGAACTTTACAACTTCACATGTATATTCCATCTCAAACAAGACTTTTAAAAAACTTTTATGATGCCAAAATAATTATATCAACGAACAACAAGGTAGATAACAACCTTTTTATTAGAAAGATCGGATGAAAAAAAAATTGGGACAATCTTAATAGACTAACTATTGCAAAAATGTTCTTACCCAAACAAGCAACTGAGCGAATAAATTTAAAAAGCGTGGAATAGAAGGGGGCAAAAAATATCTTGACAAGCGAAAGGGCTTTTTTGAGGCAGGCAATGCCCGTAAAAATGAAACACGTTTTTGCTATACCCTTAAGACCACAAATAATCGGCAAAACGAGAATAAAAGACAAACAAAAAATTACAACAATTGGATAGAGTAAGCAGCTCAATCGGCAATGGGAATCTGAGAGTATCAACAAGAAGTAGATTTGAAAGGACCAAAGGATTTTTTTAAAAAAGGCTCCTATTAGTTGTAGCGATCCACAGTCACATCAATTTCCGATGCGTAGCCGACTTTGTTTTTTGTTTTTCTTTGTTCGGTTACGTAATTGCTCGCGACCTGGCATACCCGTTTGGTATAAAGTGCTTCTCTTTAGAAATCGGTAAAGGGGAAGAAACGTTGAGTGCCTGGATCGGTTTGCCGCCTTGTGCGACTCTATGCCGGAATTTTTGGGGATCATTATTTCACTAAAATTTGGCTTTATTTTTCTATAACATCCTGTTAAAGCATTGGACCTTTAAACCATTAAACTTAAACCTTTTGACTGTTAACACCTCTGACTTCAATCCTTTATCACCAAACAAAAAAAAACAAGACCAGATGAAAGTAATAGAGTTAATCGTTTTCCGTATTAGAGAGCGACGGAACGAGTTTCTCCATTTTGACGTCATTATGCCCAAATCCCTGGGAAAAATTTTGTCTGTAAATTTGGCTATATTTGGCTATATTTGGCTATATTTGGCCATAAATTCTACATCTTGTGAAGCCAAAATCCTGTGATCAGAATCGGCCCCAATTCGGACTCGCAATCCAGGGAATTGTCGCAAAAGTGGCATCCTTCAAATACAGGGTGATCAAAAAAGTTCCCGCACGCTTGCAAATGATTGTTTTTCCAAATGAAAGTTAAAACTAAATTTCCCCGTGTTTTATCGTACTTTGAAGCTGAAGATAATTCTGAACATTTCTAAAAGTAATTCCCGATCAGAAATTTCCATCAATTTCCAGCATTTCCAAGAAGCTTTGCTTTTTTTGAGGCATTCGAGGCAAACAGACAGACAACACACAGTTTCGCATCTTTTTAAAGACTATTTTACGTTATTTTCTATTTGTTTTTATTTTCACGAAAGATTCTATTCTTTTAAAATAACAATTGAACTGTTACTTAAAACAAAAGTTTCAACTAAAAAGTTTTTTTTAAGAATTTTTCAATTGAAAACCAGTTCAAATAGGTGAGCGCCATGACAGTTCGCGCACTACAATGCTCCAGCGCACTACAATGCTTTTTTTGAAGAGCTAGGTGGCTCTGATCAGGACGGTTTAAGTGTAGAAATGCTTCCCAGGATTTCAACTTCAAAATACTATGTACATATTTCGATTCTTCTTTCGATCTGGGTTTTAGCTGAAAAATGAATCTTTTGTGAAGTGTGCGGAAACTTTTTGATTACCCTGTTGTATCTTTTGTAAATCTTTAAAAAAAACCCTAGCTTCAACTTTTCAACTTTTCAACAACTTTTCCAGATTGCTAATCGCAATCTCCAATGCAAAAGGAGATCTAGCTATCTAGAAAAAACTTTAAACTATTTGTTTTCTGAACATTTCCTTATAAAAGTAGCCATTTTACGATCAAATTAGTTAAGATCTCGCCAGTTTTAAGCACCGTTAAAATTTTCGGCTTGAAATAGGCAGAATGTCAAAGAAGCAAGGAGGGTCAGCCAAAAAAAGGATTTTCAAAACAAACATCTTTCTCAAGAAGCATTTCTAGGTTAAAAATAGGCAAAAATTTCAAATTTGGAGTCCGTTTTTCTCTACCTTTCTTGGTTCGAGTCGTACAAATGATTCTTGGAGAGGGGACAGAACTCATGGACCCTGTAAGTAGACTTGTTAACGACGTTTCAAGTTTGACCAGTCATAGTCAGCGCATTGAAAGTTGCTAGCAATCTGAAACTTTTTCGATCAGAAAGCCTAGATTATCCGCTTCATTTTGATACCAAATATTCAGCAAAAATCTGCAAGAAAAGTACTCTAAAAGGTTATCGATATTTGACGAGGCCTCGTTAAGGGTAGCAGTTAAGGTTTAATGTGATTTTTTGAATATTATTTTAAAGAATTTAGCTGAATTTTTAGTATCAAAACCAAGCTCATAATATTGGCTTTCTGCTAAAAAAAAAAGACCTGCACTCCAAAGCTCTTGTTTATAAAATTTCCCCTTTAGTTGATCTTAGAGAACAACAGACTGTGTCGTCATTTCCACATACAGAGCACTATCTTCTCATCTGCACAGGAAATCATGATTGATGAGATCATTTTTGGAAAGGCTCACTGCTTTTTACCGTTCTGCAAAAGAACTGCTTTCAAAAATCTCCCAACTTTTTTGAGGGAAATTGAAAAGGTTCCAGGTTTGAAAGCCTTTTATTTTAAAACAAAACAAGTACAACAATTTATTCAAGTTTTCTAAAATGAGATTGGCATTGGGGTCAGTTGGCGAGGTCAGCATTCTGACGTCGAGTCGAGGTTCAACGATGGTGCCGAGAAAGATCCCTAAAAAGAAACAATAAATACGTATGTCGTAAACAAAAAAATCCCCAACCGTAGCTTTGAAGTTTTTCGCATCGACGTCTTTGCAGGTCTCTGATGGCATTTTGCGAAAAGCCGTTGCCGCTCCACGAAGACTTGTCTAAAGGAATAACCGCACTGATACTTTCATAATCAAATAGACTTCTAAAAAGTAGGGATAATATCAAATCATTTTCTTTTCATTTCACAAAAGATTTTAAAACTTTATTCTGAATATTTGAAAGGCAACCAAATATAACACATAAAACACCAATAATCTGTCAATTCAAAAAATGGAAACAACAGAAAGCGGCTAAAAGATACAATGAATCATCAAAGAGTGTTCATTTTAACCGACCGGTATGTAGAAGGCCAAGAAGAGCAAGGAGTCCGTAAAATAACCGTACACGCAGACGCAGTCCTTGGTTGAATCAATACGTCGACGGAAGATTGAGCTATCAATATTGAAACCCCAAAAAGCCTTAGAACCAACAGAACCATCAAAATCATCAGAACCCCCATAATCGTCATAATCCACAGCAGACACAGAAGGACGCCATCCTAAATTCTTCAGAACATCCTCCGCCTGTTTGAGAAGTTGAAGACGATTCTCTCCATCGACTCGTCGTATTCCTGGATATTGTGAGAGATCCATCCTGTCGTAGCTATGAAATCCACCTGTAGAAATCGAGATAATAGCCTCAGGGTGCTTGCTCGGGATTCCATTGGTGACGATCTGTTGAGCCATCCAATCAATGTAGTCAGCTGAATCATCAGCAATAGAAACTTTTTTGATCTCAGTCTTCAACAAGACGTCATAGTAAAAGCGAAATAAATCTTTGGAATAACAGCAAAACCCAAATGCCCCGCAATCCTTGAGTTGTGCCATGATGAAATTCTCGATGAAATCGTTGATCATTTGATCATCTTCATCTTCACCGAGTTCGATATTCAGTTCTGCATATTTCTTGATCGATGCGTGGACATTTGAGAAGAACCTCTCGAGAGCTTCTCTTGAATTCTCTTTCAGGCGCAAACTATTCACCGACTTCAAATTGTGCAGAAGTGTGTATTGATCGTTCAATTGCTGATTCATGCTGAACGACAAGGAATCGCACGATCGAATCCTCTTGACGAAAGAAGCGTGAGAAGAGACATTGAGCTCCATTATAGGTGAATTGGAAAACTGCTTGATCCAAATCGTCTCATTGTTGAAGGAAATCTCTAAGACGCGCTCCCCAAAAACGATCGACGGGTCCCTCACGAGCATCCCTTTGAATCCCTCGTTCACCTTAACCAACTCAAGCACATCCCTTGTGTCCATTTGCTCCAACACTTCCAACTTCAAATCGAAACATAACTTCTCCATGGGAAATGACTTCAAACAATTCTTCATTTTGAACGGCATGACCTGTAAATACAAGACTAGACTTTGTTTTGAGACGAAGAGGTGCCTTACGGCCAACGGAAATGTTAGAGAAATAGTGAAATTACCCTGGGATAGCCAGGCCGTAAAACCTACAAAATGTAAAGCTCGAAAAAGTCAATCAATCAAGAAATTGACAACTGCTTCAAACAGTAACTCCATCATCGAACAATATTTTATAAATTTATTCCAAATCACAATGATAACGAGAAAAGCTCGCAAAACCTAACAAAAAGCAACAACAATTCTAACCGGTCAACATTTATAAATCTAAACAAACAAAACTTTAACATTGAGCATCATCGCAATCGCATCGCTGAACGGAAGCTGAACGGCACCTTGCAGAGCACCCATATGGTGGGCATTTGGTGAAATAAACTTCTTCCAAACCCAGTTCCCAGAATCGTCAATCTAAATACACAATCGTTGCATTTACAAAACTCAACTAACATATCCTGCCGGCTCTCGCAAGTTTCCAAGTTTTCACACCGACAAAGTGCAAACAATGATGAAGAAGACCGATGAGAAAATACCTGAAGGAAATAAAGTAATGTAAAACAAAACTACCTCACCCGCAATTGAATTCATACCAAGAAGTTGACAAAACTCTTGCAAAACATAATCGGCAATCATGATTGCAATGAGCACAGCAGTGTGCGCAGCGCCACCCCTTTTCTTGGCATTTCTAAAATATAAAATGCTTAATAGTAAGGTACGATTCAAATACCAAAGGCAATGCCAAAGCTAAAGACAAACCTGAATTCACGAATGGCTTCACTGCGACAACGCTCATGTTCATTCGCTAATTCGGCTGTTTGCATGTATGGCTCTTCTCCACCAGATGATGATAGGGATACACATAGGAAAAAGGTCTAAAAATGGTCTCTCAAAACATTTTTTCAAGCCAAAAACACTTCTTCTGGCATAATTTAACCTACTGGTTACCTTTCTGATCAAATTGACCGAGCCCACGAGTCAAATCGAAGATTTTCCATTCTTTTCTGCTTCATCACTCCATAACTTGATCATCGCGTTTACAAATGCAGAGCAGCGTCCCCTAAATTAAAACAACACTAACGAAGCACTTGACAAAACCGACCTCACTGCTGACTCCTCACCGCTGAAAAGCAAATATCCCGTGAAGTACACTGCACTCATGAGCAAGCTGAGGATCAGTTGTCCTTGCATCTAAACAGACTTGATCTAAATCTAAACTTGAAAGATTCACAAAGCAAAACCATAGTCATCGATGATTATGAACACTGGAGGAGGCTTCTTTTCAACGCTGTCAATGTGCTGGTCAGCCTAAAACGGTACTAAATTGCTATAGAAAAGCTGCACACCTCTTCTCTAATTGCAAATAGAAGCGAGGATTTCTTTGCAAAAACGAGGCCATCATTTTCCAGGTTGCCGCGAAACATTGCACAACGTTTCCTAAAGTAAATAAGGTTCGAAAATTTTCAAAAACTAACAGAAAAGATTCTTCTGTGCGGAGGCTTTCCGTTGTAATTCCAATCTTGATGACATAGAAGTTGCGAGGAATCTAAAAACGAATGAACATGAACAAAGAACACGCAAGATTCACCAATCCAATTGCTTCCTTCAAAGAATCCACTCTTGATGAGAAATCGACAATAAGCTAGGCTTATTTCTAAAGTTAAATGGATAAGTTTCACTAAAAGTTCAAAGAATGACGTTGTTCAAAATGTTCAATGAAGTTGTTCAAGTTATACTCGTTAATTAACTTATTAACTTAACTAAAACCGTTAATTAACTTATTAACTCATAATCCTTCGATGTTCCCCCGGTATTCCACATACCGAAATTCTGCTGTTGTCAGCCAAAAGTGTCTCGTCTTCTCGACAACTCAACTCTTTTTCAGCCAACTTTTTGATTTCTGCTCTCGAGTATTCCCCGTACCGAAATTTCGGAGAACCAGGCTGTTTCTACAATCGACTCAAATTTCCTTGATCGACAATAAGCTAGGCTTATTTCTAAAGTTAAATGGATAAGTTTCACGAAAAGTTCAAAGAATGAAGTTGTTCAAAGTGTTCAATGAAGTTGTTCAAGTTATACTCGTTCAAAAACTGTTGTAATTTTATTGTAACGGTGAAAGGAAAGCTTGATGTTAAACCAGCAGAGGCAATTAGTGCAACAAGAAGTGCTCAATGAGAAGATCGCAAGAAAGGTTTATTGCAATCCTTGTACCCGGTTAAATGGGTGATTTTTGCTGAAAGTTCACAATTTCTCTATCACACTGAATTTCCTTGATTTCCGTCTGATTAAAGCTGAATTTGTTTTCCAGAAAATTGCCCACTAGAAGGGTTATCGTAACCAAGTTAATTTCTAGTTTCTAAAAATTCTAAGCCGGTTTTTTTTTGTTTGAAGTTGCGTCAAAAAGAGCTTAATTTCTCTTTTTCATAGAAAGGTAATCGATCGAATTTCTTCATCGGAAACTAGAGGACTTTGAGTCGGCTCAGCTAGAGGACTTTGAGTCGGCTCATCTAGAGGACTTTGAGTCGGCTCATCTAGAGGACTTTGAGTCGGCTCATCTAGAGGACTTTGAGTCGGCTCATCTAGAGGACTTTGAGTCGGCTCAGCTAGAGGACTTTGAGTCGGCTATCTGGATTACGGTAGCTTTAGCGAAAGAACAACTTTTATGCCTTTAAATTATGCCTTTAATCAACCGAACACAGCCAAATTTTGTCTTTCTACAGTCAAACCTTTCACAATTCCGTATTCATCGCGAATAATCGATCGAATTTCTTCATCGGAAACTAGAGGACTTTGAGTTGGCTCATCGATTCCATACAAAATGGTCATTCTTCAGAAATGAATTAGATTTAAAACTAAAGTAGAATTCGCACGCGACAAAGGAATGCCGTTTTCAGATCGATATCACACCAAATGATATCTTATCGGAAATTGCACAGCAGACAAGGTCAAGTGTAGAGTGTGCTCCTTGTTGACAGACAATTTGTCAGACAAATTTTCATTGACAACTTTTTTGTCAGACAATTGATCCGACAAGACTTCCGACAACGCGTTTTCTAAAAGGTGCGCTTTTTAAGCAAAGCTATAAAGGTCGCGTGAAAAAAATTTGCAAACTTTTCTTAAAATATAGTAATGGATAGTTTTATTTAAGGATTTAGGTTTTTTAGGGCGTGGAATTTTTTTTTGGAATGGTTCTAGTGCAAATGTAGACAATAGCCCTGGTAAATTCGTAAATAATATCATTTTTTAATAGTGTTTCTTAACTTTTCCCGTTTTAAATGTTTTCTTTAATTTTAAATAGCATTTAAAAAATTTTAAGTTTTAGCGAAAGAGTAATAGAGTTAAGGAAAAAGTAATAGAGTTAGGGAAAGAGTATTAGAAAAAAAGAGCGCAAGATTTTAATGTACATTTGCATTTTGAAAAATTTGCTGATGCAAAGCATAGGGTTACGGTAGCTTATCCTTGGCGCGCGCTTGTTAGAAAACGCGTTGTCTGCAAGGAACACACTCTAGTCAAGTGTGTTCAATCCAAAGTCCGACGTAAAATCGGGAACGCCAATGGCTGAACTTTACAACTTCACATGTATACATATTCCAACTCAATCAAGACTTTAAAAAAACTTTTATGATGCCAAAATAATTATATCAACGAACAACAAGTAGATAACAATCTTTTTATTAGAAAAATGGGATGAAAAAAAATTGGGACAATCTTAGTAGACTAACTATTGCAAAAATGTTCTTATCAAAACAAGCAACTGAGCGAATAAATTTAAAAAGCGTGGAATAGAAGGGGGCAAAAAATATCTTGACAAGCGAAAGGGCTTTTTTTGAGGCAGGCAATGCCCGTAAAAATGAAACACGTTTTTGCTATACCCTTAAGGCCACAAATAATCGGCAAAACGAGAATAAAAGACAAACAAAAAATCACAACAATTGGATAGAGTAAGCAGCACAATCGGCAATGGGAATTTGAGAGTATCAACAAGAAGTAGATTTGAAAGGACCAAAAGATTTTTTTAAAAAAGGCTCCTTTTAGTTGTAGCGATCCACAGTCACATCCATTTCCGATGCGTAGCCGACATTTCCTGGGAAGTAGTTTGCTGAAGCTGCCTGTTCTTGCTAAATATACATGGATACCAACTTTTATTTTTCAATAAACGCACCAAAAATTGGCATTTCTCTTGAGAATCAGCGTACTTGTTGCGGTAATGCAAGGTGCGCGTCAAGGAAAAGATGAGAAGCTAAAAGTTAACGATAAAACAAACAATCCAATACCGTACCATTATCACAATCGTGAGTGCAGCGACGAGAATCCATAGAAGAACAATTTGCCAGTCAATCTCCAATTTAGCGATAGTCTACAGCGAAATTTAACTGTTCAATACATTAAGATTTACCTTGTCGTTAGAAATTTCGAGACTTTTGATGGCTTCTTTGCGCTCGAATTCACAATACTCAGGATCCATTCCGTAGCGAGCCATGCAATAATCCCAGTCTCTAAAAAAATTAAAGATCGGTCTCACAAAATGCACTAACCTGAGAATTAAAAAGTTGGCTTCGAACCCGCTAAACGCGTTATGTTCACAAGCGCAAACATCCGTTCCATTGACTTTTAGATCTCTAAAACATAAAATCTTATTAAAAACAAGATTCTCTAAAAAAAACCTGAACATTGTGGTCATATTTTCCTTCAAACGGCTCACCAAAACTCCATCCGAGACAGAGATTAGCTTCCTAAAAACAATACTTAAGCAACTTTTACAAAATTACCTATTTTCAGGGAAAGAAGTCACATATTTCCCAGCAACACCATTAAACAACGAGTGAAGAAAATCTTCCATTGGCATCACATACAAATCCAGACCACCTTCTCGCCGGCGTTCTGTGTAATATAGCTAAAATTTGCAAAATCGATGCTTAAGCCAGTTTAGTCATTTACTGTATGTGCATAAGGGTCGGCCAAGTAATTGTCTCGCGTCTGGAGGGCTTCATGAGCATGGTGGGACAAAAGATGTGGGAAAAGAGTGCTAAATGAGTTATTTTAATCGAGTAAGCATAAAATTAATATCGAGATCAAAAGTAACTTACCCCTTCTTCAAAGAGCCTTGCACAAAATACGACGCCACAAAGTGAGAATGAGTGATAATATAGAGGAATTGATTTCGAGTATCAAAAATACTGTGCTTCTGTAATGTCAACAAAATTATCTGATCGCCAGCTCCAAAAACATACCACATTATCAGTGGCATAGTTGTTGAAAACGGCGTCATTCAGCTGGCCCCTCTTAATTTCAGGCAGCAGATAGCTAGAAGCATTGCTTGTCTAAAATCAGAAAAGATAAATCATCACAAAACCTATTACCTTTGATGGCCAATCAATTGTGTCGATGTACAGATGCCCCTTTCCTTGAAGTTTTGCTCCCTAAAGATTCTGCTTAGGTGAAGTAAAAAAAAACCCAACTTGTGCAACATATAAAATCTGTGGCGGCCTCCTCCCATGGACGTCTCGCATCAAATGTCCCTTTGCATTAGTCATCTCGCATATGCCACTGTTTTTCCTAAAGAGGACACTTTAAATAAGTCATATAGACAGCTTAAGTCAAGCAGCTCTAACTATATGTGCTTACTATCTTTAGTTTATTTACTATTTATTTGTATAAAAACATACCAAATATGTTTGAGCGTCTTTGGACAATACCCGTCATCGCCTGGGTAGACTTCTATGGCTCGTTGACAAGCCTGAACTAGATAAATGTATTTGCAAAAGAATAATATTTACCTGAGATCCAAAAATCGCGAATTGATATGTTCCCAGCAAGTGCCGCATCTCACAAGTATCGTTTGCAGCGCTCAACGCTCCGATGAGCACTCCCATTGCGCAAACGAGGAGTGGAGCCTTCATCTAAAGTAAAATTGAAGATGATTTAAAATATGAAAACAAAAGTTAAATCGAAGTCACAAAATAGCCTTTATCAAGGGTATATTTCCTCCCCAAATCTCAAAAATGTTCTCAGTCGCATTTTATCGGGGGCAATCAATTGCTCATGGTCATTCTAAACAAAAACATCACCTTTTTTAGTTTAGAGGCAAATGTTATCTTTTTAAGATCAAAAGCTTCTATAAAAATTCCCCATTTCCACACATCCCCAACGCAATTGTTAACAAGTTTTCTTCACCTTTTCACTTTTCTCAAACAAATTTTCATTATCCACGCCGCTCCTATTTGGCCACCAAAAAATTCCTTAATCCAGCGTCCTTTCTAGATCCCGTTTCAGCTCTAAGCCTATAAAACCCTAATCCATAAATTTCACTGCATTTTTGTTTGAGAAAACTCAATGACTAATTTTTCTCTTTCACATTTCTTCGTCGATCATTACAAATTTCTCTTTTCATGCTGGTAAGATTTCTCACACATTCATTTCTCCACGACTATCGGTAAGTCGTATTTAAGTGAGAATAGTGGTGGTGCACGGACGGGGCGGGAGACTCTCCATGTGCATATTTCCATATAGAGAGCCGAGGAGGGGGTAGACTGAAAGAAGGAATTGTACATTAGTGGGAGACACAGAGATGCAAAGAGCTCCATTCAGAGGGACGGGTCGATTGCGGGCTGCGGGGAGCCGCGCTCTCTTCCTCTTCCCCTATAGCGCCCTTTCTTCTCCCCACACACACACACACGCCCGCCTCTCTTTTCTCTTTCTCTGTGCTGCATTTGAAGCGTGCAATGCATCCTCGCTTCGGCTCGCGTTTTAGTCGCTTATTTTTGCTTAACTTATGCAAAATCGATACGACTACCGGGCGCGCTTTCTTCCCCCACACACTTGTACACATCCATCCGCTGCCGCGCGCTTTTTTCTATTTAGTGTTCCCGATTGCAATACTCATCGAATCGGGCGCTCTCGACCAGATAACGTTGTTTACTTCGATCTCGAGCCTATCAGCCTCGCCAAAACAAAGAAAAAAAAAAGCACGTCGCGAATTCCGGTTAAATCTTTTTTTTGCCAACAATTAATAGATACTCAATTGATTAGTTGTACAGTTTAATTCAGTTAAAATTGTTACTTTAGTGTGCTTTTGAAAATAAAATTCTTTTCGTTGCCGGAATAGCGATTCTTTCTCAGAAACTATACTTATAGAATCTTTACAAATATTTCCCGCTTCTCGAAGTTGTTCTATTTTTCTTTTGCCTTAAAAACCGGAAGCAAACGAATTCCGGGATTTCTATGCGTTCTCCTCCCGTATACCGCTCAATAGGACATGTCTTCGACTCGTTTTCTTTACATGATTCTCTTCTATTCAATTTTCCTTTTTCGTGTTTGCTCATCTTATCATTTTCATCTCTCATAATCGATTGTTCACTTTCTCTCACCCCTTCTCCATTTTCATTTCGATGATAAATCGCACAAATGAATTCGTTGCCCGATTTTTATTTAAAAAAAACCCCACATATAATTGTTTAGATTTGTTGGGGGAATTCGACTGGAATCAACTTGAGGATTGGAAATCTTCAAGACTTCTATTTTGCCTTCAGGCAATAGGTGAGTAAGTTTTTTGTGGTCACTTCTCTGTGATGAGCAAATAAACTAGGCAAAACCGTTTCCGATTACCTGACCCATAAAATACGTCTAGCCAGTTTTCTGAGTCACTTATGTGAGAAATCGATTTTTCTCCGGGAATAGTAGTATCATTTTGAGGAAAATCCGTTATAGACGCATTCTTATTATATTTTCTAACTTTAGCGGGATATGACCGTAGTGGCTAGCTATGGGATGGTGCTCTGCGGAAATTCTGATGATGTTCACCAGAGATACCGCGGCCGTATTGAAAAGTTTGTTTTTTTTAATTGAGGGTACTATCCGTCGGGGCTATAGTAGTTGGGCGGGGGTTTCGTCAAATGAACTGATTTTTTTGCACCCAGGGGTTTTTGACTATGCTGAATCGATTGGTGATGGTTTCACACATTCAGAATTTTTAACAATTTTTATAACAAATAGCAACAAAACGACAAAAGGTCAACAAGTTACCAATGAGGATGGCCTTTTATAGAACTTTCCTGACAGGTCGAAACTCGTTTCTCCAATGACCGCAGTTTGATCCGTAAGTAGCCTTGAATGTTGTTAAAAGTTGCGAAATGTTGTGTGAAGCCATCACCAATCGATTCAGCATAGTCAAAAACCCCTGGGTGCAAAAAATCAGTTCATTTGGCGGAAAAATTTTTACCCCACCCCCCAACTACTATAGCACCCTATCCGTCTATACCTGATCAAAAATCTATTTCATTTTAACACTACTGCTTTGCATGGTTAAAACTTGCAATCGTTAGATATTTCTACAGGTATGGGATAAAACCGGTTAGTACCAAACGATTTTGCCTTTTACCACTCTTTCCAAAATAAAACCTGTGTTTTAGAGTGAAATTTGGAGTTCCTATCAATGAGGCGTTTAGTCACGACATTCCAGCGACCTTGCTGGTTCTATTGCTCAAGGTACGTTTACTCGCCTTTTTGCATTCTAAATGTCTTTGTTTCTAGGTCAACAAGGAGGGACCGTTGAAGAAAGATATATGGAGAGCGCCGGGCAACCAGGCTCAAGTAATTTTTTTTTGTTTTTTACAACTCTAATTTGTCCTAATTTAGGTGCGAAAGCTATCGCATATCATGCAACATGGTCGTCTTGTAAATATTGCTAACTTCTCAGTTTATACAGCAGCTAGTGTGATTAAGGTAGTGTTGTCCTAGCAATTTACACCAATTTTTAATTTAGAAATTCTTGTCGAAACTGCCTGGCGGGATTTTCGGTATAGAAAATGAGCAATTGTTGTTCAATAGTGTTAGCAATGCTGACCCGGATAAGCAGCGACAAGTATTTTGCAAGTAAGTTGCGTTTTTTCACAATAGAACTAGTTAGAACTTAGTTATCTATACAAAGTGTCCAATTCTTCATTTAGTATCTTTTCTCGACTTCCATTGCCTTCTCAACATTTGTTGGTGCTTCTTTTTGGAACTTTCCGAATGGTCGCTGATGGTGCTGCGGAATTCGGGACTAAAGTAAGCTAATCGGCAAGAAATTTAAGAACTCACCTTTTTCTAGATGACCCCCGAAGCTATTGGAATCTCGGTGGCTCCATCATTGTTTCACAGTTGTATTCATGAGGGCCAAAAAGTTTAGATCGATAATAGATTTTGATGATATTTGTGATTTAGGTGAAAGTCGAAGATGTTGAACGCTTCAAACTTGCCTCACAAGTTGTCTCAAACATTATTAAATCTTTTGGGCACACGACACTTTTTCCCAGGTATTTAATGACCACGTTATTGCTAACTTAATGTTGATCACATAAAGTTTGAAAGTAAACTTTCAAATTTCAGGGAATGTTACGAGTTCTATGCTCGAATCACCGGACGGACGTTGCGATACGATCAAAATACCGCGTGGATCTTCAATTTTCAATATCCATCAAGTTGGTTTTTTAACCTGAGTTCATGCTTAACCGCTTGCTCTCAAATGTCAAAAGAATGTTTGCATCAAGTTTAACAAACTTGGACGCATACTAAATTCTTTTGTGTAACTGCTTGTTAACCTAGCAAGCTTTGCTAATATGAAAAAAGCTTAAGATAGTATTAACAATGACTAATATTTTTAATGTTAGTGTTAAAACAAGCGCCACACATAAATCAAGCGCTTTGATTGAAGTTCACGTGCCTCACTATTTATGCTTTCAAATCAACTCTATAATTCTTGATTGCTTGGAAATTTTGAAACTGGACTTGATTTGCAAAAGTGATTTCTCAAAATTTCCTGGCAATTTCTTCCCTAAAATCTCTACTCGATTCACTTTCAATCTTTCCGAATAACTAGGCCAACTGAAGGTACACATTCATTTTCGCTAATAACGAAAACAGTAACTAATTATACTGGCACGATGATATTATTGAAATTGGCTAATTAATATCACGGCATTATCTCTTGCATTCCCTTATCCTGTCGCTTTCAAAGAAGCCTTAACTTTTGTGTATTTCTTTCGTCGAGCCTTCGATTTTTCCATTCCTAGGGACAGTGACCAACACGAACCAAGAGGAAACATACAATTGCAAAAGTCACTGTTCCTAAGGTCAACCTGTATCTGTCGTGTGTGAGCTGTTCTGCTTAATTGGAAGCATGTGCCCCTCTCATGCATGCAATCTTTCAGTTGTATTCCTAATATTTGGTTTCATTCTGTCCGGCTTTCCCCCGCCAATTTGTGTTTGTTTCTTGGTGAAAACTGTCGCAACAAATCTTTCAGTTGGCGAGGGCGACTATCCACCCGATATTGTCAGTGGTGCGTATCGAGCGGCTGCTTTGGGATCCGTTCACTGAATGATCTCGAAATTTTTGGATTGGTATTTGAAACGCTTAGTGATTCCTCACCCACATCCATCGTACCTCCCCACACCTATTTTTGAGAGCTCTTTTATTTTCTCTTGGATTGGCTTCGTTTCTCTAGATTATTTTTCTTTTTGCATGTATGATCCTCTTTTTGCACTTTTCGAATGTTGCGCAAAAGTTTGGGCGAAAAGGTAATTTCTAGGTGACCTCTTGAATGAACAAAAAGAGAAAGGGTCCATGAAAAGTACATGTTTGTAGATGTGCGAGAGGCATCGGCGGCTGCACTAGGCTTTGTGGCGACAAATTGTGGGACAACATATTCGATGACGGCGTTGCACATAGTTGAGGGTTCGTCCCAAGATCCGGGCACAAGTGGGGCCTCCACGTCCGCCCAAATTCGATTGGTGCGTGGGGGCTCGTTGCATCGCCACGTGATCGTCCCCTCATCCGATGTCACCACTTGTGCTCAAGCGGCTGCCGTTTCCCCGCTGGCGATTGCCTCGCTGCGATCGCACGCCGCTCATGACGCTGATATTCGGAATAGCGTTTCCTGCGATTTCTAGCAGTAGTTTTTCTCTCTCTTTCTTGTGAGCTTACCTTGGTTGGGTTGATGCAAAAGTGATACGTTTAAACGTTGTTGCCGTGTTAGCTATGCTTAGAGATAAGAAGGTTCATGTTTTAAAGCACTCCACATTATAGTTAAGCGTGACTATCTAATTGTTAAATATTACTTAGCACCATAAAAGGTAATTACCGTGGATATTTTAGTACCAGTTAGTTATCAGCTCTCAAATGAAAAATCTAAGAAAAGTTCTCTTTTGTATCAACCCAGTACATCTGTGTGTTGGTTAATAATATCATTGAGACATATCAGGGATTTTTGGGATTATACGTGACGTTGTGTTACCTTGACGCCTGAACTAGCTTTAATGTTTTTTTATGTTCTTTTTTGGTTGTTTGACTTATTCTGCTTTTGAAATATCTTCTCGGGTATGATTTTAACGCTTTGAACCCCTGTCCCACATTCCCGTACTTTTTAATTACAAACATTGCGCGTCTAGATCACTTACACAAAAACCAAACGTTTTGTTTTTGCAAGTTTTTATTAACTTAAAACATTTTTTACTTTATTTTACATTTTTTTCAGCACAAATTTATGCGGTGACACAGAAAATAACCTTTTTAAAGAACAACTTTTTTATTTGTTTTTAACAAGCATAACTTAATCTGGCGCTTGACTTCTTCCCAATTGCTCTGAAATTCGTCTTTCATTTTCAGAACTTCAAAGAAACCCTATGCTTGCTGAGTATCCCTAAACAATCCCAATGATTTTTTATTGGTACTTTTCAGTCCCACTCCCGAAAATAAGAACAGATAAATTACGATTAATTTAAAGACTCAATTTTACAAAAGGATACTTTTGTTAAGGGTAAGCAATACATGTTTATTTTTTTTTAAATCTTTATAGGAGACTTTTGCTATCCGAATAGTGGGAGAAAAACAGAAAAGTACCCTCTTTTACTCATTTTCCTTGTATGTATTCAGTTTTTGTGATCCTGCTTTCCTCAAACTTTCCAAATTCTTTATATTTGTGAGCGACGTGAACTTCAAGATTTGTCCTTAATAAATGTTTTACGAAACATACCATTCATCATGGCATGAAAGGAGGAAAGGATTGAATTTGTGTTTCTTTAGTCGCGCCGGAAACAAGTGGATCATCGGAAAGAAGGGAGCAAGAACCACTTAGCATTGAAATCACCGATGAAAATGAAAGGCGAGTTGAAATTTAGAACTTTTTCTTATTTTTGCAATGAACATGCTAACTTTTAAGTTTTAGGCCTGGTACTTCTAGAACGATGCCCCCTTTGCCAACATGTCCAGAATTGACTTGCACCACAAAGGAACCTCTTGCTGCAGCACTGGATCGAATTCTCAAACAACCAATGAATCAACGATTAAGCAATCGATTGAGCTGCTCAGTTGGAGAGGTATAAATTTATTATATAGTGAAACTTTGTAGAGAGTAAAATAGTAAATAAAGTTATGAACTTTTATAGTTTCATGTCTTCCATTACAATTCTTGAATACGTCTCTTTAGGTTCTCTCGGCCTCGGCTGAAGCTGAACTTTGTCCAGTGAGTCCTTCATCGCTGATCTCTGCTCACGGAGATTCAACTCGTTCTCTTTCAATCCTCGACTCGGTTCACGAGATGCAAGCACGACGCATGGAAAGCCGAAGTCAATGGTGCGGAAGATTTAATTTATTTAGATATTCTGATGGCTAGTTGACAGTTATAAGCTAATTTTTGAACTTGGTTCCACATTTACACGCCCTTCTCATTTCGATCTTTGTTCATATCAACTAGCCATCCACCTACTTTAAACGATTTGTTTGCCCATGAAATTTTCCAATTTTACTTTGGTCTAAGTAGATCTTTTAGGTTTCTTTCTCCTAACCTTTCCCGAAATGGTGTTGCATGGAGAAGGGAGGAAGCATGCTCACATAGCCAAACTACTGCGGTCAAGATTGAAGAAAGTGTTGAAGAAACGAGTGTCCCAACGTTGACGACAAAAGAAAAGGAAGTCTCGCCGACTAAGGTAGTTTCATGAGAATTTTTATCTATATTTTGTTGTAGTTGAGTTTTGCTGTAACTTCTAACATGAAAATACTATCGAACTCGGTTCGACAACATTGATTTAACGTTAAATTGGCCAAAGTATGAAGCCAAAGCCAAGTTGATGTTAAGTTGATGTTGCGCACCGGGCTCTGATTTTCAACACCTAAAGCCAGAAAATTTATGTTGGGGTGATGTTGCGCTTTTTTGTGGCACTAAAAAATAATTTTTATGTTTTGAAAGCTGACCCATTAAACCTTGTTTGTGTTGTAGTGTAAACTTCGTGCCTTTGCGTATCCAACAAAAACCGCCTCGAATGAAGATTTGTCAACGACGTCGAAGAACAAGCTGACATTCACCCGTCGAAATGTTCCAAAGCGACTGAATATACAATCACTTGAAGATAAAGAACCATCGAAGTGCAATTCACCCGGTTGCTTCCGCATCAAACATCACTCACCACGGCAAATTCAACACGAGCAATTTCAGGATTTGATCAAGTTTTGGGATGATAAGGTCTTTGTTTGCCTTGGTTTTGTGTGACTAACAGATTGATTTGTTTTTAAATTTCTATCGTTTGATTTAGAGGCTAATCAGTTGCCGCTCAACTGCTTCGTCGTGTTCGCAAAATGTTTCCGAAAGAGTTCCATTTGCCGAGAAGAGAGAAAAATCGTTGAAACAGGTACAATCTTGTACGATAAATATAACACTTCTCTCATTGAGGCACCACAATCTCAATGGCCAGTCGCTTCACCGGAGGCTGCACTTGTAAAGGCGCAAGAAGAAAGCATCGCTGGTGGTGGAGCTTCTAGTTCACAGGCTGTCATTCGCCGACGCTCTTGGCGCACTCATTATGTCCGACCGACGAATCGAGATCCGTCGGTTAGTGAATTGATATCAACGTAGTATGAAATCTGAGGCTTACTTCCGAGTCCGGGATTTTACTTGTGTTATAAAATACATTTAATTTTAGGTACTTGGCGGTGGCTCTCTTGATAACGAAGATCGACCAGCGACTGTTGTAAATAGAGGGGTCACTCATGCTCAATCACTTGGAGGTTTAGTTCAAATTTTGATGTAGTATTTATTAAACTCATTAGGTGAGCGTTGCCTGGTCGATTCTCCCAATGGTAGTTCCGGTGGTACCCCAAGTCGCAAGCGTTCACTTAAAAAGAAGATGAGCACAAAGTTCTAATTGGCAAACCCCTGCTTTTTTTGGCTCATCACCAAATTAGGCACACATCTTCCATATACTTTTTTTTCACTTGGCAAACGTGCTTTCTCTGAAATTATTAATGTTTCCTTTTAGAATATTTGTTTTCCTTATCGAACGATTATCAATTTTCAATTTTGCGATTTCATACACAAAATTTTCTGACTCTTAAAGTCTTTTCCTCTCTTCATTTTGAGCATCTCATCGCACTTAAAGACGTGTTTGTTTCAAATTGTCTTTCAATCACTTCGTCATTCTTTCTCGAGCTTTATCATCGTTTCTCACACTTTATTTTTTCCCAAGCGATGATAATGATTACTCATTTTTGCGATGGTTGTTGCCCTTAAATTATGATTAGGCTTTTGATTCTCAAAGTGATTCAATCACGGGTTTGTTTTTGAAATCTCTGAAGTAGGGGGTTTGTAAGCGGAAAGTCTAGAGTCTTGGGTTTTCTCAAGTCAAGGGTTAAAAAGAAACTAGTTAAACATCGGATGACCGCAAGTTATTCAGTTTTCAGCTTGCAGACCCACAGGTTCTCAAAAACGAAGTTTGATTGTGTCATGTTGGGAAAACGAACGTGGTTACATTTTGCACCAAACTTATAGTTCATAAGCAATTTTCTTGAGTGAAATTCAACCGCTACAAGATGTGTCACCAAAAGTTTTTGCCGTTAGTGACGATATAAGTTATTTCCCCCTTCTCCGTTTTGGTTGTTTTCTCCTTGCATAATTCTATGTACAGCATATAAAATCGTTAAACTGCCAACTGCCAACATAAAATCGTATTATTATTTTGCATAATGATGGTGTATCCTTCATTTTTCGTGTTAGGTTGAATCATTTGGCACTACACTCTTAGGTTCTCGAATTCTTCTTTCTTGATGTTCACTTTTATTGGAATTGCGATGATATGATTGATTGGTGTTCATTTAGAGCTTTGTCGTGGTTTTTATGTTACCCGTTTTTTCTACTGATCTTACCCTGATTTCACTCGTACAAATCACACAAAAGAAATTTCTCTTTTCTGCCAAATATTGCCTCCAATACACAATTTTCCTCTTATTTTCGTCGATATGAATTGTGAAATAAAACGATTTTTATATTTCTGAATGAAAACATGTGGAAAGTGCAGGAAAGATATCTGTAGGAGGGGAATCAGTTTTGGAATGTAAAAGCCATTGACAAGTAAATCTTTTCTAGCTGTGTGCATGAACTCCCCGGGATGCCAGCAAGCGAATTGTAGCGAAACGCTGAAGGAGGGAATGGGTATGTTGCGCTTATTACAGTAAAAGGATCTTTACGGTTAGCGACGGAAAAAGCGGTCACCGGCGGGAATGATTTCTTGTCCGATTAGCGGCGAGATAAGGGAAATTGCATGGTATTCAACCAATTATTTATCCATTTTAGATATTTTTTAATCAATTTAGATATTCCTTCAAGCTGTGTTGTTCGTATCTTCAACGCTTTAGTGAATACATCAGCCGACCAAGAGATTGACAAACCCAGTAACGCACAATAAACATATTAAATAAATACATCAGTTTACAATAGTTTAACAAACACATTTTAAACGCTCAATAGCCTTAAAAACATATTAAATGCATCAACCGAACAGTAGAAACACAGTTTAAATGCTCAAAAGTCATGCACAAAATTCGGCTAATCTATTGATCGGCTGATGTATTCAATAAAGCGTTGAAGATTCAAACACCACAATTTGAAGAAATATCTAAATTTATTAAAAAAATATCTAAATTGGGTGAATCATTGGTTGAACATCATGCATTTTTCCTTATCCCGCACTAATCGGACAAGAAATCGTTCTCTCCGATAATCGCTATTTCCGCCGCTGATCGATTGACCCCGCCGTTATCCGTAAAGCACCCAGTAAAACTTTGGTTTAATTCTAATATCAAGATTTTTTCATAAATCTACCACAGTTTCAAATGTTCAGGTTTGACTCCGGAAGGGCGACGAGAAAGCCGAGTTTGTACGGTACGTGTGCCGATCAACATTGCTTTGGTAAAATATTGGGGGAAACGTGATCAGGTATTTGACTTGTTTTGAAACATAAAATTAGCAAATATTATCTTATGTATTATTTTAGACTCAAAATATCCCATTGAATGACTCGCTATCGCTTACGATCAATTCCCTGCATGCGCGGACAACACTACGAGTCAATTATGAGATCGGAACCGATAGCGTGAAGGTAGTTTAAGTTTGCAAAATTCAGAAACTTCTGTTTAGATCAATGGAAAATCTCAAACAGTGACTGGAAGCAGATATCAACGTGTTTTCGAGGTCTTTTAGTATTTTTTTTGATAATAACTTGTGTTGTTCAGGAAGTAAGAAGATGGGAACGCAAACGGAAAGCTGGTGAGGTTGCCGAACATCCTGTCAGTATACAGTTTGAGGTAACTAAATGCATCTTTTATCTAAAAAATTAGTTGGATTTTTAGATCACGTCTGAAACAAATTTCCCAGTGTCGGCCGGACTCGCGTCTAGTGCAGCTGGATTCGCGGCGATAGCTGAATGCCTACAGAAAATCTTTGGATTCACTGATAGTCAAAAGAGCCAACTAGCAAGATTAGGTTGGCTTTTGCCAGATTTTTTTTACAGTAATGTAAGCTTTAGGCTCAGGCTCTGCAATAAGATCCATATTTGGAGGACTTGTTCGGTGGAGAAGAGGGACTCAGCCAAATTATGAAGATTCTATAGCCGAGGTTGGATTTAGTTTGTAATTATTTTCATTTCAAAGCTCCCATTTAGCAGTCATTCCCATCTACTCATTGGCCTTCGCTGAGAGCTCTAATTTTGGTCGTCGATGAAGGCAGAAAAGAGTACAGCTCCACCGATGGAATGCAGGTTTTATGACAAGAACAAGCAAAAAAATTTTGTTTTTTCAGAGAACGGTTGAGACGAGTACGTTATTGGAGAGAAGAATCGAGTGCTGTGATGTGAATATTGACAAGTAAGTTAAAGAGTAATTCCAATGTTAATGCTAAAAATTTAGAATTTGTGCTGCTTTCTCGAATCGCGATTTTTCCGCAATGGCTGATATGATCATGAGAGACAGCAACAATTTTCATGCTGTTTGTATGGACACGTCACCTCCATTAATGGTAGGTTTTTTCTGGCTAGTAAGATAAATATGTTATGGCAAATAAATATTTGTTTTAGCAGTCCAACAACTTTCAATTTAGTATTTAAATGACGTTTCTCGCACCATCATCCGTTTGGTACACGTCTACAACGAGAAAAATGGATCTACAGTTATAGCGTACACTTTTGATGCCGGCCCAAACGCTACTTTGTATTTAGAAGAGGTTTGTTGTTTTGAAGGTCTTGAAATTCTTTCCCCCGCTTAGACTTTTGCTTTCAAAATTTTGAATGTGGTGCATCTACAAATTTAATTTTTAGGATACTGTACAAGACTTTCTTGATTTCGCCACAAAACAGCTACGATTCGCGGAAAGTGCCCAGACAGAAGTTGAGGAGATTCTAGGACACAAACTTGATGTGAGTTGGATTTAGTTTCATTCAAGATAAGTACTTTTCGATCCTATAATACATTGTTTATCTATTTTTTTAGGAATCTGTGAATAATGGTGCTCTGGCTCAAATCCTCCAAGTGATCTATAGTCAAGTCGGCGGAGGACCTCAACTTTTGAGCCTTCATTAATCGTGCACCATTATTTATTTTTTGTGCGAGTTTCTTTTGTTATCTTTTGTGTTTTTTAAAACTGTGAATATGTATTTTAGTTTTTCTTTGGGAAATTTTTCCGTATTTAGTCAGACATTTTCCTCGGACATAGTCTTTCTTTTGTTTTTTTTTGCGCAAAGTGTGCCTTTTTTCCTTTGCCATTTTTTGAGCGCTAATTGTTTTACCTGTTGTTTTACCAAGTTCTAACGGTAATAAAAGTCAAAATCATTTTTATTTCGGAAGTTTCGTCGTTTTTCTGTGAAAAGGTGAGGAATGTAATGGGTTGAAAGACGGGAAATCATTTCAAGAGTCTTACCGTAATACCTGCGATGAGGACTACTGTAAAAAGGGGATCTAGTTAGAATAGCGCCAAAAATTCAGCGCCGTTCATTTCAATGCCGACTTTTCAGCGATGCGCAAAAAATGACAGGAAAACGTTGATTTCATCGCCAAATCGAAAAAGGCCCAAAACATTCATTTCGGCGCGACTAGTTTTTTATATATATTTTTTTTGCTTTTGCATGGTTTTTGTGGGTTTGCTAATGTTTTTACACTTTTTTTCATTTATTCCACCTAGAGTAAGTATCGAATGCGTGAAAAAAAACACATTTAATTAGCACCTACAAACCGGTTTTTCAATGAAAATGTGCAAATTCGTTGTCTTTGCGAAAATCCTCTCAAAATAGCCTATTTTCTCAGATTTTTTTAGCCTTTTTCTTCTGAATTTTCCTTCCAGTTAACGCAAAAAAAAAGTGCAAAATCATTAAAATTATATACGAGACTGGGAACAAAACAAAAAACAGTTTATTTCAACGCCGGCGCTGAAATGAAAGTTTTCCTGTCAAAAACAAAAAAAAATGGTTTCACGCGGGTTTACCAAATCAAATATACATCAAAGAATATATCAAGAATATCAATATTTCTGAAGATTCAATATTTTTTTTCCCCTAATTTATTGCTAATTTATTAAGTGAAATCGGAAAGAGTTAAACTTTAGAATTGCGTAGATTGTATTTGGTTCTAGATCAAAGGGTTTTCACAGTGCTTAAACCTTTGTCACAGTGCTGCTTGTCATTCTTGATGAAATCGAATGATTTGCGGTGATTGGAGTGGATGAAGTTGAAGTGGCTGACGGGGGAGGGACGCTTGGAGATGATTTCACGCCGCGCGCTGATTGCGTTTGCTGGGGACGAGTCTGGAAAGGAACAGTTACAGTTTAAAGTGAACAGCTACAGTCAACTGTTGCAGTAAACAGTTGCAGTAAACAGTTACAGTAAACAGTTACAGTCAACGTTCACAGTAATTACAGTCTCTACGTTAGTGAAGTTATAGTCAACTGTCATCAACACGCCAGTCAACTGTTACAGTCAACAGTTACAGTCAACTGTTACAGTCAACAGTTACAGTCAACTGTTACAGTACTCCTATCCTGTGTGTGTGTTATGAATTGTACTAAATTTCGATGAAATTTACCAGCAAACTCTTGTCCGATTTGTTTCCTCTCTAGACTTGATTATCGGATAAAATTAGTGCAGATTACGGTAGAATATCCAAATTATAACTCGTCTATTAGACTTAGACTTTTAACTCGATATAACTCGATTTTTCTGATCCAATTTACTCACCACTTGATTAATCGCTCGATTTGATCCGAGAATTCCGCGAAGTCTTTTCCGAAGTGACATCCTTTCATTTAATACGTCGTTTGTTCTAGAATTTTTTTTCAATGAAATTCTTTTTCTTGCCGACTACCGTTCGCTTTCTGTGTGATGAATGGGGCTAGCTGGTGGACTTGACGATTTCTCGGTCTTCTTTGTCACGAAACTCTGAATGGGTAGATTTTTTGTAAGTTTAATCGTTTTACAATAATAACAAACCTTCAACCATTGTACATCGACTCCTAAAGTGTGTCTTCCTGGCGTGCCTCGTGCATGTTTCTTTCGTCTTGTCCCTTCAGAGGGAAGGTTCAGCTTCTGAAAGCGTTCATATTACTGCTTTTTCTAAAAGACACTTATTTAGAGAAACTACCGTAATCAGTCCGTTTCATTTGATCAGTCAGACTGATTGTGAGTCGAATGAAAGGAAAATTCGGCTAATCTAAGCTTGATTACGGTAGTTCGTCTAGTGTCTAGTCTAGTTCGTCTAGTGTCTAGTCTAGTTCGTCTAGTGTCTAGTCGTTCGTCTAGTGTCTAGTCTAGTTCGTCTAGTGTCCCAGCACTGATACAAATTTTGCATTTCATTTCTCACTCACTGTTGGCATTTCTTCATAAGGACTTGTCGCTCTTTGCGGACTTTGCGGTTGTCCGTTCATTTTCTCCCATTCATTTCCAATAGATTCTCCTCTTTCTTTTGAAATCTCTCCTCTTTCTTTTGAATTTCGATTTATTGATAAACGAACAGCTGCATAATCTCCGCCTTTCATGTAGAGAGTCCGAGAACACTGCAAAAAAAGTTTTGCCTTTTCTTTGGTCTTTCTCTAATTAAAATTTACTGTTGCTCGATCAGTTCGTCGAAAATTCTCGAAATGACATTTGACATCTCGTTGCTGATAACTTGTACCCGGTGGACAGATGATGTCCGCTTCTTGATCGATCGAGGAAAGGGTTGATGAGGAAGCTGAAATGTTCATGGATACTGTAAGATTCTCATTTCAAAAAAGGTCTGCGAAAGGAAATGACGCAAAATAGGTGGCGCTATTAGCCGTAAAAGTTAGCGTAGCTAGAAAAGGGCGCAAGGCTGACTGGTTTACTGTAGCTTGGACTACTGTAGCCTAGACTACTTTAGCTTGGACTACTGTAGCCTAGACTACTTTAGCTTGGACTACTGTAGCTTGGGTTACTGTAGCGGACTACTTTAGCTTGGGCTACTGTAGCCTAGACTACTGTAGCGGACTACCATAGCTTGGTCTACTGTAGCTTGTCGCACTCTGAAATCTTTGCCGACCTTTACTCCCGATCTCGCTGCATCGGCCCACTTTGTAGGCGATGACACTCGCGTGGTCCAGCTTCCCGGGCATTTCGGCGATTTTCTCGCGAACCTACAGTATACAGTACTTTCAGAATTGATATATCTATTTTTCCCTAATGCCAACAACCTTCCCATCTGCTCACCATTTGTCTCCTTTGCCTCTGCTCGGCTTTCGTCATTTTCTCTTTTCGGTACAACTCCGGGTTCTCCAATGTCCGTCGCTTTGCTCTAAAACGAGTTTTGTCGTAAAAATAATCGAACTGAAATGTTTAGCTATTTATTTATTTATTTATAAGAAACATACTGTGATAATAAGTTAGCAAATTGAACGAGATTGTTGCAGAGAATCGAGGCGGGGACTGAGGGGAAGAGAGGCTCGTTTCGACGCGGGGAAAGGCTTACATTACCTGGAAAATATCGAGATTGATATCGAGATTGATATTCAAGTTTACCGAAAAGAAAAGCACCGCTAATTTGCATGAGTAGTACAATACTAAACTAATTAAACAAAACAAAAGAAACCATTTGTTGGATTGAGCCCATTCGCAATCACATCTCTCATCCGCACCAACATCAACTCGTGCCTTTGTCCAGCATCGACACACGGTAACGACGCGGCACACGTGCGATTCTTCACATATCCATTCTCTCCGGTGCCATCTCGAACCGAACTGTAAATGGGTGTGAGTTGTTAATCCTTTGCCTAGTCAAAAATCAACTATTGGGTTGGTGAATTGAAAACTGCGGGACTTTGAACTAAAATTTAACAACTAAAATTGATTCAACATAAAACCATAAATTCATTCGAAATAATTTCCATTATTATTGACGACTTCTGCCCATTTTACAGGCAATTTGCGGATTCCTCTTTCGTAGTAGGATTTTGGTTTGTGTGTGAGACAAGTGTGAGACTCAAAAATCGAGGACTGGAGATGTCCCTGTTTGAGCCCTTTCTTCAAAAGAAACCCATTTTGGTGTGAATGGAAAAGTTGTAGAGAATCAAAAATTCGGCTTATAGCCAAATTTCCAAAAAGATACACTTAGTAGTTTCGCTTAAAATGCAAGTTTTGTGAAAATTCGTAAATTTCGCATTTCTTGAAAACCAGTTTTTGAATCGTTCTGAAAATTTGGATATAAGTTTGATTTTTGATTCTCTACAACTTTTCCATTGACACCAAAATGGGTTTCTTTTGAAGAAAGTCCTCAAACTGACACATACGACAATAGTCGGCAATTTTCAATTCACCAACCCAATACTTTATGCTACTAGCTCTAGCTACTTGCTCTAGCTACTACTAACTAATACTAGCTCTAGCTACTACTAACTAATTCACTCACACGTTTATCTGTCGATCTCGTTGATCTCTTTCTGTCGATCTTTTTGCTAATCCATTCACCGAATTCTCTTTATTCTCCTCCTTTTTGATTACGCAAAATTTCCCGACAACCGGATCAAAATTATCGGAAACACCGTCAGATGTGATGAAAACAATGTCACCTAAATAAAGAGTCACCTTTTACAATATCCTAAATGAAGATTCTATTCACCTTCGTCCACGAAAGTCATACTACAAGTGAGATTGTGCAATTGTGGATTCCTTCCATCAACCGGCCCCAACGCTCCACCCGCATCTCTCATATCTCGCATTTGATCGATATCGTGTGAGCCCAATGTCACCTAGAAATCAGAAACATTATTTCGATGGAAACTCTCGATGTCTCTCACCTCTCTCACTCCATAGTTGTTATTGTAAACGAAACACAGTGAATCGCCCACATTGCACACGCAGAGAACCCATCTAAAATAAGTTGATCGTTTGTAATCTTTAAGCATTTATTTCGACTGTTAGATTTATAAATCTATAAATCCTCTACTCACTGTTTTGCTCCTTTTGCCGGCGCAATGACGGCCACACAAAGGGTGGTGAGTTGACCGCCCTCTTGAAGAATTAGTGAATGAGCGGAATGGAATGAGGCGAGAAGTTCGTGGAAAACTTCCTGCAAAAGGATTCTTTGTTACTTTATGAGTTTATATATGGAAAGCTGGTGCCAGATGGAATGCGATTGTGCGCGCGCACAAAAAACACTAGTCAGCACTTCTTGGAAAAAAAGTAAAAGAAGAATTCAAAGTGGGGATCAAACTCGCGATCGAACTTACGAGGTCCTGGAGACAAGCCCTGTACCAATCGGCCACGATTGCACCGAACTTGGTCCCCTAAAAGGCTGCTAAGACCCTGCTAAGACCCGCTAGGACCCTGCTAAGACCCTGGGACCCAAATGATCCAATTTCAAAGTCCTAACAAAACTTTAGATGCTTGTAACTCTTGACAGATTGTCATTTGGCAAAAACGGAATACAGATTCAGAATTAGCATAAAATTCTGCGTTCAATGGCATAGATTGCATAGCATTTGGATCAGCCAGTTCTTTTGAGTACTATCATATGCCTAAGCTAAGCTTAAGCTATCATAGACAATGCACAGAAAAAAGGGAGCTTGAAGTAATCTTGCTCACTCACCGTTGTCGTCGTGAAGCCTCGATCGAGTATGTGTGCATTGAGATAGTCAATGGCTCCCCTCACCGCACACCTCGCTGCCAGTCTTGCGCCATCACCCCAATTCACTCCATCAGCCAGTGCCATCACCGAGTTGTTCCTGCGTGCCACAATGCCCCAAACATCGGCTATCGGCTCTCCCGCATTCACTCCGGTTAACGGATTCTTTTCATACAACGATGTCGACATCCCGAACGAGCGCTCCTCGTCGAAATTCGTCCAATCGTATTGCTCTGGAATTGCCTCTTAAACTTGCAGATTTGTGCTCTTTCGTGTACTATTTCGTACTCTTGAAATCTCTTAATCTAAAGCTCTATACTCGTTTTGGAAAGTAATCTTGGATAAAGCTTTTTCAGCTCTTTCCCTGTCCATATAACTTAAACCAACAATTCTTGTAGCTTATTCTCATACCTATTTGCCCCTGACACTATGCAATGAATGGAAAAAGGGTGTGGATGTTTATGTGGCGTGCTCTCTTCTCTTGCGCACTAACATCTGTTTTCCCTTCCAATTATGTCTATCTCTTCACCCCACTTCAAGGCACTCTTTGAGAAATTTATGGACAAACATATGTGCGAGAGAATGTGCGAAATGACTTTTGAGTTTAGTTTTTTAAAACCAGTATTCTTTATTCTTTTAATAGTAACCTGATCGATTTGGTGGTGATGTCTCGTGTTTTTCGTCGGGTCCAAAGAGGGAACTGCATGAGCCGAGAAGGCATGCTGAATTCGAGTGAGTTCGATCCTTTCGCAAGGGTTGAGAGATCGGTTGATCGACGTCTTCTGAAAGGGAAACGAAAAGCTAACTCAATTGCTAGCAGATAGTTCAGCTTGACAATGGTGAAGCTGAGCTATCTGCTAGCAATTGAGAGAAGGCATAAGGCTCTACTCTGGCTGCATGGAAACGTCGATGTAGCTCTTTGGTAGAGCTTTGGTCTGGTAAGCAAGAGGTCGCGGGTTCGAATCCCGGCGCTGCTCAGCTCTCGTCTTTTCTCTTCTTTTTGCATCCCCAGCTCCAACCAATAAAAGAACCTAGAGCTTATTCAAAAAAACTAAACGGATCTTTGGAAACTCTCGTACCCTCATCTTCTGCATCCAAATCGCTTTCTTCCATCGAGATCGACATTTCGTCATCAAGGTTTGCAATGCGGGCAATCGCCTGTTTTTTCACTTCGCCGACCTGGTTAGATATTCTTTAACAAACAACAAAAGATAGACTCTTATTTGATTTCAATTTCTATTCAATGACAAACCTGTGTCAACCCTCCATCCGGTCCAGTGTACGTCGAGATGAGTTGTGGCTCAAAGGCCTCTAAAACGATTTGCGGCAATTCGAGTCCTGTTTTCCCGCAGTAAACCTGAAATTTTAATGCCTAACTATCGTTTTTTAATGCTTAACAATCGAGTTTTAATGCCTAACTATTGTTTTTTCAAGCTCACCTCCGGAAATTCGAGTCTTCTCCCATCAATTCCCGCCAAGAAAGCTTTTGTGTAGAAGTCGGCGTCTGGACTCGACGGAGTTTTCGTCTCATCGCCGACTATCTGCAGTCTTTTAGCGTACTTTGCAAAGTCTTTTAGCGTACTTTACAGTCTTTTAGTGTACTTTGCAGTCTTTTAGCGTACTCTTAGCGTACTTTGTGCTCTCGAAAAAACACACTTTCTCAAGCACTCATTAAATCGATCATTTGCGTCAGAAAGAGAGTCAGAAAGAGTTTAGAAGGGCACAAAGTACGGCAGCTTTTGTGATCTTTTACTTATGCTTTGACACAATCAGGCATCACTTTTTTAGTGCTGTAGAATAACAAATATGATTATAATAAATGAAATCTTTAGCTATAGAATATATAATATTCATTTGAGCTCCTTTTGAGAGCTTTATCTTGTACTTTATCAATGACGTACCCCTTCCACAGCTGCACTCGCGTCATCAAGACTGTGTGACGGAGAGAATTTCGTTCTCAACAAACCGTATACCCGTTTTCTGAGGAATGAGGATGGCATGATATTCTGAATTCTTTAATTATATTAAAAAAAAAAGGAATGAAACAACAAGAAATGAAAATAAAGAAGTTTAGGTTAAAAAAATGTATGTAGAAGGTTTCGGAGTGGGGAGAATCACTACTAAAAACTACTAAAAAGCTTTTTAGCCTTTCAAAAATACAGAAAAACATGTAAAACATTATAATTCATTGATGAGATAACGCTTTTTTTTTCATTATCTTTTCCCCATTTACATGTCATTTTTCCTATCCGAAATGCATCAACAAGTGAATGGACAAAAGAAGAGATATAGAAACGATTGGAAACCGAGTAATTTTCTCTTCGAAATGAGCCTCGGAGACTTTTTTGCATTTTGCTTGCCGTTGCACTTGGCCGAACTAGGTTTAAAGCTTGGTTTCGATTTACTAGAGCACAAGATCTTTTACAGATTTACAGATTTACAGTACTGGACAATGAAATATCATTTGAAAAACGATCGTCACTTTCGCGCGTCTGTAACTCCCTTGTCTTTGAGTTTAAACTATTAGTGTTATACATTTTCTGAAAGCTCTTTTCAAGGGCTACACAATGGTAATATTAATATTTAGAAATACGGTAAAGACAAGGGAGTTACAGACGCACGAAAGTGACGATCTTTTTTTCAAATATCATATTTCATTGTCCAGTAGTGTACTTCTTTGTGCTCAAAAGAAATGCATATGTAAATATGTTGTTGTACTAGATGAAAGATGTTTAAGTTCAAGACAAAGAAAAAGGCAAGAGAAGGCAATGAAATGAAACAGGCGTTTCATTTAATTCAATTCTTCATCTCTAATAACTTTTGAAATCGAATAGAAAACTTTAAAGAATCCCATTTAAAGAAAAGAATAGCCAAAAAAAAGTACTAATCTAATTCCCACCAAGTTTTTCGCTAAGACTAAGAATAGAAAAGAAAAAAGAGAAGATGAAAATGAAGAAAAGAGGAAAGGTGGAGAGTTTCAATTGAAAAGAAAAGCTTTGTGTGAAATGGGGAAGAATGGAGAGAAAGAAGAAGGAGAAGAAGGAGAAGAAGAAAGGAAATTTATTCGTGGGGAAACACAGGCACTAATGGGTTTCAAAATTTGAAATTTCTATTAGATTTTATATGAATTTTTAAAGTTTGAAGTTTGAATTGTAAAATTGAGTTTAAAACGCAACAAATGGTTTATTAAAATACTTGGTGTGGTGAGGCTTAGAAGAAAAGAAAGACTCTGTTTCTTGTGCGCTAGATGCTAAGCGTTTGCGCATTCTCCTCAGCGAGTTTAAAACGTCAGTTCTCCACTTTCAAAAAGCTTTCTCTAGGATGCCATTTTTGAGGTCACTTTTAGGGGGACCCCATTTTCTTTTCTCTAGAGAACAATTTGCAATTGTTTTGCGATCGAAAAAAGAGAAAAAGAGGGGGAAATGGACAAGGAATGAGTCTTACGAAGACATCGGGAAAGGGAAAAGAAGTCCCACGATGGGGAAAGGCTCAAGAATCGATCTTCTAGTGTGGAAAAGAAAGCAGTAGTTATTTAGGTTTAACAACTGGAAACGGGAAACAAATGATTAACGGGAAACAACGGGAAACAAATAGTCTATTAGAATACTTGGTGTGGTGAGGCTCAGAAGAAGAAAGACTCTTGTGCGGTAGATGCTAAGCGTTTATGCATTCTCCACTTCGAATGGATTGTCACTGTACTTTGTACTTTGGCTTGATATATTGGGTTGGGGACTATGACTCGGCGCCGAAAATCAAAAAAATGTCTAAAACTTCTATTCGACTTCGTCAAATAATATGCGTTTGATATCAGTAGAATGGTTAACTAATTCTCTACAAAATGACATTTAAAAGAAAATTCAAACAGCGCCTCCGCTCAAGAAAAAGCCATTTTTTCGCAAAAACTACAAACTGTGATCTAGAAAAAACCATTGGTGGGATCTTCCTGCAAATTTGGCAACTTAAGTAATTGAATGTGCTCTATCTTTTTTATATAAACACCAAAGAAGGTTTATGTGAAAGAAACTGTTCAAATGGATGAGTCGGACTCTTTGCCATTTTAACCAGCTGCGTTTGGAAGTTCATAAACTCCACGAAAGAAAAGCTTTGTGGAATCTCTCAAAAGTGATTTTGTAGAGAAATAGTGGATCCTTTTGATGAAACCAAACGTATGTTTAAAGAAGGCTTTATGTGTGCAAAAAGTCCCTTTAAAGTTTGGCGCCGAGTCATAGTCCCCAACCCAATAAGTCTTCTTTAACCAGAACAAAACTAGATCAGAATCCGACCAGAAACCAAGCTTTTGTGCAACAGAATCAAAAGAAAACAGCTGCCATGCCTTCGTTGAACGTTGACTTCTCCGCAAATCAAGGATAATCTCAATCTATTAGGTTGGTGAATTGAAAACTGCGGGACTTTGAACTAAGATTTATTCAACATAAAACCATCAATTCATTCCAAATAATTTCCATTATTATTGACGACTTCTGCCCATTTTAAAGGCAATTTGCGGATTGCTCTTTCGTGGTAGGATTTTGGTTTGTGTGTGAGACAAGTGTGAGACTCAAAAATGGAGGACTGGAGCAGTTTGAGTTTTCCCAGTTTGAGCACTTTCTTCAAAAGAAACCCATTTTGGTGTCATTGGAAAAGTTGTAGAGAATCAAAAATTCGGCTTATAGCCAAATTTCCAAAAAGATACACTTAGTAGTTTCGCTTAAAATGCAAGTTTTGTGAAAATTCGTAAATTTCGCATTTCTTGAAAACCAGTTTTTAAATCGTTCTGAAAATTTGGATATAAGTTTGATTTTTGATTCTCTACAACTTTTCCATTGACACCAAAATGGGTTTCTTTTGAAGAAAGTCCTCAAACTGTCACATATGACAATAGCCGGCTGTTTTCAACCCACCAATCCAATATTTTCGATAACTTTAAACAATCTGAATGAATAAATTATATTTTAACAAGATTAAAATCGACTTCTTGTTAGAATGAATGCTAATAAAGCTTAAAGTTGTGTGAAGCAAGAAAATGGAGTGAATGAATGGGCCATTGAGGGGGAATGGGGTCCCTTTTTAAGTCCAAAGGGTAGTGCTTAGGCTTCTTTTTTCGATCCAACATGCATCAATGTGTTCCGGCTCTTGAAAGACAAAAATTGAGGTCCTCAACTGGGTAAAGGAGTGGATAATAGGTTCAAAAAAGGAAACGGAGAAGTTTCTTCTGAGTATTTAGAAATTTTTAAGTGTTTTAAAGTGAATTGAAGATATTTGAATTCAATTTATATTTTCTCTTTATTTTAAACTCAAGATTGAATATTTTTTTTGTAAATAAATGATGACAGAATACGAATATTTATCAAATGAATAATCGAAGAAAAGAAAGAAAGAGAGAGAGAGAGAGAGAGAAAGAAAGAAAGAAAGGAAGAAAGAAAGGAAGAAAAAGAAAAGAAAATCGAAGATCAAGTGAACGAATGAGAAAAGAACACGTTTTGATGTGATCGTATGGAAAGAGATGTTCTTTTAAGTAGAACAATAGACATAAAAGTCCAAAGAGTAGTGGTTAGGCTTCTTTGAAAGTACGGGCGCTTTGAAAGAAATGAAATACTAAAAAAACTTTTGCGACTACGCGACTGTACGAGGGGGGGTGGGGTACTATATTACAGTATTTACGGTAGTTTCGAGCGCACAGGCCTATAAATCGAGATGTTTGGAAGCGTCTCTTTTAGATATGTAGAAGTATGAGATTTTTAATGAAATAGTGTGCTAAGTGGAAAGATGAGAACAATAGACATAAAAGTAATGAATGCAAACATTTACAGCTTAGAAATAGTGAAATAAGATTGGAAGTTAGATTATTAAGTAAAGTATTGAAAAGTAATGTAATGCTATCAAATAAAGAATTAAACTCTTTTCAATGTTAGACTGTTTAAAGCTTTCAAAGATGATTCTTTGAGTCGAACAATAGACATAAAAGCAATGAATACAACGATCAAAGCTATTAGAAATAGTGAGATAAGATTCGAAGTTACGTTATCAAGTAAAGTAATGCTTTACTGAATATCAAGTAAAGTAATGCTATCAAATATTGAAACTCGATTTTGAGAAGTTCAATGAAAATAGAAACCTTTAAAATCAAAGAAGAAACAAAAGAAAAAATTATTTTTGATTAAGATGACTGATTAGAAGATGATAGGTGAATGGTTTTATGACAAAAAATAGATAAATGCTTTTATATGTAAGCTTTCAACCAACGGCCAACAGCTGAACAGCTTGAAGCTTGAAGCTAACAGCCTGAAGCTGAACGGTCAACACCTGAACGGCCAACAGCTGAACGCTCAACGGCTGAACAGCTTAAAGCTAACAGTCTGAAGCTGAACAGCTTGAAGCTTAAAGCTAACAGCCTGAAGCTGAACAGCTTGAAGCTTGAAGCTAACAGCCTGAAGCTGAACAGCTTGAAGCTTGAAGCTAACAGCCTGAAGCTGAACAGCTTGAAGCTTGAAGCTAACAGCCTGAAGCTGAACAGCTTGAAGCTTGAAGCTAACAGCCTGAAGCTGAACAGCTTGAAGCTTAAAGTTAACAGCCTGAAGCTAAACGGCCAACAGCTGAACAGCTTGAAGCTTGAAGCTAACAGCTTAAAGCTGAACAGTCAACTGGTGCATACAGAATAAAAATGGAGCTTTGCCAGATTGATAATGGAATGGAAAAGAAGTCCAGAAAAACGAGATTCGCTTTGAATGTTACGAGCGAATGATTAGAAGATGGTATGTGAATGGTTTTATGATAAAAATAAAATAGATAAATGCTTTTATATGTAAGCTTTCAGTACTTTTGTCCCTTTGAATTTTGGACTGCTTTGAAAGAGGATAAATAAATCTAACAACTATTCCATATAATAAAAAGACTCAGATTTCCGTAGAGTAAAAGAAGCGTCCAAAAACTAGGACTAGGGAAAGAAGGCCGGGGGTGAGAAGAGCTGAATGGGGGAAGGGGGAAGGGGATCTCGGGGAGG